AAAAAAAGATAATAACAATGAGTAGATGTAGTTTGGTTTTTTTTCTTTTTCAAATTTATTTACTTTTGTTATTATTAGTCAAGTTTATCATATAAAATAAAATAGAACACATGACAAAATAATGTAAATATCAATGTATATAAATAAATCATACAATTATTTTATTTATTTATTTACATTTTAAACTAATTAAAGCATCTTTCCCTCTGAGAAGTATTGAAACTTTGTTTTTCTTATAGGAAGATGAAGATGTATTCTTTTTCAGAATATTTAGAATTTATCAAAAAATCAGCAGAATTCTTTAAAGTTGTCAGATTTAAAAAAAAAGTGCAGCACAATTAGCGTTGATATTGAATAGGACACTTCTATAGAAAAACAACAAATAATACTGTGTCACTATGAATATCTCTAAGGAAAATGTTTTGTTTCTTGTTTCAAATAATATTTATTCTTTGGAATTAAAATCTTATTAAATAAAAAATTTGAAATAGCTCTGATTAATTAATATAAAAACAAATTAAAAATATATTTTTTTACAAAGAATTATTCAAATGTCTTTCGTCATTTTAGGAGATTTTAATAAAAATAAGTAAATAGTTTTAAAAATTGATCATTTGTATGTTAATTAAAGTAAATATTAGATGATTCTGTAAAATAATAAGATTTACAAATCGAAAGTTTAATTTTATTAATTATTTAAAAAAATGTTAATTTGAACGTTTTACTTCGGTATCCGAACTTAGCTCAGTTGGCAGAGCGGTAGGCTGTAATGGATAACTATCATAGAAACCTATAGGTCCCCAGTTCAAATCTGGGAGTTCGGATTTAATACCTTTTTTTTCTTTCTCGATCTTTAGTTTTTTCTGACAAAATATCTTCAATACATAATCAGTTTTTATTTTTTTTTTAAATACAACAAAAAGAATTAGTTTTTTTGTTGTAATTGAAGTTGTTTTTCAATCTCATCTGAAAAAAACAAACAAAAACATTAGAAATATTATATTTTTCCTAGTTACACATGTTTTTTCCTTAAATGTACCATACTGTTGTCGATTGCACTTTCTTCTATGATCAATGCCTGAACTTCGCCTCTTAAATTTTTCACTCGTTCCGATAAATTTTTAATCATATTTTCTTTTGCATTTATTCTTGCACAAACGCGTTTATACGATTCCTCCTCATCAGCAAGCTGAAACAAAAAACAGATATCTTCCATTAAAAAAAAATATATATATATATTTACTTTATCTTTATATATTGCCAATTGAATTCTTAAAGCCTAAAACAAAATAAAATTTTTGTTAAATTATTTTGTTAAGAAAATAATTACACTTTCATCATCTTGAGGGTGTGGGTGTGGGCGTATATATGATTAGGTAATAATACCCAGACCTACACCCACTCTCAAGACTTTGATAAACTTGTACAAGTATTTATTATATTGTTTTTATGTATTTACAAAAAAATTAACTTACTAATAAAAAATACTTTTCCACTTTCATATCATTCTCTGTCAATACCATGTGCGAGAAAGAATTGTAAATATGGATTATTCTCTGTAAAAAGAGATAGATTGCAAAATCGTGATTAAATATACAAAAATTACTAATTATTGATGCATCGATTTTTTTTATGTGCATCATCAATATGAAGATCTGTTGTGTATCCTAACGTTAAATTTAATGAATAATCATCTTCACATTTTTTTAATACATCTTTTGATGCCTTATCAGCTGATTTTTGATTTAAAACTTCTAAACTTTTATCAAGTTCTGCTTTTTATTCTCGTTCCACAATTAATAAATCAATTGACTAAATGAAAAAGATATGAATAAGACGAGAATATCATTTTCTCAAACTTACATTTGAATCAGTTACCCAAAGTTTACTTAAATAACTACTTGCAGAATTATCCATTTTATTAATTGACTAAATGCCGATATCTACGTTTCAGTAAAACACGGTGTTTTGTCAGCGACGAACAGAGACCCAGGTCGAACAATCCGTCACAGAAACGGCCGGTTCCGTGGTATTCCGGAGATTTCATGGAAGCAGTATTCCCGTTGAACGGATCCGGCCACAAGATTTATCTGGTTTGAGCCGGAATCGACAGAAACACGTCAAAATCGGCAGCCGGATACGGTTATTTCACTTCTCCATCGGATTCCTGTTTTTTTCCGAATGGCTTCCGCTCAGAAATTGCGAGTTTCCTCTACTTTCATGTTTATTTTCTTATTTTATTTCGAATAATGAATTTTTTTAGTAAATAAAAGTTTTATTAAAATAGTTATAAAAATGATTGAAAAATTTAAACTGAATAATAATATTGACCTAAAAACAAATCAACGTTGAAAAAAACAAATTAAAACATATTAATAATCCAAACAATTCATTTTTTTTGTTTTTTATTAATTCGAATTCCAAACTTTGCGTTAAAATAATATTTTTAATATTTATCAAAAATACTTCAAAGGAGGTGTACCCAGACAGAGAAGATCTCTAAAAAACGCATTTAAAATTCGTAAATACACCGGTTTTACGTATCAGAAACGTAAAAACGCCGTTTTTATGAATTCTTAACGCGTTTCTACGCAAGTTTTTGGAAAGCGTTCTACTGCGTTAAAATCTACTCCGTAGTTACTCGTTGAGACGCGGGATTCAATGTGGTTTTACACGTTATTTTGTGAGTTTTAACGCTTTAAGCACAGGTTATCGACGCGTTAATCACAGTAGACAAAGCTAACGAACATAAAAATCGTAAAAATGTGCGCTTTTCCCGATTTTATTTTCGTTGAAATTTCAAAATTTCTACGCTGTATTTCTCCGTTTTTTTTAGTTGTCTATCTGGGTATCGTTTTCATTGAAAAATGACCTCCTGCAAAAATCATACTTTTTTTTGTCAAATAGTACTAATAGTTGAAAGAAATATTTTAACATCAGAATCACATCGATATGATTCGACTTCCATGGAGAAAGCCTTAAAAATATCTTACGATCATAGGTCAATAAAAATACATTAGAATTAAGAATAGAAACAAGTCATCTTTAGCCAAAGAAAGGTTCTATATTGTTTGTCTTGTTGCTTTCAAATCAATGTATTGATACTTTTTCGATAAATTTTGCTGAGACAAACAATTATTATGACGAAAAATCAGTTCTGTTTTGTTCTGTAAGATTAAATCACATCTTAATGCCATGCGTTATTCGAATGCACAATACTCGAATTATATACAAAATATATAATAGAAAGAAGAAAGAGGTCAAAAAAAACATTACATGTATGTTCAACATTAGAAAGATAAAAATACTAGACAAGATCGAAAACAAGATGTTCACTATCAAGAGGTTTCATTGTAGTATGATATATAAGATAATAAATTTTTATTGAAAATCTAATCATAACTCGTTTTTATATAAAATTTACCTTGATTTCCTTTTTAAATGACTTGAATATGTCGTCTAAGAGAAGTGTTTACTCATTCGAGATTTTTGTGATGATAACAGTTTAACTGTAATTGTTTTAGAAGAAAAAAAAGTGTATATGTGGTGTAACAAAATTGTATATTTAAATAAAAATCATATAGTACAACAATATTAAATAAAATAGAAATCTCTATGCATTTAACATAGACACTCAAAAATAATTAATACTACAGAACAAGTACTCATTGTTGTTTTGTAAATCCTAGTAGGAGCATGATTATGAATACTCACGATATTATCTATTAAGAGTATTGATTAGACAAGTATTTGTTGACTAGGGATGTTTTACAGAAATATTAGATAATCTGATTTTTCTTGAAATAATCATCGCTGGTACAATTGTTGTCAATATATTCCCGAAAGCAATAATACTAAAATATAGTCCATTACCAATTGATTCAACAATAATTGCTGTAAATGTTAACATTATTGATGTTAATAATAATTGAACAAAATTATTTGCTGCTGTAACACTAGCTGAATATTGTTGATATTTAATTGTATAAAATGAGTAAATACCAGGTCGAGTAGCTGTTTGACCTAAACCACAAATAATTAATCCAATAACAGGTAATGATACATGCATACTATATTGAAATGACCATCCATAAATAATTAAACCAATAGGTGTTAAAATTGAAAATAATAATGCTGGTACAACATGTCCTTCATCAATTTGTGATGTTTTCATATATTTTATTGCTGCATAATCAGATAAACTACCACCAATAATACTACCTGAAAATTTTGCTATTGACATTGGAAGATATAATATACCAATTAGATTTGATTTATAATAATAAGGAGCTTTAGATAATTGAATTGAAAAAAATAATTGGGCAACATTCATTGATACATATCCAAATGCTAAAACAAATACATAGGGAAGAATTGTTGTTTCTTTTAAATATTTTAATGGTAAACATGGATTTTCTAATATTGGTTTCACAAGTGAATCAAATTCAAGTAATTTTATTCCTGCTTTTTCATATTTACATACAATTAAATATTGTTGAGTCTCAGGTACGAATAATATATAAGTAATAAATAATAAAATTGCAAGAAATCCAACTAAAATAAATGTTGATCTCCAACCAAAATGATAAGATAATGGTCCACCAATAATTGGACCAACTAATGCAGCTACAAAATAAAATCCATAAAAAAGAGCAATAGCTCGTCCACGTTCATTCGGTTGATAGATATCAGCAATTGTTGCTTGACCGACAATTAATGTTACACAAATAAAACATCCTTGTAATGCACGACATATTAAAAATACAGAAATATTTGGAGAAAAATATGAACCAATTACTGACAACACAAATCCACTAAGACCAAATGACATTATTAATCGACGGCCATAACAATCACTTAACACTCCCCAAATAAGTCCACATAGACAACTTGCAAATACATACACTGTTATTGTTAATAAACCTAACGTTTCTGTTGTATGTAAATCTTGAACAACAGCTGATAATGCTGGAGCATAAATTAAATCATCAAATGCAGATAAAAATCCTAAACCACTTATTATAAATAATATTATATTCTTCTTAACTTTTGCATATGTACCATATACACTTGGTAAATATTCTTTTGCATCTTTATATCGAAATCTTTCTTCTGGATCAATAAAATGATTACTTGTTACTTCGATTTGTTGTTCATTAAAAGATATAGGTATCATTGGAGAATTCAACAATAAGTTAAACAATAGATCAACTTAGGAATTAAAGCCAAGTCTATACTATGGCTTTTCTTCTTCGTCTTCTTCGTCTATTTATTCTAAATAGATAAAAGAATTCTATTCAAATTAAAGATACATAAAATATACTTGATAATTAAATATTTATTATCAACCTTACTTTCTTTCTTTCTTTCTTTCTTTCTTGATCGATGTTATTTCTTATGGTAACATTTGAGCAGTAATAGTTCTTTTCGTCAGACAGTGAACAAGATGATAGGATGACTAGCACGAGTATATGTATGTACTCAAGATATCCTCTTTCTCTCTCTGTCTCTTATATTTTTCTTCTTTTATTCTTTTCTTTTCTTTTCTTTTTCTCGATAGTAAGACGGTAAGACGATGATACTGGCCGATGTAACTAATTGTTTTCTTCTGCCGTCCCACTATCATAAAACAAAACGAGAGAACAAAAGAAGAAAAACACGAGACAGAGAATATCTGCAGTCTGGATCTATATTCTACTCATTCTATCATCTTGTTCACTGTCTCATCAAGACAAAATTCTTGTCTAAACGTTACCATAAGAAATAAAATGCACCAACGAAGAATCTCATTTTCAATCAATTCATTATGTTCTTTCTATTAATTACTCGTCACTCTATTAGAAGTTACTTAACTAGCCTTACTTTTCGCTCAAGTTTTCTGATAGAACAAGAATTGTTATTTGAGAAATAGCTGAATCATTAAATGTGTAGTAAAATAATCGATAGAGCAATAATACTTGTTGTCATTATGCAATAACTCACATTTTGGAACTTGTATGATGAATGAAGAAAAAGAAAAAGAAAAAGAAAGAATCAAAAAGTAATTTAATTCTTTCGTCATAATATTATATTAAACGATTAAGTAGAAAATAAAACAAAAGTACTTATAAAGCCTTTTAATAGAACGAATAATAATAATAATAGTGAAAATTTCTCCAAAATTACCGTAGATCGACTAAATGTATATTTATTTGAAATGATCTATGATATTAGTGACATTTACTGTCATCATTCTTCCTTTCAACAGCATAGTTTACTTCATTAGTATGTGAGTTTACATCATCGATTTTCTTTTATATGATCAAATATCTCAAATCATTAACTTATAAAAAATAATTCTCAACTACTTATACTATTTCAAATTAGAATATATCAAAATTATTATGAATATTGTCATTCATTATGGTCATGATTGTATCTGTGATAGTGATGAAAAGATCAGTTAGACAGAATTGTGAACATGTTAGATTTTTACTGTGTATGAAGTTATTCTTTTTCTATATCGTCAAAAATATACTTTATTCAAAAATTAGGTGATTCAATTTTTCATAGACGTATTCAATTATTTTATTTGTTAACAATCTCATGAACGTTCTATTATAGATATAGTCAAATTTACATCGAATTATTTTCTCTCTACAGTTATTTAGTGTTTTTATAATATACATAGCAAGACGACAAATATTTTTATAATAACTCGAATTAATAAAGTTGTTTCAATAATAATATATTTCATTAATTACTATTAAGAAAACTTTTGATTATATAAGATAGTATGCTTATTTAGATGTGTAAAATACACAAGTATTATGAGGATTAGATTTAAAATAGTTTCAACTATCATATATACAGAGATTTCTAAATTTGTCATCTACTGTACTTAACTAGATATACAACAATTCTTCTTCTTCTTCTTCTTCTTCTTCTTCTTCTTCTCCTTCTTCTTCTTCTTCTTCTTCTTCTTCGAAATATTCTTTACAAAATTAAAAACAGAATTTTTATTCAGATTTTAAAAGAAATAAGTATAGACTTAAGACAATTCTCGAAAGGTTTCTACTCTCTTAGTACATTCTGGTTTTGATAATAAAACATAATATATAATAGTAAGAATATTTTATTCTTGTAACATATTCTGTACTGTAAGATAAGGAAAGATAAAACATTAAATTTAAGAAATATCATTTAATCATCATATTATTTCAGAATAAATCATTTGAAAAAATATATGATTAGAAGAATTTGAATAAATCTTTAATAAATATTATCGTGTTCATACGATTCTCCCTTTAGTTTTATCGTAAAAATGAAAAAAGCTGTGAAATGTATTCTGATTAGTTCATACCTTCAAATAATTAAATGGTTGCACAATAATCGATGTGTATGTTGTACTTGAATGATAAATAAATTTATATAACCGCTGTTCTCTTTTCGTCTGCGTAGCTTGTTGTTACAGATATATTAGTCGTATAGAAAATGTGCGTTTCGGATGAATAAGAACGCATTAAAAGAAATATTGTGCGTATAGCGTTGTCGATTTGATTTACATATTTCAATAATATTTCTTATCATTATCTATTAAACATGTGATTTATTCTAGAAAGAAAAAGGAAATCAAAACTAATTTGTAATACGTATCTTTAAGAAAAAAACAACGTCACTTTTTCTCTCCTATACATAATTACATATTGTTAAGCGATAAATTCACTATATTTTCTTTATTATTATCTCTGATAGTGGCGCATAAATAAACAAATAGATTTCTTCAAGACATTAGAATGTCTTTGAACCAACATTCGTAGTTTATCATCCATATTTATATACGTACGACGAATATAAGCGATAATAAACGACGAGTTACCTTGATGTAGTAGGTCGTAATCTATATACTTACGATTGTATATCAGTAGACACCATAACGTATAAAATCATATATCAGCGTAAAACAAACATAATTCACTATTCTAAATGATAACTTTTCAGTTATTGTTAAAATTTTATGTCGCAATATTTAATAATATATACTCAGTTTAGAATGAGACCCTTAAAACATGTCCAATGAATGTTTGATACTTAAGACAAATGAGTCCGATATTATAAACTAATATCGGTCTAAACTATACATTTTGTTTACGTCAATATTTTCAGCTCATTTTTCTAATTGGTCTAACCTAGTCAAATCTTATAAAACTGCAATATCTAAATAGTATTTTTCGATTTAGACTTTCATAATAAAATATGAGAAAAAGCTTATATTTTAGTTTCTCTCATCTATCTGTTTGTAACACATTAAAATAAGAACTGTCACTATTCAAGTTTGGTTCATACATCAATCGGTACTTCAAATAAAAAAGAACTATTAAACGTTGATGAGCAATTTGAAAAATTGACGTCTCTAAGAAATGAGATGGTTGATTTTATAACTTATCGACCTTCTTTCTATAGAAACTAAATTTATATGTAAGAAAGAAAATATGAAAAATATTATATCTAAATATTATTTGAGAAAAATCATATTCTGAAATTTTATAAAAAAATAAAAAAATACATTCACACTCGACTATATATGTATCAGAACCTGGAACATCGAATCCCAGAATTCCAGGGTTCGATCGTTACTAAGTCTGATATATACCAAAGTGAACGAATGACTGATCGTTGCACTTTAGTTCAGTATTCATAATAAGAACAATTTCAATAAATGAAAAATTATCGATAGTTATTCGACTAGTTTTTAACATCATTCGATGTAGCAAAAATTTCTGCACTTAAATCTATAAAAAAATGTATAGATTTCTATAGAAATTTAAAATATTTCCTCTCGTAAATATATTTTTATTAGAAAGATGAAGATATTGAACAATATACTTAAATTAATATATGAATAAATCTAATATATTGTCTCTTATAAATTTCAATGTTCGTTTTTCTATTGATAGAGAGATAAGTACATTAATATTTAACTTTTACTATTAAATTTCTTTATATCGAATGTATATTTATGTGAGTATTAAGGACATGAGTAGATTAAATAAGTAATTAAACTTAATTCATGATGATTTCATTTCTTACTTTTTCGTTGAATTGAAATTTTATTTCTTTGTAATAGGAAGATAAAAATGTTGAATGATAATAAGTAAAAATTTTCTTATTAGTAAAAATTATTTTGTTCTTTTCAAGTCGTTGTGAGTCTATTGGTAGTTCATGTTATATTTTAAGAAGAAATAATAAAAAAGAAAACGTTTTTTTTTTTCTTTTTCTCTGGAGTAAGTTACGGTTCGTTCTTTATTTACTTCATCTTCGCTACCGTTTGAATCATTTACTGTGCGCACAGCTTCATGTTTCTCGTTTAAATAATCAAGGCCAAAAAAAGAAACTTGTCGTATGAATCAGAAGAGAAACATTTTTATTTTCTTTCTACTCGCATGGGTCGATTATTTTCATTGTTATTGTCTGATTTTGTCATAACAACCAATATATCATACCTTCGAATATTATCTAAAAAGATTCTCTCTTTTATTCAAATTTAAGATCAGTAAGTTTATTTTGAGAATAAAATTTTTTTTCTATAATTCTGTTGATAGACATGTTAAAAAGATTACTTTTTTTTTTCTATGATATCCATTTAACATGTGGTATTCTATCAGAACTGCAAAATCAAATATTTATAGTTCTTTTTTTCAAGTTTGAATATATCATTAATGGTACACATGTTTATTATCATATTAGTTTCAACTAAAGTAATTCGAGAAAAGTCTACAAATAAAAACTTTAAAATAGTCAACAACTGAGATTACTGTCATTGATGATATATACAATGATAATATTGAATTTGTATTAATCATTATTTATTTTTCAAATATTTTTCTCATTTTCAATTCAATTTCATCACATCATACCATTTTATATTATTCCATTCTCAACATACTTCTTAGTTTGCACTTTTCCTATGTAATTATAGTTCAATTATGATTTGAAAGTATATTGTTGAATAATATAACTAACAAAAATTTCTTCTTAGAATATTCCACTAAGAAAATTAATCACAAACACTGAAAACTTGTTCTAGTTAAACATAGAATATATCAGAATCGTTTTTCTTTAGAAAGTTTACTAGATTTGAAATTTTCTCGAAATATTTCGTTGATAAATCAATGAAATGTAATTGAAATTGTCTATGTTAGAAATTAGTGTAATAATAGACATGCTCATCACTCATTATCTATTTAAATTTCAAAAACAGTAATAAATATTTGATTTTGTAATTCTCATAGAGTTTTATATTAAATGAAAAAAATTCTTCTTCTAATATGTTGATCAATAGAGTTCTGTGCAAAAACTTGGTTCGAAACAATAATAAATAATGTATTTTAAGAATAAACTCGTTAATGACAAGTTTGAAGAAAAGGAAGCATCTGCATAGACAATATTGGATGGTACCATATTGATTTTTATAACAAAATCAAACAATAAAAATGAAAACAAACGAACCATATGTGATTGTAAACAAAATCAAAACATTATGTTTTTATTGGGATCATAGTTTATTTTAGTGAAAAACATTTCTCTATGTGAATAAAATAGATCAAATGGCGTCAAATATACTTCGTATAATCCAATAAATATTCATTTTTAAATCATATGTATTTATTGAGATATACCATCGAAAATATGAAAATCATTGTTTAGATTTTAATATTAAATAGATTTTCTTGTGAATGATGTTTCTAAGACAATTGTTAAACATGAGTTTATCACTTCGTTATTGATCAACATAAAAGCAATTTAACTGTTAAATACTCATTCTTTTTCTTTTCACAACTCAATCGTTCCTTTTTAACTTAAATAAATAAAGAATGAAAAAAGGAACGAGTTCTTCTCTCTTTCTTATTTTTTCTTTAACAAAAAAGTAACAAACTTGTTCTTTTAACTTAACAACAAAATTTAATAATAGAAGAAAAAGATTTGATAAAATTCTTAAATATTTCTCTAACAATTTAATCAATATAAACTCAATATATAAAGTAAAATACTTTGAAAATTCTTCTCATTATTTTTCATTTTCACAATTGTATTTTCGTTGAATCAAGTGACTTTGTTAAACTTTGATTCAATATTCTAATGAAATATCTCATTTTGATATTCGATCTAATAGAAAACAAATATATTTTGTGTTGAAGTCAAATCTGATCGACGATGATTGTATTAAGGCTAACTATGGATTTTTAAGAGCATAGATTTTATTCCTATTTGAATTATACTGTTTATGATTTTATTTAATAAGTTGATATTCGATAGAATGAATGAAATGAGATTCTATAGAATTATTTTTAATGAAACATGTCTTATTTTAATTTTATATTATTTTAGTAATATCAATTATCAATATACAAATTAAATACAATATAAAAATCAAACATAATGATTGATAATCATTAAAAATAAAAATTTTCAAGTCTGACAATGGTTTTTAGACGTTGTTTATGCACAAGCATTATTACAAGTAACGCTCATCATTTCAATTCACTATGTACCATCGACTGAATAACTGACTTTTTCTATATCTAACTTTACCATTCAAAAATGACTATGAAAACTTAAGATCCATAGAGAGTGCTACAAGTGATAAACTTCCTCTAGGTTCTTATTCGTACGTATCATTGTATTCATCTCCGTACCAAAATATTCGTAGACAGACTTAAGTACTGAGTGTGATCTCAAGCCGGCAATTTTCCAACTATACAGTAGCTTCCAAACTTTTTAGTAGACGAAGACTCGTGTATTTATGTAGTACTTGAGGATTGAAAAGTATTTCCATAGGTATGTTTTACAATATCTGTGCATATGATACTCACTTGACTTTTGACTTTGTCTAGGAAGAGAGAAACGCATTTTAGTTTTATTTGTATGAGCCTCTGTTTAGTCGAGGGAATATAAGTAAATGTTAATATATAAAATATGTTTATTTGACATTTTTTTTCTAAATAGGATTATTTTTGATTGTAATATGTTTCTGTTTGTTGAATATTTATAAACCTGGAAATGATTTTTTTCAAGCAACTGATATTAGTTTTCAAATAATGATTGATTATTTAAGTAATATTCAACAAAAACTTATTTTATCAAAACAATTCAATGTTAGTAAAGATAATTTAAGGAGAGAAAAGTTTGAAAATAATTATAATTTATCTGAATATGAATCTAAATGTCCTTATCATCAATATAAAATTCGATTAATTGAACGAAAACCATTAATTATTTATATTGAACAATTTCTTACACAAAATGAAATAAAACATTTAATTCAACTAGCGTAAGTTAAATTCAATTCTCAAAATAAATAACTAAATAACTAAATAAAATAGTGACCCATTATTAAAACGTTCAATGATTCATGATGATAAAGGAGAACATTCATATGATCAATATCGAACATCAACTTCAGCAGGTCTTAAACGTCATCAAACACCTATTGTTAAATGTATTGAACAAAGATTTGCACAATTTCAAGGTGGTATTCATATTGACCGTATTGAACCATTACAAATTGTTAAATATACACATGATCAACAGGTTTATATAAATGTTTATTTTCTTTTCTTAAAAATGAATCTATATTTGAAATAATTTAGTTTAAATCTCATTATGATTGGTTTCCTCAATTGGATCTTTTAAAAAGTGGTGGTCAAAGAATTTCAACATTTTTTAGTTATCTTCAATCAAATTGTTCATTAGGTGAAACGGAATTTCTTGATATTCAATTTAATGAAAAATTACATAAACGATTTTGTGATATTTTAATTTGTGATGAAAAATCAATTTATTCTGGTATTAGATTTCGTCCAATACCTGGAAATACTATTTTTTGGTTTAATATTGATGAACAAGGACAAGTCGAATATTTAACTTATCATGCTGGTCGTCCACCAAGTCAAAATGGACACAAAATTGGATTAAATACTTGGATACGTCAAAACAGATTTTCTATTTAAATAATTTTCAAAATAATTGATAAAAATGAAGATGAACTAATGATATTTGCTTTTTACATATGTTATTCACATTTACATTTGTACTCTAGTATTTTTCTACCCTACCAATTCGTTCGATAAATATCCTTTGTCAACAATATAAATGTTACTTAATCTTAGTTTTTCTTCTATTTATCATTCGTTCTTGTTTTGCTTTCGTTTTATTCTCAACATATTTTTCTTATACGATTCAAAATGCAACAAGATAAAAAGAAACGAATATGATGAAATTACATTCTATTCTTTATCGTATGACCTACTATTTATAAGTTATTTCGTAATATTCTCATGTTATTTTTCACTTGTTTATAAGCTCTTGAAATTTCGATGTAATTTCATATGATGACTCGAACTAGAATAGAAGTTTTACTATAAATACCTAGATATATATATACAATTTATTTTCTTCTTTTCAGTTTCTAACTTCAGACGAAGATATTCAATTGTTATTTCAGTTAAGTTTTACAGTAAGTATATGAAAAGGAGAAATAAATGTTATATCATAGTGAGTATAGTGAGTATTGAGGTAGATGGCTACAGGCGTATTTTATCTTTGACTATTATAGAGAATCTTTTATTAATCACATTGCTCAAAATTGGTAACCAATAAACAGACATTTCCTATAAGTAATAGAAAAATAATTTTGTGCTATTTTATTTTATCTCTTATTCATTCAATAACATAGAAATTGTCTTCATTTCTTTTGTTATTTTTATTTCCTTTGTGTGATATCATTTTTAAGATAAAAGAATGCCACTTTTCGAAACAATTCCCATCGATACTGATCAAGTCCGTCAACTCGCTCATGATCATTGGAACGTCGAATTAGGAGAATGTCTCAAAGCTTCACAAAATCACACTTTTCTCGCCACGAAAAAAGATACGACAGAACGTTTTGTCGTGCGAGTTACACCCGATCCTGATAATAAACGAACCGACTGTGTTGAATTGGAAGTAACTCTATTGGAATATCTTTATGAGAATCAATTACCCGTATGTCGAGCTGTTCAAAGTTCCATCACATCATCTCGTTTTGTTCGTAATGATTCATTAATAATCTGTCTTTTTACATATGCAACTGGTGATCCAATAGTTTTCACAGATTGGATATGGATGACAAATCGAGAGATGGTAGTTGGTCTTGGTCATTGGTTTGCTCGTTTACATAAATTAACACGTCGTTTCGTTGAGGAACAACCTGTGCTTGCTGGTTATGCTCGTCATTGGACTACACTTCATAGTGGTGTCTTAGCTGGAGTAGAAGTTGATGAATGTGACAAAAAAACAGCATCAGATCCAAATTACTTTGGAATAATTCATGGTGATGTAAATCCAAGTAATTATTTTTGGGATTCTACTTTTAAAATGCCATCTATGTTTGATTGGGATCAATTACAACAATCGTGGTTTCTTTACGATTTATCAGCACCAATATGGTGTACTATTATGCTCGAACGAGCTGGTTCACCGATTGATCGAACAGCAGTACCACAAGCAAACTCAGAACTTTTTACAAAATGGCTTCTTGAAGGATACGAGTCAGATGAAGAAGGTACTATTGTTGATCGTGAAGCTCTTCATCGAATGGTTATCATTCGTCGAGAATTATACAGTCGATTCTGTCGACAAGCAGTTTTAGAGCTCTCACCTGAACATCCAATGGCAGAATTTTGTCAATTTATGACTGATTTTCTTAATAAAGATAAATCGTTGTAGCTCAAAACATCTAATACATTATTTTTCTAAGATAAAATAAAATCAATATTTCTAATAGAATCAAGGTACTGATATAGATCTGATTGAACTAATAAATAGAAATATATAAGTGACATATCGTGAGAGTGGGTGTAGATGTGGCTATGTCCTATTCGTCCCTATACTCACGCAATATATAGGAGAAATATTTTGGTAAAAGATTCATTTGTTTTTGATATATGACGAGGTAATTGAAGTTCTTATTGCGTTTATTTATCATTCTGTTTAATAAATAGATTTGAAAACAACGAATAGACATTTAAAAAAGAACAAGATTTGTGAATAGTTATGGAAAATAAAATGTTGTTATAAATGCATCTTTTGCATCCATAAATCTCACAGAAACTCTTTCAAGACGATTAATAAAATTTAAATCATGATTGGAATCAATGTTATGTGATAGTTCATGGCAAGTAACCATAAAATAAAAATTAACTATTCGACGAATTACTGGATTTGATGATGATGAAGAATTATTTGCAATTGAAGATTTTAAATCATCCCAATAAACTTGTTCAAAATAACGAAGATTAAAAAATAATGATCCACCACTATTAAAAGCAATACGAGCTAAAAACGAAAAAGAAAATAAATTTGAAAGAATAATAATAATAATAATGAGATTAGTTCATACCACTATCAATATCACGAAAAAGATGCATTGTTTTAATTGGAATAGAAAAAACTTGTTTGGCAAGTGAACATAATAAATAAGCAAGTTGATTTCCTTGATCAATCATTAAATTAGTTAATTGAACATTTTTATCAATATAAAGTGGAATTCCATGAAAAAGATCCGAATGACGAATCATATTTGATGATGGAACAAATTCACATGAATTATTTATTTCATTTCTTGAACATTCATTTTGATTAAATTCTTTTTCTGAATAGGGTCGACTTGTTTTAATCATTTGATTAATATCATCATCATCATCTCTTTTATGTTCTCCAAAATGACTAATACGATTTGTTTCAATATTACTTGAAAGATTTTCAGTTGAATTACTTAATGGAATTGTTGGTGTTGGTGATGGTGATGGAAATTGAAGTGGAATAAAATAATCTTTTAAATTTTGAAAAAATCCTCCACGTTGAGATTGATCATTTTGTTCATACTGTTGAGATTGTTTACGATTTATTTCTTTTTCTGGTCTTACTTGTTCGTTATGATGTTGTTCAATTGGTTGAGGTATTTTTTCTGGTTTAGCTATTTGTTTCTGTGGAATATCTGGTTGAGATTGTTGTTGTTGTTGTTGTTGTTGTTGTGAGACTTGTTTTTCAATTTTTTCTTCTACTTTATTTTGTTGAGTATTTAATAATAATTTAATTTCTATAAAACAAAAAAATAATATTTTTAAAAAATAAAATGTAAAAAAAGTTACGTTGTTGTTCTTGAATTTTTAATAATCTATCCACAGGAATTCCACGTCTTTTAAGTGTTTCTAATGGTGATGCAAGTTTATCACTAATTGAATGAACTAATGTATCAAGTGGTTTTTTATAAACAAATCTCGTTAATTCACTTGATATATCAATATAATCAAGTGTTGAAATATCTTTTTGTATAAATAAAACAACTTGACTTTTATCATGTTCAAGTGCACATGAACTACATTCTGTTGACTAAAATAAAATAAATAAAAAGAAATGATTTTACTTGAAATAAGAAAATGATATTTACATTTAATGTTATTGTTTTATTTTGAAATGTTAATTGACATTGAATTGCTTCAGATTCATAAACTAAAAATTTTTTTCTTAATAATTCAATACGTTTTTCATCAATATTTTCCATTGTTTCACCCTAAATTAAATTAAATTAAATTAAATTATAAAGAGAAAAGAAATAAATGAATAGATCATACTCTATTATTAACAAATAACATATCTAAACGATGTATAATTAAATCTCGTAATTTTTTACTTCGTTCCGTTGTAAATGTTTTTCCTCTATGTATTAAAGTTCTTTTAACAGATTCTGAAATCCATTTTGATCCAAATTGTTCATATAATTTGGTTAATTCCGGTTCTTCAGGTGCACATAATGGTCGAAGATCAATTGCACATTGATGATCATCATCTAGATAGATTTCATTTGGTTTACCTATTTTAAATATTCTTTCTTTATTTCCATTATCTTTTTCAATAATTTGATAACCAAGACACCATGGTTTATTTATTAAACGAGATCTTAATGGATCAGAATTAAATTCTCTTGCAACATTTGATACAACAGCTAATTGTTTTAAACAATTTGTATAAATACGTAATTTCGCTGATAAAATTTCATCTGTATTTTGTTTATTTAAAGCAAAATAATTTGATTGTCGTTCAATTAATAAATTAGCTAAATTTTCAGCTGATGGATAACAAACAACACCAATACTTTTAAGAAATGAATTTGCTTCATAACCATAATCAATATAATCAATAAGACCACGTATTGCTATATCTTCAATTAAATTATTCTTATCATCATTAGGCGAAGTTTTGTCATTTGTTGTTAAACCTTTTGAACGAATAAATACTTGACATGGTTTAACATAAGTATTACTTTCTGTTAATGGAATAAATGATATAGTTGATAGTTTTTGAATAAATGTTCTATTAAGACCATCTAATTTATTTAAATAAGAAAAATAAATGGGAGCAGTTTGAAGATTTAATAGATCATTTCGTTTTTCCATTAATATATCAAATGCAAATGATATTGGTGGACGATGTTTAACACCAAGTAAACCAATATCAAAATATTGAGAAAAACATTGAATAACATCTGGAAGTAATGATGCACATAATGGACCTTCTTCTTTAAAAACATGTTCAGGTGTTGTTAAAATAACTTCTGTTGATCGATTTTTATCAGGTAATGATGATGGTAGAAATGGCGTTTTAATATTGGAATTTTTCCATGATTTGGAATAATATTCTTGAAAATTTTCTGCAAAAAAAGTAAGTGATTGAGGTAATTTATAATTAACTTTTGTTTTCTTATTATTTGAATGTTCTTGATCAATTCGTGATATTAATTTATTTAAATCAGGTACTTCTTTAACACCAAGTTCTTTAAGAAATAAATATTCTTGTGAACGTGGTTCAATATCAAACCAATCAATTATTGCTAAATTATTCCATTGAAGACGATTAGCTACGGATGGAAAATGAAGTTCATTAGGCATATATTTACGTTTGATTTCACCATTCGATTCTAATGTTGTTCCTAAACAAAGAAATAATAAGAAATTTAATAAAATATTTCTTAATAAATTGAGTAATTAACCTGTAATACAATGATTATGTTTTAATGCTTTAAGATCATTTTCACTCATATTTTTTCTTTGTTGTAATAAATCTTGAATAAATATTTGTAATGTTTGAGTATTATTATTATCTTGTGAAGTATTTTCTTGATTATTATTATTATTAATTGAATTAGTTAATGTTGGAACATGAATTGTTCTACAACCAATTGATTTAAGAAAATCAAGTGATACAGGGTATTCAGTTGATTGTTGTTTATTATTTTCAATTTGTGGAATATAAAGTGTTATTATTGGTAAATTTGAAGATAAATTATTTGATTGTATATATGATTCATTAGGTGTTTTGATTCCTTTTGTTGTTGGAATAGATTTAATATTTGATAAATAACTTTTTATTTGTGTAATTTCATTCTGATTAAATTGTTTTAAATTTGAAGAAATAAAATTTAAAATAATAATAAGTGTATCTTCTTGTGTAAGAAGATAATTTTGTTTTTCATTTAAATAAAATTCAATTAAATATTTTATTGAAATTGTTGTTAAAGTTAAACGTCTTTGTAAATCATCACGTGATATATGTAAAACAATATTTGATGGTAAAACATTTGATGGAAGTGGAAGTAATGGAAGATTTAATGTATCAAAATATTCAATATCATTTAATTTGATTATTTTTGATTTGGAATTTAAACGATAATGAATTTTTGAAAGAATTTGTTTTATATAAGATTTTTTATTCATATCAATTGTACATAACCAACGAAGTAATTCAATAAATTCATCTAATAATAATATTGATTCATGAATTTTTGTTAGAATTATATGATTATCAATTTCTTCAATACATTGACGATGTTTTAATATTTTAAAAAAATCATTTTTTCCAATTTCATATGGAATAAGTGGAATAGGAAGAAATTTTTCAATATGTTTAGAATTTGCTATATAAGCTTCTGTTGATGGAATTAATGATAGATGAGCATCGGATGGTGATCGTCTTACTGGTACAAGAATATCTTTATCGGATGAAAAAAATCCATCAACAAGTATTCGACCTAAAATAAATCAATAGAAATGAATTTTTAAAGAGAAGAGAAGAGAAGAAAAGAGAAAAGACAAACCAATATCTTTATTTGGTGATGATTCTTGAAATGCATATGGAGAAAGTATTGAATTAAATATTTCAATGGTTTGTTTTTCAATGTGATTAACTGAATCAAGAATTGTTTGATCATAAATAAAACGAATAATTTTTCCAATTGATATTAAAAGTTGTTCATTCCATATTGAAATATATGGATCTTGTAAATCAATATTTTCTCGTTCAATTGTTGGAACTAAATGTGTAAATACATGCATACCAATACCTGTTGTTTGATGTGTTGCTAAACCAATAAATATTTGTCCAAATGGATGAATTTTTCCATCAATTATTTTTAATGGAATTAAATTTTTTAATATTTTATTATTTAAATTATTTTCATCAGTTAAAGTTTTCCATTGTTCTTCTTCAAAAATATTATTTGATGGAAATAAAAATTGAATATGGATTGTAGATGGTAAATCTTTTTTTAAAACTTTTTGAATTTGTTTATGAAAATCTTTATCAATAATAACATTTGCTTGAACATCAATATGATTTAATGTTATTGATGGACCATTTTCAATTGTAAATCTTTGTTCTGTTTGTAGAAATGAATTAAAATGAAGTAAATTATGTTCACCATTGGAATTCATTCGTTTTGATGCTAAAGATAATTTTGTTGATGGAATTTCTTTTGATGTTTTATTAACTTTAAATATAATAAAACCATTGATTTTTATTATTAATTCATTAATATATTTTGTAAATGAAAGAACTTTTGTAAAATAACTTTTTAATTCAATTAAATCCATTATTGGAACAATTTCATTTGTTATTGTATTTTTTTTCGATTTACTTGTTCGATTATTATTTAATTTAGATTTCTTCGATGAATATTCAATCGAAGATTTTGTTTGTAAAATAAATTTATTTTTCATTTTAAGAATAATTGATGTTTGATTAGATTGTTGTTCATTTGATAATTCTTTTCGAAATGTTGTTAATGATTTACCATTTTGCCAAGCAAAAGCTAAACATTGTTTACCAGATTGAATCATTGGTTTTTCTGAATAAGAAAAAACAGAAAAAAATCCAACACCAAATTGTCCAATTGAATCAACATTTGTATTTCCTTCAGCTATTGTTATAACTCGTTTCCAATCATCTTCATTAAAAATATTTCCATTATTTACTGTACGAATTTCTGTTATTATACAATTATGAAAATTATTTTCATTTATTGACGATGATGATGATGGACTTAAATTTTCCGTATTATCTATTGAATTATTCCAATGATTTTTAATTAATTGTCCAATCCCATTTAATATATTAGTTGATTGTCTTGAATTCTCATTATTATTTATTGATTCATAAGTTTGAGTTGAACTTGATGGATCACAAGTTATTTCAAGTGTAAATGATGTTGCTTTAGCGTCATCAGAATTTTGAATTAATTCTCGATAAACAACAAAATCAGATGAATAACGTGCTAACATTTTATCAATTAACATTCGTTGATTTACTTCAACACGATCTTCAACACCTTCATTTACTATTTTTAACCATAAGTCTTCAGATTCATCTGACATTTTTAAATTATTTTCACTCATTTTATTTTATTCAAAGATCTAAAAGATATTTTCAAATATTTTCGACAAAATAAAATAAAATAAAATAAAATAAATATTATTTACAAATATTTCTTACGTATATAACTTATATTCACTCATATTTTAAATGTAAAGAAGACTCCTCATATTTCCACTCATTTTATATATTCACTTCAAACTGATGAGTCATCATTCGGAATAAAAATGCACACGTACACACACACGCACACACATATATATATATATATATGGAGAACAGAAAGAAAAAGAATCGACCAAAGAAAAATCAAGAACATACTCCATTTATTCAGTATCACATGTGTCATTATTCCTTCATAGTCAAGAAAAGACAAACTCCACAAGGACATTTTTTATATAGAAAAACTAAATAAATCAATTGAAAAGAAAATATCTTATTCAAAGATTTTTATTTCATTGCACTATTCTCATCTAATCAAAACATTTCATTTGATTTTATTTTAAAAAATACGGAAGACGTTTTTTAAATATTTTTATTTTTTTGATGAAACATTCTAAATTGGTAGGAGTCTAGTTAGATTATTTTCAAGATCTTAATTAAGAAATAAATTTTCTTTTATAACTATTGATTATATTTGATAATTAACAAATATTTCATGCATTTTCCCATCACTTCTCACCCATAAAAACATCAATGACCCAGAAGAAAAATATTTTAACATATTCGATTTTCTGGGAAATTTAATACTGGGAATTTTCTGTAAAAATATTTTCTTTTTTTCATCAAGAAATTATGATGGTGTCAGGGTCAAAGTACTGTAAATTGATGTTTTTCGTCGAAACAGAATTAGAGTATGAGTGTAGAAGTGAGTTTAAATAATTATTAAATACACATCCATATCCAACGGATGATGTTATAAATCTTTCGAATGCTAGAATTAATCCTAACAGATCTTTGATAACTTCATAGGTCCTAAGATCCGTCAAAGCGATTTGGATCTATTCTAGGATCTATTTTAGGATCCAGGATCTTCTTTTTCCTCTTTGTCCACATCCTGACTCTATTAAAATCATCCATACTTCCTCTGATTACGGATGAATTGTTGTGTCGACAAAACTTTTTTCAAGCAACTGCATACTTATCTTGCGGATCTTTGAATATGGGTATGACTATTATGTTTATTATATTGTTATACACACTTCCATATATTGTAAACTATTGAAGAGAATGAAATACTCGTTAGCACAATTTTAGAATATCTATTTTGTTTTTCTAATAAGAATAGATAAACATGAATTTTTCTATTAATTACAAACACAAATTCAATCGATTTTTCTCAAAACAAAATTCATTGGAATAATCTTCAGAAAATAATAGTATAAGACAAATGAATTTCTTCGAAATAATTCATATTTGCTTAAATAAATAGTGTCAATTTATCTTGATATTATTCAACTTATATTTTGAAGATTAAGAAATTTGAAAATATTCAAATAAGATTAATTTTATTTGTTAAAAGAAGAAATATAAATTAAGATTTGTTTATTTTGTTAATAATCTATGTGTCTAATATATTGCTTTTAAAATATCAATTATTTATTTCTTTAATAAGTTTATTGGATGTATCTATTAAAAAAGATTATTTTATTTTAGTATTAATATATATTTATAGAAATGTGTCAATCTATCGAGGGATAAAAATATGAATATATATATGAATAATAAAAATCTCTACTATTCATCCCAAAACGAAAAAAACATTTACTAATGGAGGTTTCATTCTATTAATATTCATTTTAAAGTAAATTCGAAAAAAATCTCTTTAATTTAGATTTGTTGTATAATATTTAAATAATAGAAGTGAGAAGAAACAGCGTCATCTATATAATAAATGGAAAAGGGTTCTTTCTTTTTTTTATTGGATATATGTATCCTATATATAGAATAGAAAAAGCAGAAAAAAGAAAATCATTGATTATTGTAAAGAAATCAAAGAGAAGAATGCCTCAATACAAATATAAAGTATTTGTAAATGCACGTTTTAATGTTGTTTGGCAGAAACTTTTGGATAAAATCAAACATCCTGAAAAATATGTTGAAGGTATTCGAGAAGTTGAAATTTTAGAAGATTCACCTGATCATATAATAAGAGTAATTCGATTTAATACTGAACATTGGCAAGATATAAAAGAATTAATTGTTGCTGATGAATCAAGTGGAATTATTGTTTATCGTTTAATTGATCATCCTTATTTTGAAGGTGAAACAGTTAATATTTGTCGAACAACAAATCAAGTTTATCATTCCGAATTAGAATATGAAATTAATTGGAAATTAAAAGATCAAAATCAACATGAATCATTACATGAAAATGATCTTGCTGAATCAGCTTTACAATTAGCTGTTAATGAAATGAAAAAAGTTTCAGAAGAAGCAGAATCTGTTTATAATAAATAAATTCAAACATTACTCAAGCCCTTCATTAGCTTATTTTTTACATCATTCAATCACAAATTATTTATCAATCTAGCTCACACGACAAAATTATTGAATGAATCAATTTATTTCTTTTTCTCTTGTTTTCTATCAAATAGATTGTTTCAATAATAAAATTTATTACCTTAAATAAAATTTTTCATTAGAAAATATTAAAAGATCAATTATCTTTCTCGGTTATTATTATTATTATTCTTATAACAAAACGAACAAGTTTATTCTATTATCTATTCATAGAAAATATAAATCAAAATAATCGATTTTCAGTTTTAGTACAATTACATTTTTCTATACTAATGATTTATGACCGTCAGATCTGCCGTGAATCTACCGGAATCGAAGCATTTCGTCTACAATTCTAATGGGGTTATCATATGAGTATCAATTACAAAATATGTAGATAGGAAAGAAAGCAATAATCCTCACTGAAAAGCATCATAATAAATTCTTGGAAATCTACTATCGAGAAGTATTATAGAAAATGACCGTGTCCCTATTGAATTATTATCAGAAACTTATAGAATCCAGTTAAGACCTATCGAAGAAGATAGTATATCTTAATAAAATACTCTCAATTCGACCGGAAACGATCGACAGTTCCACATCGATGAGAACTAACTTTTCTAGATGTCGATAGTATCCTATGTCTCAAAAGGAACATATGAAAAATTTATCGTCTCGAATTAAATTTAACAATTAATCAAAGATCTTTCCAACAAAACTAAATTACAACTAAAACCTAACTTATACTGTTAATATCTCTTAAATTCAGTACATCTTAAACATTCCAGAAGAGATCAATTCAATTTAAACATAATTCAAATATTCTTAAAATAATAAAAGTTCCTTTTCATAACTCTTTATCATTTACATCTCAAAAACTATATTTTATAAATTAGACAGAAATATTTTCAATCATACCATTATCACATGCCGTCTTCATATTTGTATACTTTCAAAAGTACTTCTCATTTGTTATCATATGGCTCTAAATATACTTTTAATGAATTTATTTACAATATTGATAAAATCTAATTATTAACTTCTAATACATATAAGCCTTTTTACAAATAGTTTTCAAAATTTCAAATGAAATATTATATTTTCATACTATTTTATCGATCATCTAAAATATATATTGTATACTGATGACTAATTAGATAATCTAGATTTGATTTTCCTCTTTTGAAGAATACGTAATCAGAGGAATAAGGAAGATATCTATTAGAATTGTATCTATGGAAGAAATATGGATCATCTTATGACAAGAAAACAAAATTAAAATTTGCTTTTCTACTGTGTAGGACATATGAGAAAGAGAGGATGAGAAAAACAAAGTTGAGTAAATAATCAGTTGAGCATGAAATAAGATTGGATGTGTAATGATATAAATAAGAAAAATAATAACAACGAATGGATTTCTATACTGAAAAGACGAATGAACAGATTTATCGAAAGTGCATACATACAAAAATCAATATATTAAAACTATATTTTGTAAACATTGACTTGCCGCATATGATTTATGATGAATAAAAAAGAAATAAGAGATTATCTCGTTTATTAAATATTTCTACAGGAACTGCAACCTTTAAAATATATTATATTCAAAATATTTCTATAATAGAAATGAAAACTAATTTTATAATGGTTTAAAAGCTGAACAACGACTTAATCAAATTAAGACGAACGATTAGAAGATGCAATTAGATTCATTCTGAAGAATCATTTCCACGTAATATTATCATCTATGAATGAATTCGTTTGAATGTGAATGAAGTTTTTCGTTGTTAAGAAAATTAAGAACTTATCGAAGAAATAGTATGGGACAACAAAGATTATCAGGCATTGCTCTCTTCAATATTGAAAAAGATTTTGAAATTAATATAGATCAGACAGTAAGACATTTTGTTGCAAAAAAAGATTAGAGAAAAATGATTTATGAAATAAATATATTTTTTATTCACTTTATTCTAAAAGAAGAAAAAAACAAACAAATAAATTACATTAGAAAAAAAGACAGCTTCATTTGCAGCATAGATATAGGTAGTAGATACGTTGTATCTTTATAACGTTGCAAACAGTTTCTTTTTATGATTATAATATATCAGAGGTTATTGCCATATTTATGTTTGACACTCTGGTCCGCCTTTGCATTTAACTATAGAATTATCTTGCTTAACTTCTTTTAAATCTCCAATTTTGGTGGCAATTTCTACTGTATCGTCACTTTTTATCACAGTTTCTTGTTTAACTTCAGATGTGTTCGCACTTTCTGTTGTATCTTCCCATTTGCTCACAATTTCTTGTATAGTGTTATTTGATGACATTTTTTATTGGAGAATTCTAAAAGATAATTATTAGAGAATCAATATCAATAGAACAGAAATTTGATTAGCAAAGAAAAAGAAAATAATATTTCTTTACTGTTAAAATCTAACAAATAATTATTTTTTATGAAGATTTTTCTAATGAAAGTCAATTTAAGTTAACATTTTGAAAAACATTATTAAGTTAAAATAAGAAGAATAAAGTTTGACAAATATTTTATTAGTTTTCATTAATTAATAAAATAATCGAAACCTTTTTTGTACATTCCTAAAAGATTATTTTAAGAAATCTTTTTTTTCATTTGGAATTCTTTGTTGAATATTTCTTCGAAATAAATTTCGATAATACATACGTTTATTGATGATTAGTAGGAGAATATTGCTTTAAAATAAATATCGACGAGTAATATATGTGTCTTTCGATCGATTAGCAACAAATAATCTATTCAAAACTTCCTATTTATATATATATATTATAAAAAGACAAAAGAATCTTTTGTTAACTATACGAAAGAAAAGACAAAAGATATGTAATACCTTTTCATTTTTATCTAACCAACCATAACGACCTTTTACAAAAAGAAACGAAAAAGATATTTCCTTTTTCACAAATCTCTTCCAGTAATCTTAATAAGAAAATAAAATTTGTTCAACAGATTCTCATAATGAGTTCAGGACATGTGTGAGGGTGTAAATTGTCGTAGATAAGATATGTGGTGGTTTGAAAAAAGAGATAGATTCACATTTGGACTAACTCACACATCTATCCATGCCTATAACCATCGACTGGTCTATCATTGAAATCTAAAGAAAAATATTTCCTCAAAAATCTTTTTGAATAAATACATTTAGTTTTTTTTGTAAATATTTGTTAAAGATTAAAATAAAGAAATGAAATTATGAAATACATAATGCATCAAAAATAGTTAAAATAGTCGATAGAAAAGTAAGAATAATGGCAATACATATAAGATAAGATGAATGTGATAAAGTTAAATTCGTTTTCTCTTTTGGATAGAAAATAAATGTTAATATTAATAATATTGAAGTTATTAAAAGAAATAAGATAATTATATAATTAATAAATAAATTTCTTAATTTAAACCAAGAGAATATTAAAATAAGAAGTGTTATTAATAAACATATTAATCCAGATATAGCTAAACCACGTGAATGAATATATGAAATTTTTTGACAAAATTTTTCTAAACTTGAATTATTTCTTAATGAACATTTAAAAAATAAACCAGAATTATATTGATCTTGAACATTTTCAAACCAATAATTTGTTGTTATACTTAAAAATGTTAATATTAATGCTAAACTAACAAATACAACTGATAATGGACGCATTTATTCCACTTTTTCTTTCATTTATTATTTCATATACCAACAAAATACAATATTCTTATCACATCTTTGACAACTGATGACATTATCTTTATCCTATTTATCATTTATTATTTATTACATTCATTTATTTATTTATTACTTTCTTTTTTATCTACAATTGTTTATCTTTTCAAAATAGATTAACCAAAAATAAACATCAAACATTAAAGAATATTTTAAGAAAAAAGTTCTCGTAGAGAAATCTATATATTAAAATAATTAATTAGATATAAGAAAAAAAAGAATATTGAAATGATTGATAAATATCTTAATATCTCTACGGATTATTTCGTTGTTTGTTTATATTTATATTAATGTGATTACGTGGAAATGTTGAATATTGCTACTCAATATATATTGTCTGTATCAAAGGTGAGTAAATAACGATCACAAATACTAAGAGACTAACTTAGAAATGTTGAAGATATGTTATCAACATATATTTGAAGATCTTCATTACAAGATGTTCAACTAAGATATATATTTTCATACTCTTTATTAACAAAAGTTTAACAATCGAAGTTGATTTCTTAACTCACTTTAATGAACAAATTTTTTTCTAGATAAAAATAAATATTTGTGAAAAAGGAAAATAATCTTTTTCCATTTTGCACTTTTTCAAAAGATGATTGTTAAATTGAATTTAATATTGTAAAGTTATTCTCGAGCGTGTGTCTTTTTCAATTGGGGGATCTACCATTGTGTTATTTTGCATAGGTACTCCCTCTATTAGAACACTTGAGCCAATATTGGCTAATCAAGAGAAACTTACACGTCTATGTGAGTCATGTTTTCGATGAAATATATACTATTCTATGAAGCTGCAGACATAAAATCTATCTCTTGACTATAATTGAAGACTTCGACTGTTTATGTATCGATATGAGCAAACGAGAGAATAGAAAATATTTCTACAGTATGTTAATTTACCAGATAAACGAAAATATTCTTCATTTTTGTTACATACAGGAAATTTTTCTTATAAATTTTGTATCGATTATCTTTTTTTTTGTGACTAATTGATAGGATAGATGATCACTCTTACCGTTAAGAAAACGAGTAAAACAATCGCGAGATGAACTTTTTCTCTTTGTATTTCGCATAAAAACTTTGTGTAAAGAGATTGATTATTTAAAACTAATTATTTGTGTATGTTTAATGTAACTGTTTTTCATTTCTCCTATTATTTTGTAAATCATATAGATTTATAGATTGAGAGGAAAACTATGGTTAATTCTTTGCAAAGAAAATACAAAATGTTAATTGAAATTTTAAAAGCGAAAGTACGAAGAATAAAACTTGAAAGTTATACATTAGTTTATTGTTATCAAGATGAAGAATGTCCATGGTATGCTAAATTATCAATTGTAATAACACTTGGCTATTTATTAAGTCCAATTGATTTAATACCAGATTTTATTCCGATTTTAGGATATTTAGATGATCTTATTCTTGTTCCATTATTAATTATTTTATCAATTAAATTAATACCAAATCATATTCTAGAAGAATCAAGAGAAAAAGCGAAACAACGATTGAATACGATAACAAAACCGAAGAAAACAGCCTGGTGGTTTGCGCTCTTAATTGTTTTGTTCTATGTAACAATCATTTATTTTATATTCAATTGGTTTAAATACAGATGGTTTTCATAAAAATTAAATTTCATAGAGGGAATCTTCAATTGTTCAAAGAACTAAAAGAAAAATATTGGAATAAATTTCAAAATAATTATTATTTTTACATTATCAGACGAATAATATAGAATATTTTTTGTAAATTGTTGTTTCACAAATATTATCAACCTGTTCATTTAGGAGAAATCTATATTTCAATCACAAAATTGTAAACAAACTTACGAGTCTGAAGAATCTTGTAGAATGTTTATAACGACTCGACTTAAATCTAATCTGACTATTTCAGCTTTATCTCATATCATTCTACTAGGATATCGAGGTTAGCTGTGTGATTACAAGGTACTTATCTTGCCATCGTCTACACCCACACCCATACCCTCAACTATATTATGAAAAGGTAAAATATGGGTTCTTACATTTTTATAATTGAAGAAGAGAAACTTGCGTCACAGCTCTCGTTAATTGAGTGTTTATTTTTTTTTTGAACTTCATCAGTCTGTGTGACCACCAACTTGGGAATGATATTTTGATTCTCTTTCAATAACTTGAGGTTACAATGAACTTTTTCTGCAGCTCACTGTCAATTGATGAGTGTAGCATCAGCTTCACAAGACTCACGAAAAGAAACATATTTTATTCGGTGGATCATTCTCTCTTGCTTATTGTCATAAGTTCCAACCAAGATACAAATTAAATAAACCAATTTCAAATTAAAGATCACTGTAAATGACAAATGGATACTTGTGAAATAGTAATAGAATATGAATATAATAAGTATGAGAACATATATATTAGTGAGAGTGAAAAATGAGAATCTCTTCGAAGATTTTACAGAGAGAATATATCGAAAGAGTGAGATATTGATATGATGTATAACAGAAACGTACGGTAGAAATTATACGTTCCACGATATAGAAGATATTCGTTATCTGCTAATTTCATTTTTGATGAACTTCAATTTCGTATAAGATTTGTTCTAAATAGATAGAAATATTTTCGTTTTCATTAATAAGAAAAGAAATTCTTTTAAAAATATCTCATTTAGAAACAATAAACATAACTTTGATTTTTGTAAAAAGATGCATTATTATAATATTTTATCCCACCGTATTAAATATAAGTTTAGTCGAGTTTTAGATAATGTGTCTTTTGAAATCGAATCCGAAAATGATTATTGTCGTACGTTAAGATATTTACAAAATAAGAAAAGAGCCCTAGACATATTTTTTGTTTTCTTATGATAAATCGAATATGAAATAGTAATGTCACGTGCTCTATTCGTTTTTTGTTTATTGAAGACACTATGCAAATGAGTTAAGATAGATTTCTTCTTACGATTTTTGTCGAGCTTTTCACGATGTATCTTTTTTTTTTAAAAAAAAGTCAAGGTTATATTAATTGTTTATGAATAAAATCTGATGAAAATAATAAATGTTGCATTAATGATCGATTATTTGAAGAATCTAATATAATTTTCTACTTTTGATATTCAAATATAATTTCTATAAAATAAAAAAGAATATTTCTATCGAAAAATTTTATTTGTGAAATTGAAATGAAATGAAATGTAGTCAATTATAATCAAATGATTAAAACGGTAACTGTTATTTTAGAAAATGTTAGTTAAATGAAACAAAAATGGAAAGCGTTAATTGAAAAAGAGAAGAAAAGAACTGTTTAAACAGATCGCATAAATGAACCAAATTCTTGTTTATCAATTCTTCCATCATGATTAACATCAGCATAATCAAACATAGCAGCAGCTGGATCATATTGATTACTTTTTCTTGCTACATTTGGTGCACCAATACCAACATCAGGACCAAGACCATATGTATGATTTTCTGCTGCATTTGCTCCACTTGTAAATTTTTCATATTCAATTGGATTTTGTGTGAAACCAGCTACAGCTACATCAAGACCAACTGGATATGATACGATTTCACCATCTTGTGATGAATGAGCCTATTTGTTTGAAAAAGAAAAAGAAAATTTTTTTAATAAGTAAAAGATAACTTACACTAAAATGTTGAACATCTTGAGCTGATAAATTTCCCGATAATCTTCTTTCATCTCTAACAGGGCCAAGAAATTGTCTAAATTCTTGTTGATCAACTCCTCCATCATGATTAACATCAGCATGATTGAATTGATCATCATAACTTCGTTGTTGTTGTTGACTCATTTTTATTTAAGTTATTGGATATTGCGTGGAGAAAAATAAAAGAGAAATATTTGAATGAATTAACTTACGTTGATAAACCTTGCACTAAATAAATACTTACCTATGACGTTTACCTTACAAATCAACCGTAACGATTATTATGATTATGATTTTAGTTATGATTATAAAGAAATTTTTTCTCTTTTTCTATCTATTATTCAAGGTCATTTACGACATTAGTATAAACCATGTCTATTATTCCTTTTTTTTTCCTTTTTTCTTATCAAACAATCATTGATATTTGATAAATATCATTCTAGTAATACCTTGAATTGAATACAATATCGACACATTTAGATATTTATTCATATAGAAACTTAATCGATAATCATTAGAGAAGAAAAACAAAAAAACAATATTTCTTTTAAGTATACCTTTTTTTTTATTTAACTTATTCTCTTTTCATATTATTATATCTACAATAATCTACAATAATAAAAAAACAACATTATTTCAATACCAATCATAACATTCATTTTTTTATACAAACCCAAATATATTTTATACAATCAGAGTAGCAACACTTTCATTTATAGAAAACAAATTTATTAAATATTCTACAACAAAACTTATGATTAAAATAGAAAAATTACATATTTCATAGTATTACAAACAATATTGACTGTTATTTTTTCGAAATCTATTTCTTTGTATAACCTTCAGTTAATTTCAAATCTTTTCTACTACTTTTCTAACACATACTCGCATAGATTCAATTTTAATCATAGAATCAGTTGTCAAATAGTTTTATATAATCATTGTACTTTTCTATTATCCATAAACGATCTCATACAAAAATACATATTAATATTTTGATAATTTCGAAAAATGTCAAACGAATTTATTAGAAAGTAATAATAAGAAACATCTGAAGAGATTTTTAATAAGAATTTCTAAAAGAATAAATTGAATATTTTCATTTTAAAAAGAATAAAAAAGAAAATATCGATGAGAGTATCTATAATAATAATAATAATAATAATGATCATGTGACATATTTTTTGTTAAGGTTATAGAAAAACGATTATGAATATGAGTACGTTATTTTCATAGTCGAATTCAAATGACTAAATAAATCTTATTGTAAATTTAATTTGAACTTGTTAACAAATATTTTACAAGGATATTATTAATATCTTTTATTTTCAAATCAATAAAATAGAAATGATAGAAGTTTAGAAAAAGACTTTTTTAACATATGCATTATTTTATTTAATATATCTATACAATTCGAATAATAAAAATTGAAAAAAACAAGACACAACTAGCTATCTATTTGTATATCGAAAGAGAATATTTTTTTAAAATCTAATTAATGATTTATTTTCTAGGCGTGATTTATTAAAGAAAGAAAAAGAAATATTTTCTTTTGTTTGTCTTATACATCCAGTCATATTACTTATTTTTATTATATCCGATAAAAGTACGCTTTTACGTTTTGATTAATGATCTAGAAAAACGAATGACGTAACCACCTGAGGAGCTACGAGGAACTGAGCTCCCTCTACAAAATTTCAGTTCCACTTAAAATCGATGGCTAGTGACGAATCCACGAGGTATTCATGGGAGCTAAGCTCTTCCTAGATCGAAATCCTGACTCTACCACGAATAAAATATGTTTTCTTTTGATTTAATTTTCAAAATAAATATATTTGTGAGAAGATATTTTATCTTTTATTAACAAATCAATTTGATTGATTTTACAAGATAAATTTTTCAAATGGTTCTATTTTGTAACTATGATGTAAGCAATGATAAATTATCATAAGAGGAATCATAATAGAAATAATCCCAATGACGTACGATCAAATTTTGACACATAAATAACAATCAACATATAGATTTATGATGCATGAAAATAATATCATGAGTGCAAATACATTTTTATACGAAATAAATCTTAATAGAAAATTTAAACTTCGAATTTTCTAATTCCTATATATTGTTATATCGTCAATGTTGAGTTAAATGAAGTGATTATGAATGAACATTATAGTTTTCTCTCGATATTAAATTCAATAGATTTTTACTAATTTATTATTTATTTTAACGATGGTTTATTTTCGAAATTGAATCAAATGAATTAGTTTTGTCAAATTTTTCTTTCTATTTCGAACTGTGAAATTGAATTTGTACTAAATTATTTTTGTTTTTATTAACGTCTATTAGAAATTGGAAATAACAAATGAAAATGACTCATTATGCATTGATAACAAAATGGCTTGTTATTGATTACGTTTATTAAAATAAAAGTTTTCTCATATTTGTAACATTATTTCTATATTGTTTTCTATTTTTTTATGGTTGATAATGATCGATTAAGATCGAAAACTTCCATCATTATTATTCTTAAAATCTAATTCTCACTTGATTTACTCTTGATTTAGTTTATTTATTTGAAAGAATATTGGTGAAAGAACTTTGATACTATTCAATAATGATTTTATTAAATGAACAATATTAAATAGAAGAAAAAATTCTTTGAAGATATTAATCAATAAAATAAATAATCTTTTATATATTAAGAGAATTCGTAGGAATTATTTTCTATCCATTTTTCCTACATAAAAATATTCGAATTTGCAATAATAGATAAGATTTAAGTAAATCAATAGAATTTATTTAAATAAAAAAGTAATTTAAATATATTTCTCTGTTCTTAATTCATTTTCTTTCAATAGAATTATTTGAAAAAGTCTTTCTCGAAATGATTAAGTCCAACGAAAAATTGTTCGATTTCTCGTTTGAGTATATGATTTATTAAAAGAGGATAGAAATCATGTTAAATCAATGGCAGAATTAATATAAATTGATCTTAATGATTGTTATTAGTCAAAAGAAATAATTCATTTTCTTATGTTTTCAAATAATTTTGTTTCATTTCTATTATTATTCTGAGGTAAAAGAGTTTATCTGTGATATGTTTTCTTTTATTTCACTAATCTGATGATGACAGATATTTTTCTTCAATTTAGTCCAAGGTCGATAATATTATTATCTGGATATTATTATCAGAATTACTTTTTTTTCTCTATCTCGACATATCATTGAATAAATAGGAAAAATTAGTTATTTTATTATTAAAATCGAATGATTTTTTTTTAAATACTTTCTTAGAAAAACATACAGGGAGTGAGCGTTGGATCATTACAACAAGTTTTAGTGAAAGGTTTTCGAAGAAAAATGTCATTTAAATTAGTCTTATGAGCTGAATAAGTTTTATGATAATAATATGAAAAAATCTGGCTAAATAGATTTTATTCTCATAAACTCGATGTCATTTTTATTTTGAAAGATAACAAAAAACCAAATGAATATTTCCAGGGTTAATTTCAAATAATATGAATAAAATCAAAAGAAATTCGTTTTTAAATAATTCTAGAAGAAAAAAAATCTTTGTTTTAAATTCTATCTTCTAAATATTGTATATAATCATAATGAATTAGATAAAAAACTTGAAACTATTCAAATTGTGCGTATATATAGATAATAAAATAAAAGCACATGTTTTGAAAACGTGACTTTACTCAGTTATCTTATTCATAATAAAATATTATACAACCATATCAATTTTCTGTACTTGATTCAACTCTATTCATGGTACATATATATATATATAAGAGAAACTATAGATTTGTTAAAAGAATAAATTTCAAAATCTCAAAATGACTAATATATCAATTCGTGGAGAAATTCTTGTTGGTTTATGTTTAACTGCTGGAATAATTACAATATTTTATCAGAGAAAAAACAAATCGAAATTGTTATCAAAAAACAAAGTTTCAAATGAAAAAAGTCTTTGTGATTATTCATATCGAGATCTTTTTCATTTTTTTATTGCACCAGAATTTCATTATGATAAATTCCATTTTGCTAAAGGTTAGTTCGACATTTTTATTTAAACAACAAAAAGAAAAGAAGAAAATCTATTTAGAATTTAGTGAACAAATGCATATTGAAGCATCAAAATATATGATGATTGATCATGAAGATGATCCTGATTTTGCTGATCATTTTACTTATATTAAATATGATAAAGAGAAAATCAATGAAAGATTAGATTATATTCAAGAAAGATTATTTAAACAAAGATATCTTGATTGTAAGTTTTGCTCTTTTCTTTTTAAATAAATAAATAAAATCAAAAAATCAAAAAATCAAAAAGGGTTAGATGCTGGTCAACCTGTCGATGAAAATAGTTATTATTGGTGGGCTGAAACCAAACTTCATTTAATAACATATTTAATTCAACGAGAACCATATCATTTAACAGATGGAATATGGTTACGTGGTGTTCCACAAGGACCAATGACATATATTGATTCGAAATTATTTTCAATTTATATTGATGAATTAGGAAATGGTGATGTTAGTCAAAATCATCCAAGTGTTTATTTAAATGTTTTAAAAGATCTTGAACTTTATGTTCCACCAATCACATCAAGAGAATTTGTTGATCAAAAACAAATTCTTGATATTAGTTTTAAAAAACCTCTTTTAACATTAACAACATCACTTTTTCCAAAAACATTTACACCAGAAATTCTTGGTTATACACTTGTAAGTTCATATTCATCTTTTTATTTTAAATAAGAAAATCAATTTATTTTTCTGTTATAAAGTGGCTTGAAACAACATCATCATCTGAACATTCTGGTTTAAGAAAAATTCTTGAACGATATGATTTAAATCCCAAATTTTCCCTTCTTCACAATGCAATTGATAATAATTTAGATGGACATGGAAAATATGCACGTGATGCTGTTCAATTGTATCTTGATGATATTTTACAAAAAGAAGGTCGACAAGCTGTTGAACATCATTGGAAAAGAATTTGGACTGGGTTACATTTTATTTTTATTAAAAGAAAAGAAAAATTTCATTGGTTTCTTTTTCTAGATATGTTGCATATGGTACAACTGGAAATATTGATAATGAGCTTAAAGAATTATATAAAAAACAAAAGAAAATAACACCAAAACAAGAATTTATTGAATTAATTAAAAAGAAAAGTATTTTAGCAAGAAAAATGCATGGAGCAAGACGTATTGGTCCAAATAATTGTTTATTAAATGATTTATTTTCATCAAATGATCCAGAAAAACTTCTTTATGAATTAGAAAATTCTGATATGATTGTTAAAGGTTATCCACATCAAAGTAAACTTCTCAATCATGCCGTTTCTTTTCAAGGACCTATGTATCAGGTATTATATTACTACAAAAGAAAGAAAAACGAGAAAATTTTGACGAAATCAATAGATCTCATGCTCCTTAAAGCAATCGAGAACTTTCCGAGTACTCTAAGGGTTACGAGATCTATCTATAGGGAATATTTTATGTCACAACTCTGAAATTTCGATTTTTTCAGGGAAGTGATATGTATTGAAATCTTTTTCGAGTTTTTGCTACGGTACTATTCAGTATGAATAGACATAATTTGATTGAAATCTGATGAAGTAGAAAGGAACAGTACTTGAAACGGTTTTCACATAAGTTTCATAGAGAAAGTTATCAGTTTTGACAAGTAAGAAGAAAGAAATGTTAATTATTCGACCAGATGATAATGACACGTATGAAAATAATAAAATCAAATGAGTTTATTTGTTAATTTAAGGTATTTAATGCTGATGAATTGTCAATAATAACTCGTTGGATAATATCATTATTACCATCAACTATCAATGATGTTCTTTCACTTCTTGTTAAACGTCGTAAATTAGCAAAACATTTATCAACAAATGTCAAACTTGAATTATCTGATGGATCAGAAGAATATTTAAAAGATTTATTTGAAAAAGATCCATCAGAATTATTATCTGCGTTTCGTGTTTCAAAATGGAATATTCCATTTGTATTTCTTTTATTTCTATTTCAATTAAATAGAAAATATTTTTTTTCTAGGATGGATCAAATGTAACTAAAGAAAATGTTGATACATGTCCATTAATAAAATCTATTGATAAAAATGGAATTCTTGAACATGTATTTAATCGATATGATAATGATAAAGAAATTCTTTCCAATTGGATATTAGAAGGATCACCTATTCAAAATGAAACATCACAAGATCAATCAAAGCAGATTAATATTATATCACAAAAACCTTTTCAATTTCAATATTAACATTTTTCATCATTTACATTTCTAATAGATTTTGGTTTTTTTTTCTTTCGAAAATATATTTTTAAAAAATCTTTTGTTTTACTAAAAAGAAAAGATTTATAAATTTAAAGAAGATAAACGTTTCTTTCTCGAAATTCTAATCAAATTTAATATGCTAGAAAATCTTCAATTAGAATAAGATGATAATTAGTTCGATGTTTAACCTTATTTTTTAATACTAATTGAAATTCATGTGCAGAGTATCATCATATCTTCTAGATAAAATATTGAAATATTTGAATGAAAGACTAGATCAATTGAAGAAGTTATCAAATGTTACTATGTGTGACTATTTTGTCTAATATTATTTTATTTGTATTGATCTTTGAAAGATATATTTAGTACGATAAGTTAATCATTTGATTCTTCAATGAAGATGTCTTATTGTTGATGATATTCCTGAAAAGTATTGTTAATTCACATAAAAAAAGCGATGTATCTAGTTTATTTTAAGTATATATTATGTAATATGTACCTATCAGATTTCAGTGAAGTAAATGTAGCGTCAGATCTGATTGACGATGATGTTATCAGTGCATCATTGATCAGTGATACAAAGGTCATCAGTGTTTCACTGATCAATGACATTGAATAGATCGGTGTGCAATGAACATGACTGTCGGTGACAAATGTATCAGTTTCTCAATGTTATCATTGACACCGTCGTCCATACCTAACAAACTAACTATAATGATCAACTAGAAAATCTATTCGATTCACAAATGTCATATACATTTATTATTTCAAATCTACGAACAAAAATCGATTGAAACAAAATGAAATTCGTTGTTTAAAATAATAATCGTAAATCTATAAAAAATTTATTTTAATGAAATATCTTTCATATATTATTATTCAAAACTTTCACTTTCGTTCAATGGTAGAAAAAGGTTTGGCTTCTTTCGAACATAGGACTAATTAAAAAAAACTGACAAGGTTTTTTTCTTTGATATTTTTAGTATCATTATATAGAATCATTTAAGTTATACAAGAATATTTATATTAAAAAGTTTTAAACATTTTTCATTTCAAAAAAATTTGTTTAAAAGAACTAAAAAAATGGATCGAATTATGCGAAAATGATAGTTTCGCATAATTAGATCGAAAATGATTTGAATAAAGTAAAAGTGAAGATATTTGCCTTTAATTTGAATAAAAATGCATGAGAAAGTCAAATAAAATAGTAAAGATATATACGATAAATTGAAATAGAAGAATTGTTTCACTTGTCACTATATATGATTCAATAATATGCATATCGAAATGATATATATCAACAATTCTTTTTATTTTACTTCGATTTTATTCATATAAATATAATATAGAATTATTAGTTAGAAAAATATTTCTATTTCTTTGTTTGTATATTATTAATCTAATTAATGAATTTATTCAATTGGATTTTTTTTTCTTTGTAAAAATAAATGGAATATGAAATAATGAAAATCTTATTTGTAATGATAAATGAAAAAGTTGATTATCTAAATAAGAAAAATGTTCGACTTTTGTTGTATAGAAATGCAAATGCAAATGTCAAATAGTTTGCTTGGTTGATCAGTGTAAAAAGAATGATGAATGTAATATGTCCCTAGTGATGGTTACGGTTGATTCGTTATTGCATCATTATTCATATGAACAACGACAATTATGATAGATGAGAAATGAACAACGAAAGACGTGAGATTAGTGTGAAGTAAAATGTAATAGATCATTGAAGCATGACTGAAGAATACGACAACGACAACGACAACGACAACGAGAGAAAAAAAACGCAAAAGGAGAGAAGAAGAAGAAGAAGAAGAAGAAGAAGAAAAAAAAAAGGGAGAGTTTGTTCATTTGTTGATTTGATTTGTTCGTGTCGATTTCGTTTCGTTATCATTTGAAAAATATTTCATACTGGCCACTGCTAAAAAAACCACGTCATCATCATCTTCAGCTGCATCATCATCATCACTTTCATCATCAAGTACAGCAAGTAGTGTTGAAATTTATACAGTTATGGGATTATTTAATAGTGGAAAAAGTGAAAAAGTTGAAAAAGTTGAAAAATATGAAGAACATCATGAAGCACCAGCAACAAAACCACGTCATACTCGACCATCAAAACATCATCGTCCAAATAAATATGGAGCTATTATTCGACCAATGCCTCAACCATTACCAATAAATGGAAATTATTTTCAAGGATCTATTGCTTATCCTCCAACTGTATTTCCAAATTTAACTCAATATAAATATGGATATCCATCCAATTTACAATATGATTTAAGTAAATTTACTCCATCATCATATCCTTATAATCCATATGCTGTTGCTCAAACAGCACCAATTACTTTTCCTCCTATGTGGAATAATGGTGTTTATCAATTTAATGATCGATCACCTTTTCAACAACAACAACAACAACAACAACAACAACAGCAACAACAACAAGCATTTAATAATTATCAACAAAGTCCTTGGCCATATGCACCACCATCCAATTATGGTTATATGCCACCTATGAACTTTTGAACATTTTTATTCTTCTTTTTTTTTTCTTCTTTTCGAACATTGATTTAAAAAATCTCGTAGATCTTCATTTTAATAGATAATATATAGTTGAACGATGTTCATTCAAGCTTAACGAATGACCTTTTCTTTTTCCTTTTCTTTTTCTATTCAAAGAAAAAATGAAAATAATTCTTTAGTTAATTGCTCACTCGAAATACGAGTTTAATTAAATCTCATCTCATCTCATCTCATCTCATACATTTGTGAGAAAGAAAAGATTCAATGCGTCGAAATCATTTAAGTTTAATTTTACCAGATAAAAAATATCATTCAACGACATCATTAAGTTCAACACATTCATATCATTTAGTTCAAAGTGCTGAAATAAGTTCAACAGTAAATGAAAGTTTTTATGAAGATTATTGTAAATTATCTAAACGACGAAAATCTAGTGTTCATCAATATGCTCAAGTTGTTTTTATTGAATATTCATCGAATTCAAATCGTTCAACTGAACAATTTATTCGTGCTGGAAATTGTTTAACAACAGTTGCAAGTTTAAATAATTTCAATGAAAATCAAATTTATACAAATGGTGAAACATTAATTCATTTATCATCACGTCTTGGTCATGAACATATTTTACGAAGATTAATTCAAGAAACTCCATATGCAACACGATTAACAAATGGAAAAGGACAAACACCATTATTATGTGCTATACAATCATCTTATTCATCAACAGCTATTTTTCTTATGGATTTTGATCCATTAACAATAACTGTTTCAGATAAGAAAAAAAATTCGATTTTTCATTATTCAGCTTATTTATCAAATGATATTGTTTTATCAAAAGCGATTATTTTAATAAAACGTTTAAATAGTCAACATTTAAGAACACAAGTAAGATTTTTCTTTATAGAATAAAAAATAATATCTAAAATAAAAGTATAGGCATTATCACGTTTAATTGAAGAAAATATTGATGGTAAAACAGCATTTTTAATTTCAATTGAAAAAGGAAGTATTCGATGTAATAGATTATTTTTATCAACAAAAATTGTTGATCTTTCATTATTTTTAAATAAACAATCAGTTCGTTGTGCAATTGATAATAATCGTATTGATATAATGACATATTGGTTATTAGATAATCAAAGATTTGAAATGTTATTATCAATAAATGTGGATGAGAAGAATAATTATAATTTATTTGAATATTCAATTGAAAATGAAAAAATTGATTTTATTTATTTATTTCTTAAACAAGAATTTTCTCTTGAAAATTTACATTTAAAAATTCAATATAAAAAATTTTTAAATAATTTTAATAAAATTGATCAATTAACACCAATTCAACGTCTTTTAAATCGAAATAATATGATTTATTTAATTCCATATCTTCTTGATCAATTTTTATATGATAATTATTCAATTGATTTATCAATAATTGATGATTGTTTAAATAATTGTCCCAAATCTCATCGTTGTTTATTTGGACATACAAATAATAATAATTGGTCAAAACAAAATTGGTTAAAACAACATCCATTAAGAAAAATTGCAAAAATCTCACATAAATCTCTTGATGATCATTTAATAATTCGTCTTTGTGTTGATTTAAAATATCAATTATTTGGTAATATTCTTTATTTATTTGTTATTATTGGTCAATTTTTATATGTTATTTTATATACAATTGTTATTATTTTCTCATCAACAATTTCAATTGAAAATTTTAATTATTATTCATATTTAGATAATACATGTAATGAATTATGTTTTAAATTAATTAATAATAAAACAAATCATAAATTTATTTATGATAAATCAACATTAAGAATTTTTCGAACAATTTTATTAATAATTTCATTTTTAAATTTAATAAAAGAAGCATTTCAATTAATAACACAAAAAAATAAATATTTTCAAAAATTTTTTATAAATTTACTTGAAATTCATATGTATATTAGTGGAATTATTTATGGAATTGATTTAAATGAATGTACACGTCAAACAGGTATTCGTTGTTATAGACAATGGCAAATAGGTGCTATTGGTCTTCTTTCCGTTTGGACATCCCTCTTACTTGTTTTAATGAAAGGAATTAAATGTGGTAAACATGGACTTTTATTTATTACGGTTTTATTAACATTTCTTAAATTTATATTTTATTATATATTTATTTGGATTGGATTTTATCTTGCTTTTTATATTTTATTAAAAGATATTTTTCCTCAATTTAATTCATTATATTTAATAGCCAAACTTTTAGTTATGTTTAGTGGTAATATTTATTCTTTTCTTTTCTTCTTTCATTAAAAGAATAATTTATTTGTAGGTGAATTTGATCTGGATGAAACATTTTTTCCAAATAATGTTTTAATCAAAGGTAGTGAAGGTGCTCTTTTTGTTTATTCAGCATTTATATTTACAATGTTTATTGTTATGTCAAATATAATGGTAACATTTTTTTGTTTTTTCTAATAAAATTTATTTCTTATTTTTTTTCTTAACAAAAGGGTGGACTTGCTGTTGCTGATGTTAAAGAATTTCGTTTAAATGCCAAACGAGAACATTTACGTTCACGAATTGAAACAATTTTACAACTCCAAACAAATTTAGGATTTCTTTGTGAAATTAGTTCGAAAATTCTTTTAAAATGTTTTCATAAATATCATTTTTTAAGATTTTTATTTAAATATGATATGTCACAATTAGAAATAATTAATGAAAATTATTCTCATGTTGGAATTTTAACACAAACTGGTTTATTAAAATCATCAAATTTAAATAAAAAACAAAAAATCAATGGAAAATCTTTTATTGATAAAACAAATTTAATTCTTAAGAAACAAAATGAATTAAAAGAATATTTTGAAGAATCAATATTTATTACAAATAATCAATTAAGAAAATTAAATATACAATTAAAATCCGATATTGAAGAACTTAAAAGACATTTAGATCAACATTTAGATATTAAATAATATTCCTCTTCTAATCTTTATATACAAATAAAAACATTTCATTTAACTTTGTTGTTATTTTTAAAAATGAAGATAATGATATTTCGATCGTTAAAAAGCGATTTGTTTTTCTTTTCGACTAATAACATCTATTAGATTTGAGTATGAATATTTGTAAACGATAAAAATCGTCTGAGTGAGAGTAAAGAGTAACGAAATAAATCATATTGTCAAATATGTCCAATTGTTGAAAATATCTCATTAAGATAGATTTGAATTTACTTTTAAGATAAAATAAAAACGAAAACGATAACATTTTCATATCAAATATTTTAAGATAAAAATCAAAGCGAAATAAACTATACTTTAACGTCTACATTTGAAATTATATAATCAAATAAAACATTGCGTTTAATTTAACAAAAAGTTCAAATAAATTTCTATTGTATAATTTTATATTTAAAAGAAAAACAAATGTAATTAAACTTGATTAGTAATCGATTGCGTCTAATGCGACTATTATCAAAACATATTCAACATAAATCATGTATAGAATGTATCGAGGTTAACTTGTATTTTTTTTTGTTTTTATGTACTATTCATTGATAAGTCAATGATTTTTCCCATGACAAAACATATCTTCAATGTTTTACATCAAATAAAGATAAAGAATTTCATTGAAAATACGAATATCAAATGAATTGACCTCATCAATTAATCATTCATTTGTCTAGATTATATCGACTTTAGTTTTCATTTTCCAATGCAAAATAAACATATGAATTGGAACAAATGGACATGAAACTATTGATTTTTAATGTAAAGAAAACTATCGGATTGTTTTAAAAGATTCTTTATGAATTTGTATATTTGTTGTTATTGTATAGATAAAATGTAATTGTATAACTAACTAAATGAATAAAAATATGTAATAATCTGTTAAAAGAAAAAGTTTAGTTAATATTATTGTTTTTATTGAAATGATGTTGATTTTAAAAGATTATGGATAAAAAAAAGTGTCGACTAATAGAAATAATTTGTTAAAATATGTTATTCTGTTTTCCTATGATAATTATTAGTTTTGTGATGATTGGGTATTTTTTGTTTTTCTTTTTTTTCTCTCATCTATTCATGTTTAACCTTGAAATGCGATACACGTGTCGAGAAAAATAAAATATGAAAATAAAAACAAAAGAAATGTTTTTCTTTTAAAGATAATTATTAATAATATATGGATCATGAGCATATTGTCGATAAGGATTAAGTAATTCATCTCGATATTGAGCATCATGTATATCAAATACATATTGACGAGCTAATGCTGAAATAATTGGAGCAGCTTGCTGAGTATTAAAATATTGTTCAGCTGGAGATTGTCCACCATAAGCTGCCATTGGATCATAATTATTATAATGATGATGATCTGATTGAGAATATTGTGGTTGATATTGTGGCTGATATTGCGGTTGAGGTGGAGGTGAAGGTGGATGTTGATACTGTGAATAATTTTCTTGTGGATGATATTGCGGAGGAGCAGGTGCATGATAAGGCGCATAATTATATGGCTGATTAACAATAGCATTAATTCCTAAGACTTGGGGTGAACCTCCTCCACTCATTGGATAAGCAGATGGAATTGGACCACTCCACAGATTTTGTTGTTTTCCACTTCTAAAATAACGAAAAAACAAATGAAATTCTATATTTAATTATAATTTTAAAACGAAATTAACCTTTGATTTCTTGATGCTCCTTTATTGACTGCTGAATATCTCATATCAAGAACAAGTATAATTAATGCCAAAAAAGTAATAATTGTCATAATAAGACCAACAAGACCATTCCACCATGCCCAATCAAGACGTGCAAGTATATGACCACGTCTACCTTGAACAGACATAACACCTAATGTTGCTGATAAAAATGTAACTAAATTAAATTAAATGAAATGAAATGAAATTAATTTTCTTTTTTCTTTCCTTAAATTTAATTATAAAACATACTACAAATAAATAAAAGAATAGCAGCAGCAATAAACATAATATAATATGGCATTCCATCTAAATTTAATATTCCTAATATAATAAGAACAGCAGCAATTACATAAAATATTAAAGATATAATTTCTAATGGTTGAACACTTGTAATAAAACCTTTATTTTCAAAATAAATAAATAGAGAATAGAGAATAAAAATAAAATATTTATAAACCTGGTTTTGATCCAAATGTAACTCTTGTATTATTTGATGAATAATTTTTATCTGGCCATTGATTACAAAGACCTGGTGCTGATATATCACAAACTCTCCAAAGACCAAAATGAATTGGAACATCACTATATGTTATCCAAGGTGTTCCAGCAAATGAAACTAAATTAAGTGTCATATATGATATTGTTCCAATAACAATAACTCCTAAGAGAAATCGTCCAAAACCACTCTTTGGAAACAAAACCATCCCTTTTACTTATATTTGTTTGTGAATCCATCCGTATCCTATTTCGTACCTTGTTATATATACGATGCAGGTAAGGACAAACATATTTTCTTATTGACATTAAACGTCGTACTACACGTTTTTTATTATTAAACATCAATAAGGAACAAAAAAACGTTTCTCGAAAATAAACAAATCGATTCTCTTGCTTGTCTTTTAAATAATTCATTCAATAGAAAGTATTTCATCGATTAGAATAATAAAGAAGAAGAAGAAGAAGAAGAAGTCTTTATTCGGATATATGAAATTATCTCTTCTGTTTGAAATCAATTATAATTAATTTAATTATAGTAAAACTTCTCATAGTGAACACCTCTCGACAGTGAAATCTTCTGTTTTATGAACAGTCTCAGATCCGAAGGAGCATTTTTTGCTGGAAATACATCTCTCCAATATGAACATCTCTTTATTCTGAACAGTGAACGCTTTTTTTAGGTCCCGTCTGGTATTGTCACCTCTCCAATGTGAACATACATATATGATATTTTTTTGACCTCTTTCTATTTTCTGTCATATATTTTGATGAGCTGCCTAATTAGAATTCGAATTCGAATATAAATGACATCCAGCTGCACACTACTAATTTGAAAATAAATAGTTAAACTTAGGAATAGATTCAGTTTTAGTTTTACTCTAAGATGTATATGATTCATATATACAACCAAGAAGTGGCTGAAGGGGATTTATTTGAAAATTATTCTAAGACTAAATCTATTCTTAGAGATAGGTATTAGGTTTTCTCTTTTTAATGTCCGTTTATATTCGAACTCGAATTAAACAGCTACTCAGTAATATAGAACCATATTTTCACTTAATGCAGTCACTATATGGTTATTTATAACAAAGAAACGGATTGTACCGTTAGATCGAGAAGTATAGAAGTTAGATGGAATATAAGTCGAACGTTTTGTTTCTTCGATAGTTTATGGATATTGATATTAGTGACGGTAGTCATTTATCATATAAAAACATGTATCGTATGAAAAAGTAAAATAGTTTTTGTTATGTTTGTTCTAGATGAGTTATTGTTATTAATTATGAGATAGATGAAATATGTATTTATTTTTCCTTGAATCATTTCTTCATTTATCATCATTAATAGAAACAATTGTGGAGAAAACAAAAAACGTTGGAAGAAAATCAATCAAGTATGACAGAAATGTATTTATTCTCTTATATCTCTAGTTGTTCTTCTTAGTTATTTTCATAGATAAAAGTGTAACAATTACTATTTTATATTTTTGTCCTTCATGTTCAACATTATTTTCTAAACGTCTCGTTCTTAATCGATTCATTTTAACTGAAACAAATATCCGAAAAACCTTCATTAGATATTCATGAAAAATAATATATTTCGTTCTAACAAAATCAATATGACATCTTATAGAATACTTTTTCATTCTATCATCATCAGTTCATCATTCGATATCTTTTCAATACGAATTGAATAGAATAATCTTATTAGAAAATATATAATTGATCCAAAATAAACTGACGAATATTTGTTGATGAGAGAAACTTTTCTCGAATATATTGACTTCTTTTCATATTATTGATATGGCTTGATAAATTCAACTAGTTTCATAATTACGAATAATATCCATACATTACTATTAAAGAGGTACAAAGTTTGTGTTGATTTTGTTAATGAACAACATTCTTCCACCCAGTGAAATGAACAGAATTGATTTATCACTGATCGGTGCAACATATTCATCATATGTTACTTTTATCATGCTGATGAAAATGCACATCGAAGTATTCCTATTTTATTTTTCCTATAGTCATTAGCACATGTATGTATTATTGATCCACATTTAAACGTATCTACTCGTTTAATCGGTATATATGCTTTAGCAAACAAATCGCAATGCTAGAATCATATCTCTATTTTGACTACATCAATTTGTATTATCATCGATGACTTTAATGTAGATTTAGAAAAAGAAGGTGATAGAACGGATATCCATTGAAACATATAAAAATCCAATGACAAGTACCCATAAATTGGTATTGTGTATTCTAGCTTGTGAACATATTGAAATCAATACCTTTGCTAGAATAATATGAAATATCCTCTCTCTATTTTTCTGTCATATACTTATGAATTTTGGAAATACCATTACAATTTATCTTGCGCTTATTTCGTTAAATTCTTATACGCGTTGTTTTCTCGCTGTTCTAGATATTTCTTCTTTTCTTTCTTTCTTTATTTATTTGATATTATGCTCATTTATTATAATAATTATAGAAATACAAAAAAAAACAAAGTCAAACAAAAAAAAAGTGAATTTGTTATATTAAATAAACTATGTTTATTTTCATTCTTTTAAATAATTGAATAACATATTTCTAATAGAATAATTACGTGAAAAGAAAAAGAAAGTTTAATAAAAAATTGATCGAGTACGATGAAAAGGTGTTTGTTCATAAACTTGTGATTGTTGTCTTCGTTTTCTCCATAAATAAACATCAACAAGTGGTGCATTTAATCTTTGTCCACCATCACCCGTATCTTTTTCTAAAGGAATTTTTTCATTTGCTTGATTAACAATAAGATGAACAGCTAAAATTGAAGCAGCACGAATTTCACATTCATCTGCATCTCCAAATGGAATTTCTTCTTTTCGTTCAAGTCTCGCTTTCAATTGAGGTGAATAAACAAGAACACCTTCATGTGATAAAACTTGCGGAACACGATAATCAGCAAACATTGTTAAACCATCCTATTCATATATATATATATATTCATTATTTCATTTTTAATAAAATTCAATACAGACCATATCAGTTAAATGTCCTAAACCATGACCATTAAAACATCCCCATATATCACTCACTAAGATTTGTGCGCGTTTATAAAAACTTACTAAATAAATAAAATATTTTAAATAAGATATATTTTAATATAAAACCTCGTTGTCCATCATAAACAGATTCATCTCTATAAGATGGAAATTTTTCAACAATTAATTCAACAAGATCAACAGCACTTCCACCACTTTGTTCAATACAACGAGCAAAATGTCCACCATATTCCTATTGAAAGAGAAAAAAAATATTTTTTCTAGAAATAAATAAATAAATAAATGAAACTAACTTTAATAAGTATTGAACCTGTATCATGTAAAACATTTAATCTTTCAGTTAACATTGGTAATTTGGAAGAATTTTCTGTTGATCGAAATATATCTTCTAATTGATCTATTGTTATACGTGAATAATATTCAGCATTTAATATATCAATTCCATTCTTTTTTATTATTAATAAGAAAAAGAAAAAGAAAAAGAAAAAGAAAAAGAAAAAAGAATTTAATAAGAAAAAAAGATATTAATATTTACATCTAATGCTTGATTAATTGCAACACATAATGCTTCATAACCATAATATATTTTATTTTTATATTTTTTCGCATAGGTTTCTTTTTCATTATCATCGGTCCAAAATGAAAAATTCAATGTACTTGTTAAAAATATCCTTTGAAAAATAAGATTTTCGATTTATAATTAAAATTCTTTTTCATCTTCATACCAATCAATTGTTGATTGATCATTTCCTTTTGGTGGACCAACATCTGATCCAATCCAATCTTCTTGTGTAAATTCTCCATCCATCATTGCTGAAGAAATCTTAACAAAAAAAATAAATTTCTATTAAAAAAAAGAGAAAGTAAAATCAAACCATAATAGCCAATTTTTGTATAGATGGAATATTTATTGAAACATGTCGAGCTCGTTCCATTATAAAACGAGCAGAATCAAGAGGTGTTAAACAACATTCTTCATTTGTATTACCCGAATGAGTCATTTGTAAAATCTTAAAATAAATAAATAAAATATTGTCTATAAATCTTTGTAATTGTATAATAAAGATAATTTGTCAAATCAATTAATTCTATTGATTATTTATATACGAAAGAAAAATGAAAAATTCTTTCTTTATGATAAACAAAAGTCGGATGAGATGACATTTATTAGAACTCCACAGGATAGAAGATTTTCTCAAGACTTTCTCATAGACAAATTTATCGATTATTAATAATAAACAAAACATCTTTTCTCTAATATCAATACAAAAACATTTTTATTTATATCATTCTATACAAAAGAACAAACGTAACCTGAATCTGATGAATTTTCGATGATTTTTATCATGGTATGTTAATCTAGTCATTATTTAATGTATGTATCGATCGTAAGAAGATGATCTACTAAAGGTAGAAAAGAAAAACCAATGAAATATCTATATAGATTTTTGATTGTAAATAAGTGACATCTGTTATTTTTATTTAAAAAATAGAAAAAAAAACCGGCATAAAATACAAAAAAGAAAAGAAAAGAAAAGAAAAGAAAAGAAAAGAAGAAAGACTAAGAATGGGGTTGATTAGTAAGTGAAGGTGTTGGTGATCCACTTTTTCTAAAAAGTGACCAAGGAGTAGATGGGGATTTTCGAAGTTGATTTAAATGTTGATCTCCTGTTGTTGGACTTAATGTTGATGGTGATGGTGCTGCTAAAAATAATCGACTTAATTTTTTAAATTTTTGTTCTGATGTTGAAGATTTTCTTCTTTTTCTTTTCGATTTCTTTTTCTCATTTAAATTCTGAAAATGATCATTTGATTTATTAAAATGTTCTTGTAAATGTCTTAATGATGATTTAAAATCATATTGTTTATTATTATGTTGATGTTGATTAGGATTTTGATTTGATGATGAAGATGAATCTGTATGATTATTTTCATCATCATTATCGGAATCTGTTGATTCATTACTTGATGGAAGTGGTGTTGCACGTTTAATAATATCTTTTAAAACAGCTGCATCACGTTTTAAATCATGTCGTGTTGATATTATTGAAGGATTTTTTCCTAATTTATTTAATCTTTCAGCAGCAACTGATTCCATTGTACGTCTCATTAATGGATAAGATTCTAATACAGATTCAAATTGTGTTGCATCTAATGAATATAAATTACAATATGTTACACATCGAACACCAGCTACACGTTTAGCTCGTGTTAATAAACAAATTTCTAAACAAATATATTCATAGATATAGAGAAAGAAAGAAATTTCATTTTCGAACCTCCAAAATAGGATCCATCTGATAATGTTGTTAAAACAGTTCCATCTGATTTAATAATATCAACAATACCTTCTTGGATAAAATACATTTTATCTCCAATAGTTCCTTCATAAATTATTTGATCACCTGGTTGAAATACTTCAAATCGTAATTTAGTAACAACATCAGATACAAAATTTGGATCGGCATTTGTAAAAAATGGAACTGATGATACAAGAGAACGACAATTATAATTAATAACATCCTTTTAATTAAAATAAACATTTTTGTTTTTTTCATTTAAATAAAAAAGAAAAGATAAAGATAACAAACCAATCTTAATCTTTCGGAAAGTTCTGTTAAAATTGTATCTTCATGAAAGATTTTTCCTTGATAACGATGTTCATAATAATCTGATATTTTATTACGCATTTCTCTTGGTAGTTTTCTCCATGCCATATATTCTTCAACTTGTTTAAACTAAATTTTATTTTTCATTTATATATTTAAATATTTTGAAGAATATAGAATTTCTTACTTTTTCATTGTATAAACGTCTTGATGTATCAAAACTTTGTACAAGTGCTGATACATGACCTATTGTTATAGCATAACACATGGCTCCAGTTACTAAATTTATTAAAGAATAAAATAAAAAAAAGAAAAAGAAAGAAAGAATAAATCTTACTCATTGAAAGCATAGTTAACCACATATCAACATAACTTTGAGGAGGATAACGTCCATAACCAATACATAACATATGTGATAAAGCTTTAAATAATGCAACTGTATATTGTTCTGTCCATGGTGCAGTTTGAAGACCATTAAGTGCAACCCAACAATCAGTTGGAAAATTTTGAAACATTGGAATCATAAATTGTAAACAACCATTCCAATGTGCTAATAAGATAATTAATGCTAATAAATTTAATATACGCATAACCATACTTGCTATTGATAAAAACTATTTAAGAAATAAAAATAAAAATATTTTTATTTATTCAAAAATAAATTAAAGAAAGAAATCGATTGGGCAGGGAGATCTTTTTCTCCTATCCCTTCGAGTTTGTGATCATGCAGGTTTTGTTTTCTATGTGAATACACATGCAAGAATAATATTTAGCAAGTTTATATTTAGAATTTTCAAACGGACCTGTTTCGCATGCACCTATAAATACACACAAGAAGAGAAATAATATAAAAGAAAACATAATTCATTAATTAATCATGCAGGATATATATTCACATCAAATTTAATTAACAAAAAATAATAAAAGGGAAGCAAAGAAAAAGAAAAAGAAAATTTTATTTTTGTCACCCAGACGGGAAGATGAACTCGAAGGAAGTTGACCACATATAATTCTATCCAACGAAATCTGACTCGATGTCGCTATTTACATAATAGATCTTTCCCTGCCCTATTCTCACTAAAAAATAAGTAAAAAATCAATTCTCACCTCTTCCCATTGATGAATATATCTGACAAGACGTGATAATCGAAGTAATCGTAATAATGAAAGTAATTTAACAAGTCGTAAAACTTTTATAGCACGACCTGTACGTGCTATTGTATATCCTCCGGAATGATCTCCTGAATCGAAGAATAAAAATAAATAATCAACTGGTAATGAACTAAGTAAATCAACGATAAACCAAGTTTTGATATAATTTTTTGCAATTAAACGTGGTTCAAGAATTATTTCATCAACAAAATCATTTGCTAAAATACCTAAGAAAAAAAAGAAAAAAGAATTATTTCAAATAGAAATATAGAATAATCAAACCTGTTCGAAAATTAACAACAATATCAAATAAAAAAAATGCATCAGAAATAACATTTAAAATAATCCAACGTGCTGAATTAATTTCATCACTAAAAAATGCAATTGCTACTGGAAGAACAATAACATTTGTTATTAATAATACCAACATTATTAAATCCCAATAAAAACTAAAGAAAAGAAGAGAAATGACTTAGAAAGAGAAGAAAAGAAAAGAGAATAAAGACCGAAAATTTGAACATGGATGAATAATACAATGTCCAGCTCTTTGTTGTCTTAAACGTTCTTTAAGAAGACCTTTTCGACTTCCAAATAATTTCATAGCTAATTTATTATCACTTGGTTTTAATAAATCCATAAAATAATTAACAACTGTTGATCCACCTTTTATCGATGGATCAATACTTGATCGTTGTTCACGTATACTAGCACTTTCAGGTGAACAAATTTGATCATCATGAAATGATTGACATTCTTCAAAATGATTTGAATTCGATTTTTGTGGTTCAATTGTAACTGTTATTGGAGGATTTGTTGGTAAAATAAATTCTCCACTAATACAACCTCCTCCTTCACTTGTTCCACTACTTGTTATTGTACCTCGTTTATAATATGAACGAGAATATTTTCCCGAAGAATTTATTGGTAAACTTAATTTGATTTTTGTTGAATTTTGTTCATGATATTTTTGAGAATCTGAATCTGAATTTGAATAAAAAACATTTTCTTTTGTTTCATCAATTGTATTTGAATTTGTTTTTTTAATTAAAATAATTTCATCATGACTTTGTTTTTTGTTAATTTGTTGATAAGGAACATGTAAAATAATCTTATTATTTTTATAATGTTGTTCACGAAGTGTTGGTGGAACAGAAATAGTTGTTGATCTTCTTGAATAAGAATTCTTTGATGTATATGTTCTGTCAGGAAATGCTTGAAGAGATGCACGAGGATCGGATATCGATATCGATCGTTGTTGTTTGTCTGACCGATGTAATGCAAGAGATGACGGAGAGTAAGAGGAAGAAGATGGATAAACTGCTCCGATTACTTCAGATGAAACATCGCATATGCTTTCACTTGTTTTCATACATTTTTCTCCACAATTCTCATCAATGATCGTTTCCATCTCATTCTTTTTAAACTTTTCATTTTTATTACCTAAATAAAACTAATCTCTTTTAACTTAATCATTTCCTTTGATTTTATAAAATAAATCTCTTTTCTTTTGTTTACAAAGATAATTAAAAAGAAAAAAAAGGTGCGTACTTATTTTTGATAGTTTAATATTTTCCTGAATATTATCTTGTATATTATTTTCATTTGTCAATTGAATAAAATGATTTTTCATTTGAGATATTGAATTATTCATTGATGATGAATCCATTTGATTAGATTCTATATTATTTGGAAGAGATTGTGCATTTGATGTTCCAGACATAAATTTCGTCTGAAAAAGAAAAAGAAAGCAAAAGTCTTTTTTTGTATTGCCAAGAGTATGATTGAGGCTCTCTATCATGTCTTCTGTCTTTCTCTTTTCTTAGTTGAATCAACTCATGTTGTTTGTCACTTTCAGTGAAGCGATATTTTCTATATATGTCTATATGCTCCTCCAGTTTTTCTCCTATAATTGAAGTGTATGATTCTTCAGGGCAAAACATAGTTCTACTTTTTTGTCTCTCATCATTATATATTTATTGATGAAATATCTTAAGATTCAAGTAGAATAGATCATTTTTTTCCGTAGATGAAAAGAGAAATAAAAGAAAGTGATTAAATAAATAAATGACAGCTGATTTGTGACACTTATTTGATGCGTACAAAAAAAAGAACCTGAAATCAATAATAACATATGTTATTTATCTGATTGTAACTCTATGTTATCATATATAATATAAAAATTCAATTGACAGGTTTCTTTTTTTTTCTCTTTCTCTTTCTCTCTCTCTGTCTCAATGTTTATTAATAATAATATTACCTAAAGATATAAAGATATATATGTATTAGAATATGATGAAAACAAAAAGTGACAGACTAATTGAGTCTTTCGGCTCATATGAATACCGTGTAATGAGCGGAAGACTAAATTTATTCGTTCTGATTGTTGTCCTCATCATTTTTATCTTAGTTTTCTTATTAGAAATAATAAGTATGGTTTCACTTATCACACATATTCTTCATCATATTTCACATTGAGAAAAGAAGAAGAAAAAAAGAAAATCATCATTCAAGTGGTTTCTTGTCATTTCCGGTTTAATTGTATTTTCAATGACGATAATGATAATAACAACGAAATAAAAAGAAAAGGAAAAAGAAAAAGAAAGAATACTAACATTAAACTCTAATAGGATGAAGAAGTAGAAGAAGAAAGGAAACTATTGAAAAGAAGAAAAGTATCACTCATTTATTTGTTAAACAAGACGAAGACGAAGAAGAAGAAGAGGAGGAGGAGGAAGATCACCCACCTTGTTTATTGTTTCTTATCGAAGTAAACGTCGATCTTTTCTAATATTTAAAGACTGATAGAGAGAGGCAGAGAATAAATGAGAGAAGACGAAGAAAAGGACATGGTGAATGATGACAATGATAGCAACAGCAGTAATAATAATAATAACAACAACAACAACAAAAACAACATCTGCAGGGTGTTTGACAGAAAGAAATAGATAGATACCAGTCAGAGATACAGGGTTAAAGCAACTATACTCACATTAGTGTCAAACGACACAAGATGTGCTCACTAATATTGATTTGTTAAAAAAGAAGAAAAATGATGAGAAAACATAAATATATCTTGATAACATAAACGAAAAAATGTTTCTTAACCTGTCTACTAACAATAACTAAGAGTATCTTTTCTTTTCTTTTGTTATTTGTTCAAAAAAAAAAGCGATTCTTGATCATTTTCTTCGATTTCCGATTGATCAATAAGAAAAAGAAGAAAAAAAGTATTTTGTTCTTTCTAGTAGATTGTCAATCGTTTGTTGTCGATTGTATTGTTGAGATTTATGTATGTGTTTTCATAGAGAAAATCTTTGTAAATTGGTTAATGTTTTCTGACACTTAGAAGAAAGAAAATATTATGTTGAAGATATTGTCATATAAACAAATTTTTGTGTCATTTCCTCAGTGTTAATCTACAAAAAAAGAATATTAATAATCAATCTTTTCTATTCAACATGTCAAACAAAATCAATTGCTTCTTCTCTACTCACAGATAACAAAATAAACGACGCATTTTTTATATTTTACACTTTATTCACAATTATATTTATCTCGCTTTGTTTTTGTTCACATTAAAAATGAATCTATCTTCTTATTGGAATCAATTCTAAACTAAATATACTCAAATAAATTTATTTTTTTATATTTAAATAAAATGAAAAAAAAAGCGAAGAAAGAAAATGTTTGTGTATATGTATATGTTCTGATATAAATATAGTTAAGTATATCTAATGTATATTATATAAAGCACTTTTCATTTCTAATATGTCAATAAATAGATTTATTTATATAGTAAAGAAGAGAAGAGAAGAGAAGAAATGTGTTATCAATGTCTGATTGAGATATGACATGTCTCTCATTCATCGATAAGATAACAATTCTATCTTTGATTTTATTCAAATAAATCATAAAAATATTCTTCGAGTTATTTCCTCAAAATACATTTACAATAGAATATCAAACAAGAATTACTTTGATAATTCTTGTTGACATTATTATTTATTAGATTTTATCAATGATAACAACACAAATTATAATTAATCATAAATCTTCTTCTTCTTCTTCTTCTTCTTCTCCTAGATAAAACTAAAATCTCATTTCATCGAGATATTTCTTGAGAACAAATTATTTTTCTTATTAAAAACGATTAGATAAAAAATGTGATTTTGTTTTTGTTGTAATCTATGTGGAAGAAGAAGAAAAAGTGATTTTGTTGTAATTAATCGATATATTTGTGATCGATTATGAAAAAAATGTCTGTTGATAATAATGTCATAATAAATCTGTCACGCATCGAGATTATAAAATGAATAAATATTTGAAAAGAAAAGTAATTAAAATGGAAATTGAATTTGTCAGCGCAAGAATAAATGATTGAATATATATTAGATGAACAATTTATTTTCTCATCATTCAAAATACATCAGAAGAGAGATACAAGAAAAGATACTTCAACCGAAAATGGAATTTATAATCATTCTCATTTCAAATAAGATCAATTTCATCTTTACAGAATAATAATAACATGTTTAGTTTAATAATTAAAAAAGAATATTTCTTGTGGAAGTAATTCTATTAAACAGATTCATACTTTATTTTATTCTTCAAATTTATTTTTAGCAATTGTTATTATTATTAAGAAAAAAGAAAATAATAATTCATAGAAAACATTGAATTCTTATTAAAATATGTCACAAGAAAATAAACTTGAGACATGAGAAAAATGAATAAGAAGTATTCATGACTAGATACTTAAAAACGTTTGAGTTGTCACATAAATTTCACTATTCTACCAATTAACTGGCAAAAAACTTCTTCTCATTCTCATTCTCATTCTCATTCTCATTCTCATTCTCATTCTATTAATATATTCTATCGTTTATTAAAGTTTTTCTTCTCATCTTCTTCTTCTTCTTAATCAATAAATGAAAATATTTTCTTATGAATGACAAAAAAAGAATTTTTAATTAAAATTGGTTACCTTAACTTAATATATTAGTTGATTGAATCGAACGAAATCTTAAGTTAGTTTTTATGTTCATTCAAGTTATTTTGTCAAAATGATCTAGATGGAAAGATTGTGAGCGACATCTTCTCTTGATTTTCTTAATGGTTAAGATTTATTTCAAATAGAATTTTAAGAAAGAAATGAGAAGAATAAGTTCTATTATATTGTAGATGAATAAAAATGATTTTGTTGATATATTTCTTATTTGTAATTGTTATTGATAATATTGTATGTTTAAATTATCGTGATGAAATAATTGTTTCAAAAAAAGAAATTGAAGAAAGGTTTCATGATAATCTCAATCCATATAGTCCATTAGTTCCATGTGATTTTCTGTAAGAATTTTATTTAATATTTCATTTAATTAGTGAATAGAATCAATATTTTAGTCCATCAGATTATTATGAATGTGAATCAGTTGAAGATATACCTGAAAATGAAACACGATCATGTCAAGTAATTATTTAATAAAATAACTAAATAAAGAATAATACAATTTTTGTTTTCTTAATTTAATTAAAAGAAAAAAAATGGTCGTCGTTTTGGTGGTGAAAAATATGATGAAGTTGAACATACATGGATTCGATGTGAAATTTATGATGGAATTGATTGTAAAGGAAATCGTTCATTTATAATAACAAATATTCCATGTATTAAATATTCATCACATTATTTTATTTCAACACTTTTATATTCAATATTTTTGGGTTTATTTGCTGTTGATAGATTTTCTCTTGGACATATTGGAATTGCTGTTGGAAAAATGATAACACTGGGTGGATTAGGACTTTGGTGGATTATTGATATTATTCTTCTCATTTTTGGTAAATTAATGCCTCAAGATGATTCAAATTGGATTATTCAACATTAACATTTCATACAATTTTATTAAAAAGATTTCTTTAAATCATTAAGTCATTTAAATATTATAAGATACACATTTTGTTTTATATAAAACAATATTTCGATTTGTTATTAAAATATAAAATTTGTTTTCTAATAAAATCAAATTTCGATTTTATCGATTAAGAATCAATTCGATTTCATTAGATAAAATATTGAAATTATTTCAAATCTCTTTTATTTAACGTCATTTGAATTATTTTGATCAATATCTAACGAATATATCCTCCGAATTATTTCGAAGAAGAAATTTATTTTTAAATGAAAAAATTATTTAAGATAAATCAGTTTTTTAGTTTGTTCATTATGTAGAATAAGAATTCTAGACATATCATCTGCTTTTATCTGTTGGTATAAACATAAAGTTGAATATACTTTTTTATTAGATAATTCGTATTAGATCAAATGTTGATTATTTCTCGAAAATATTTTTATCATAGATTGATATTTATCTAATGAGTTAGTTCATTTAAATAGAATAAATATATATTTCTATATTGAAATGTTTTTCATTTAATTCGTAATCATAGAATAAAATAATCTATGAAATCTATTGATTTATTTTAACTTGATGTTATTTAACTATTGTATGATATTTCATTCCTAATACAATTGTGAAAATAAATCATGATTAATTAATTTTTAAAAAAATAAAAGTTGTTTGAATATGAAATATAAATTTTTCTTGTTTGATCGAATAGAATTAATCCATGTTTAATGTTTTAGTGAATATCTTCTTTGATACTTTGAAAATAAAAGAGCAAAAAAATGATGAGGAATGAAAACGAAGAAATTTGCCATTTACACTTTTCTTTTTTGTAGTACTATTTTACTCTTTCATTGTATACATCTATATATATATATATCACAACGACGTAATCGTTATTAAATGACATAGATTTTTCTATGAAAATGTCATTTATTTACCTCAAATGATAACAAATTCCTTGTTTTCAATTCTTAATGGTTTCGATAACATTATTCTTTTCTGTTATTAACATGAAACTTCGACAGATTTTTCTCACATTTGCTTTCGTTGTTATGTTTTACCAAGGTTTTTTATTCGTTTAATAACAAAAAATGAATATTGAATTAACTAAACGATGACTATGGAATGAAATGAGTTGAGCAAATATAGAATATATATAAATATACGATATAATCAAATAAGACAAGAAGAAAAATTGTATCTCTAATCAAGTCTCAGTCTTTTTCCAGTAAATATTCATTTTATTTCATCTAAAGATGGTAGATTTAATAAACAGAAAAAAGATAATTGAGATGAATCTTTGAAATATTTATTTAAATAATAAAATAATCTTTTTTTTGTATATTATAAATATATTTAAAACAAATCTTTAATAAAAATCATTGATTGAAAAACTAAACATATGTTATTATTGATTATGAATAACAACTTATTGAATGTTTTCTATTGAAAAAGATTTGGAAATATTTTATTAAATATCATTTATAGTTTTAAGATCAGAAATCAATTGTTAATAGATAGAAAAGGAAAAAAGTACTATTTCTAATATGATTAAAGGTTATTCTATTTTGCTTGATTTCGAAGTTAATTAACAAACAACTGTTTCAACTATTGACTGATTAGATACAGATTTTCGAGATCTCATCAAACATTTTATTGAAGAATATCCTTCAATCTAACATTGACTAAGTATGTTCAAATTGACTTTTCTCGAATAACCATATTTCATCAGTCGGGTCACCAAGAGCAATTAAGTACTTCTTCCAGTAAGACAACCACCGATCTTCGAACGATTTCTCTTATCAAGAGAGAGAGAGAGAGAGAGAGAGAAAAAGCAGAATAATTTACATTCCAGTTCAACCAGTACAGAATATTTCTTAAAAAAGAATAATAATAATGTGAGAAATCACATTGTTACATCAAACAAAGAAAGAAAGAAAGAAAGGAATAAATCGGATAAGTCCATGTAAAAATAGACAAAAATAAAAGATAAAAACAATATTTTGTGAAGACAAAGAGAAGAGCAAGCAGAAAGCTTAAATGATTTTATCAAACAAATCTTATGTCTCTAACTTTAGTCATCATAGATTTAACAATAAATTTATCCCCATCTAGTTTAAATGAAATGAGGTAGTCTATGTATTATTTATACTCCGAAATCCAATTAATTTTTTCTTTAGAATAATAATTAAAATGAAGGTTAAACTAAGGATAATCAATGGCGTGTGCACTAAATAAAATCTCGCTTTTATTTATACTAACAGATTGATCAGTTAAACACAAGTAATATTCAAGAAGATCGAGAAAAACTCTTAGTTATTTCGTATTCAGACACTTTTTTCATACATTTCATTTACTAATTAATCAAAAATATTTTTTTGAAATATTTAAGTTTTAAAATCAATTCAATTTAATTGATATTGATTCATAAGAAATGTATAATTCTCAAATGTTGTGTTACTCAATCAAACGACAACAAGTTTTTATAATGAACAAAGACTGAAATTATTAGTTTTTCTTGTCAATTATTTATCTTTGGAAGAAAAATCAATAGAATATAAACAATGAATATCTTCTATTTATTAATAACAATTCATTTTTAGATTTATTTTATTTGATTATAAATAGCAAGTTAAAGCATTAGATCGGTTTTTCATTAAGATCATCCTCATTCGAAAAAGTTCATTTATCGGCGAACTTTTCGATCATGAATAAAATTTTTCTATCAATGTTTTCATATGGCCCTAATCCAAGTTAAAAGAGTTAGAATTTCAATCTTACGTTGGATATCTAATGATATACAACGGTTTTTTAACAATCATTCTAGTTTTTGACTTGTCTTCGATGATAAATTTTAAGAATAAAACTGAAAATAAAATCTACTTCTGTAAAGTTGTACTGCTGACATTTGTCTACATTTAAAAGGCAATCCGAGCTTTTTATCGATTAAAATAACAAACAAATTCGGAGCGTATATGCATTCACAGTTTGGCCCGTTATCTCGAGCTAAAATTTCAACAAGATTCGATGGTTAAAATCCAAAATAAGTTTTAGAACAGAAACACTTTAATAAAATAATATATTAATAGGAAATGTTTGATATTGTGAATCATTTTTCAGAAATTAAGATAATATTGAATTAATTGAAATAGTAAGAAGAATTTGATTTTGTCTTGAAACAAGATTTAAAATGTGATAAATTTTTTAGTAAAATCTTTGAATAAAATCAATATGATTAATAAATGAAAGTAAAATGTTGTAAGATAATGTTTTATTAGTTGATGAAAAGTATTTAAATGTATATTGCGAAGAAAATTTAATCAAGGACATATTTGTTTGATGAATATCCTTGATGAAAAGTACACACTTATATATGCAAAATAAAAGAATATTTATTCTTTTCGCTTTTTTTTTCTTCTTCTTCTTCTTCGTCTTCGTCTTCTCATTCACTAAGTATTCGTTAATGTTTTTATTTATTATTATTTAATTTTCTAGAAGAAAATCATCACATTTTATATTTATATTATAAACTATTTTCAAAAATGAATTATTTCAATAATATCTATTTGAAATCTTAATAGATTTAGATTTAGATTTAGAAAAGTAATCTCAACAATTGATAAATATTAATATTATTTCATTTTAAAATAAACAAATTTCTTTCGAAAAAAGAAATCTTTTTATTTTAAATCTAAAAATCAACTGATTTGTGAATATCTTTGTAAAAAATATGAAATATAAGTTGTAGTTGTGGTAAAGTAGATTTCTTAATAAATTGTCATTTATTTTTGAATATAATTAAGAGAAATATTTTGTAAAGAAAGTAGTTAATTGTATTGTTAAAAAAGAATAATGGTTAAATAATTGTCTATCCTATGAATTGAATCATTTTCAATAATAATAATATTTCGAAAAATTAAAAGAGAAAAATCTTTTGTTTGAATAAAAGATAGATTTTCAATGAAGAGATAAAAAAGAGTCTATTCATTAATCATTCATTTAGACAATTGAGACATTTTTTACTTAATCATATGAAACTATTCAAGTACTTCTTCTTCGTCTTCATCGCATTCTCTAATAATCATATCTCTTTTTTTCTTATTTTATTTAAATATTTTTGTTATTAAATTAAAAGAAAAATAACATTTCTATTTTCTCGAAAATATCTGATAAAGAAATATTTATTTTGAAAGAAAAAATCGTTGAAAATGCTTTTGTTATTGAAATAAAATTCAATAATCAATGTTGGAAAAGTTATTCAACGATTAGAAATCGAAGTTGATCTGTCTTGTCAGACGATAAGAGAATTTTAGCATGAGCAATTAACTGTCTATTTCATTGATTAGACTAAAAGGAAAAGAGAAGAGAAAAAAACGCAAGTTGTCATAAGGAAGGTTTTCTCTCGTTCTTGTTCTGTGATGTTGTCGGTGCCGCAATCGAGCAAATGAGTTGGTGTCTCGCTCGATGCCGCTGTCCGTGTTGACAAACAATTTCTCTCTCGTCTCTCTTCGTCGTCGTCGTCGTCGTTGTCGTCGTCATCGTAATCAATGTATTGCAAATTATATTAGGTGGTGCCCGTGCCTTTTTCTTCTCTATCCGTGCATCCATTTCTTTTTCTCTGACATGCAGAACACGACTAGTGACTGACCCATTAGAGTAAGTTTCTCTTTTCCTCATCTATATATAATGTTGTCTTTCGCGTTTCGCTCATCGATCGTCAACAAAGAAGAAAAAAGAAGAAGAAGAAGAAGAAGAAGAAGAAGACGAATAATTTAATCGGCTTCCATCGATTTCTAACTAGACAATGAAAGAAAAGAGATGCAGTTTTTTTTCTCGCCATTGTAATAATGTCTTTCTATTTTCTATATATGAAAAAAAAAAGTCAGAGTTATGTGGATCATTCGAACTATAAGTTCTCTGTTAAGTGTCTCGTGTTACATGATTAAACCAGTCGGTGTGCCGTTCGTTATTCAACCATCTTTTGGTTTAATCAAATGACCACCACGCCTCAAATATGAAAAAGAGAGACAGAGAGAAAGAGAGAAAAATTGTTGAATTTAATGGAGCGACGCGCCATCATTGAATCAAATCGAAGTAAGAGTCGTCAAACGAACGAGTATGCACATACACACAGACGACCGACGATTATAAATTGTCAATGATCTCTCTTTCTCTCTTCTCTTCTATGCTCCACCATCCTCTGTGCTTCACCGGCAACAAGCGCAGAGAGTCATAATGACTATCGGGCAGAGAAGGGAGAGCAAGGAAATTTTTGCGTTCTTTCTCTCTCGTCGCTATTCACTTGATTAGGTAATCATAGATAGAGACAAAGCTCGATGTTGTGTTTTTTTCTCCTTTTCTTTCTTTTTTTTCTGTATATGTATGTCTCAACACCATCGATCCAAATGAGAATGAGGTGGTTCGACTGTAATAACGAAAGGTACATATGAAGAAGTATTCGAATGAGTTGTGAGTACACTGTGTTTTTAATCATTCTTGTTCTGGTCCCGGACCGAACCGAACAGCGTCGAGGGGCAAGTATTCGTCGACAAACGGAACTCTCTTTTTTTTTCTAATCACATTCATCGTCCTTATTCATTAAATTACTCTCTCAGTTCTTTATAGGGAAAAAGAAGAAGAAGAAGAAGAATAAGAATAAGAAGAAGGCAGAGAAAAAGGCAGTAGTGGTAGTAGTAGAAGCAGCAGCCAGCAATTAGACAACAACAAGTCTCCCTCTCTCTATGTCTCTCTCTCTCTCTCCCTCTGTTCTGTGTTGCTGCTATGTGATTTGATTTGAGCAGCATGGTTGCCTGCCTCAGCTCAATACAATAATCATTCTCGCTGTTGCTGTCGTCTCTCGCTCGTTAGCGCACTCGGCTGCGTGAGCAGCCGGTATTGGATTTGCAAGTGCGCGCCGCGCCGTCATTCTTTTGTTGTGCCACTCGTTCCCTTTTTTTTATCTTTTCGCTCGCTCGCTCTGGATTCGAGTAAGAATAAGGGAAGCAAAGAAGAACAGAATTGTAACCATCACTAGACGATATAACACTTTACTTTAGTTATTCGTTTTTTTTTGACATCGATGACCTATATAAGAACTTTTACTTAAATATTTCATTTGATTTTATTTCTTTTATAAAATAAAAACGCTTTTTTTTCTTTATTTTTATTTGAAAAAAAGATTTAAAATTTTATTAAAAACGAAACAATGTTCGATCTTTGTTTCATCGTTTAATAAATCAGAATTATAGATGATGTCATGAGTGAACTATTATTATTATCATCATCATCGTCAACATCATCGACAAACGGCACACCTAATGAAGTAAAATTATTTTCTTATTTTATTTCTCAATATATATATATATATATATTGATTCTAGGTCATGGCTGTGGCTGAACGATCTTTGTCGCCTGAAAATCGTCTATCAAATGTTCACTCGAGAAATTCATCTAAAACACTTAAATGTCCAAAATGTATGTTTAAAGTTATACGTTGATTTATTATTTTTTTTCTTTTTTTGATAAACTAAAATTGTTATAAATTGTTTAAAAAGGTAATTGGCATTATAAATATCAAGAAACATTAGAAATTCATATGAAAGAAAAACATCAAATGGGAACAAATTCTGATGGAAATTTAAATAATTCATCAGAAATTGAAACAAATTGTTCATATTGTTTATCAAATAGTGTTCATCCACGTCTTGCTCGTGGTGAACAATATCCATGTGGATTTAAACCATATCGATGTGAATTATGTCTTTATTCAACAACAACAAAAGGAAATTTAGCAATACATATGCAATCAGATAAACATATGAATAATTTTAGAGATTTATCTTCACCAAATATTCAACAACCATCAACATCTTCAACATGTACATCTTCACCTGATAATTCTTTACTTGATCAAACATCACTATCACAAGGTTTGTCTTTTCTTTTTTTTTTACTTAAAAAAAATTCTTTCAAAAAAAAATGTTCTTTTTTTTATTATTAAATACAAATTAAAAAGTTTTCTCTCCCTCTCTCTCGAATCTATATTAATAACTAATGACAATCTTTTGCCTTGAAGTTTTTTTTTCAATTGATAAAAGAAAGAAAATATTTTTTTTCTTTTTTTTTTAACGTGATAATGTCAATGAAATAGTTAATAGAGTTTACTTGAAAAATCTTTTAATTGAGAGATGAAAGAAACAATAAAATATTTCGATGATTTTTCAATAAATATATAAAAGTTATTGAATAAGGAAGAAGTAGAATAAGAAGAAGACGAAGACGAAGACGAAGACGAAGAAGAAGAAGAAAGAAAGAAAGAAAGAAGAAAATGATTTATTTTCTTTGTTTTTTCTTGTATTAGTTGTTGCTTGTCATTAATCGTGGTTGGTTCCGTTAATATAAAAATCTGTTACATCTATCTGTGTGTTCTATCGGTGAATGTGAAAGATGTGAATAGTCGTCGTCGTCGTCGTCGTCGACAACGTTGTCGTTATTGTCGTTCTCTTTTCTTGAGAGTAGGGCATAGACACTTTCTCTGTTATAGGTCGCTTATTAGCGGATGGTTATGGTTGGTATCGAAAGCGATATTCGCATTGAGAGTGTCGATGCCAGTTTATATGTTAAGAAAGAAAAAGAGGAACGAAATCCATTAGGAATGAGGCGACAGCCGTCGAGAAAGAGAGAACGAGAGAGAGAGAGAGGGAGAGAGAGGGGAGAGAAGAAATAATTTATGTAACAATCTCTCTTTCTCTCTATTCTGCCTAATCGTCGTCGTCGTCGAGCTGCCGCTCATTATGGGTAATTGGCAATCAACGGTCTCCTTTTCCTCTATCCAAACGAGATTCCAAGACGTTGCATCTTTTCTTCTCTTTTTCTCTCGTTTTTTTTCTTCTCTTAGTATCATAGAACTGACTTGTTACCAGTCGAGTCTCTCTCTCTCCGTCTCTCTCTCTCTCTCTCTTTAGATGGCTCGATCGTTAGTTAGTTAATATACATGTTTGGTGCGAGCAAAAGATAGAATAGGGATATATTATTCATTCATTGCTTTAGTTCGACTGATGGTCTTTATGCAAGTGTTTTTTTCCTTTAGAAATGAAAGTGGCAACAGAATCATCATCATCTATTGAAACATTTACATGTCCACTTTGTTCTCAAACAAATTTAAATACAAAGGTAGATTATAGATTTCTCTTCTCCCTTTTTTTTTATTATTCCTTCATAAAACTTTTAAACAAAATACTTATTTTTTTTTAAAGGAATCATTGAAAGAACATTTATGTTCAATTCACAATTGCACTCGAGATGCATTGAACCGATGTCTAGCATTGATCGAAGATTCAGGTAAAAAACTAAAATGTTGGTTGATTTCTATATTTGAATGTAAATAATATTGATTGTAAAGGAGTGAAGTCTACCTTTAATTAACGATAGTGTTGAATAGAAAAGAAGGAAAGAAAAAAAGAAGAAAAAAAAAAAAAAAAAAGAAAAAGAGAGGTCATCGTAGAAAGGGATGAGGAGGAGAAAATAAATTAGGTTGATGATCTCTATCCAATGGTGAACGAAGAGACGAAGAATGAAAAAAAAAAGAAAACGAAGTGAGCGAACAATTACTAATTTCATTTATATGTTATTGGTCGTCGTCGTCGTCGATGAGGGTTCGATGTCATCAACATTTTATTCTGTTCGAAGTGGTGATGGTGGTGGCCTCACAGACAACGCAAAATACCCGAGATTACCCCCTTTGCGTTCTCTTTCTTAATGAATGAAAAGAAAAGAAGAAAAAAAAAAGAGAAAAAGACGACGATGAAAGCGACCACATTCATTCGCCTTCATTAGACAAACTTATTGACTTGTTTCCCTTCTTCTCTCTTTCCGTTTTGTTCTAAACATCAAAACTCCACTTCTTCTTCTTCTTCGTCTTCTTCTTCTTTTTTATTCAATGATTTTTCTTCTTTTAACAAAATAATAAAAAAAAAAAAAGTGTCTCTTATGATAAGCAGCTGATTAGAATTTGTAAAGCGCCCTCTTTATTTCGTTGATTTCGTTCGAAAAGATTCGTTCGTTTTTCTTTTTCTCGTCTTTCTCTTTTTTTTTTGTTTTATAAAAATTGTTTTTCTTTTAAGGATTATCATCAATGGCAGAAACAAATGATGAATATCGTTGTCATTTATGTCCAAATAAAACATTTAAAGATTTTTATCTTCTATTAAATCATATTCAAGATCAAAGTAATTTTAATTTAAAAAAAAAACGAAGTTTTTATTTAAAATAAAACTAAATATATTTTCTTATTAAAGATCATAGTGATGAAGAAGATAAAACAGTTGGTTTATTATGTTGGAAAAAAGGATGTAATCAATATTTTAATTCTTTATCAATTCTTGAAAAACATTTTCATGAAATTCATTCAATAAATAATCTTATTGAATCAAATCGTATTTTGGAACCTAAAACTTCATCTTCATCATCATCTAATGTAACACCATCATCATCATCATCAAATAACTTTTTATCTAAATCACGTGAAAGATTAATATCAATAGGTGAAGATTTAGTTTTACATTATTTAGAAAATCATGAAATAAATGATGATAATTCATCGAATGAAATACTTTGTGATTTATGTTTAAAAAAATTTTCAAGTTTATCAACATTAAAAGTACATTATGAAGATATTCATTCAATTGTTCTTTCATCACGTGCTATTCAACATTGGATATTTCTTTTACAAAAACTTCATTCATCATCTTCATCATCATCATCGTCATCAGCTAATAATAAATTAAAAAGACAATCATCATCATCACTACAAAATGATTTTAATCAAAATAAAAAATCTCGTTATGAAAATCTTTTATCACCATCCTATTTAATCTATCCTCCATCATCATCATCATCCGCCGCCGCCGCTGCATCTCTAGTAAATCAATATGATTTATCAAATAATAAAAGACAAAGAACACGTATTACAGATGAACAATTAAGAATATTACGTGCACATTTTAATATTAATAATTCTCCAAGTGATGAACAAATTTTGTTAATGTCACAAAAAAGTCAATTAACAACAAAAGTTATTAAACATTGGTTTCGAAATACACTTTTTAAAGAAAGACAAAGAAATAAAGATTCACCATATAATTTCTCCAATCCTCCATCAACATCAAATCAAATTGATTTAGATGAATATCAAAAAACAGGAACAATTATTAAAAGAACAACTAATGATTCAGATTATTCAGATAATGATTTAACTTCGAATGATGAACAAGATCTTCTTTCGGATATTGAAGATTTAAATCTTGATTATAATAATAAATTAAATAATCAATCATCATTAACATCTTCATCATCACAACAACAACAACATCAACATCATCAACAACAACAACAACAACAACAACAACAACATCAATCATCATCATCATCATCATCACGACGTGCTAATAGAACTCGATTTAGTGATCAACAACTTCGTCTACTTCAAGATGCTTTTGAAGCAAATCCTTATCCAAAAGATGATGATTTAGAAATTCTTTCACAAAAATTAAAACTTAATTCACGTGTTATTGTTGTTTGGTTTCAAAATGCAAGACAAAAAGCAAGAAAATCGTATGAAAATAATCAAAATGATACAAATAATAATCATCAAGATCCATCCCAACAACAACAACAACAATCCCAACAATCCCAATCTCAACAACAACAAGAAGAAGAACAGCAACAACAACAACAAGAACAATTAATAAAATCAGATAAAGATGAAGGATATTCTTGTAAAAATTGTCAAAAATTATTTTCACGTTTTGCTGAATTAATGAAACATGCTAAACAATGTTCACCATTAACAACGAAAAAAAGTTCATTATCAAATAAAAAAGATTTTATTAAAGCTGAATCAATTGAACAAAATCCATCATCAATAGATTCATTATCATCTTATCAAATGTTAGTTGCTGCTGCTTCATTAGCTGCTGCTCAACAACAACAAACACCATCCACACAACAACAACAACAACAACAACAACAACAATATACAATTCCATCATCATTTTCACGTAAAGATAATTATTGTGATCAATGTGACAAAACATTTACTTCAACAACTGAATTTAATGAACATCAAACATTACATATGCAAGCACTTATTAATGCAGCAGCCTTTTTTCCACTTGCTGCTTATCATCCAGCTGCAGCTGCTGCCGCTGCAGCTATGGCCGCATTATCATCACAATTATTTACTAATACACCGACGACGGTATGCTCATTTTCATTTTCATTTTCATTTATTAAAACCAAAACATAAAGGAGAATATTTGAATTATTATCTTCTAGAAAATAAATTAAAATTTAAAAAAGAAACTTTTATTATTATTTGTTTTAAAAAATCTCTTTAGTTTTCGATAAGATAGATATATATTTCTTATCTTTCTTTATTAATGAGAATATATATCTATCTAGACTTAAAATTCATTTCAGATGCAAACATGTCACATATTAGAATTTTGTTTTCTTTTTCAATTAAATTCAAAGAATATTTATTAAAAATCTTTACGAGAATAAAATTTCAATTCTTTAAATATCGAATTACGAATATAAAAAAACGTTGCTTTTTCATTAAAAATCTTTGTATAATGAATAAAATCTCCGTATAATATGATGAGTAAATAATTTATTTTCGTTTATTTAATTAAGAATTTAAGTGGTGTATCAACTCCTTCAACTCCAACGACATCATCAGTAACATTACATGCGTCGTCAAATGAATTAGCAAAAGCAAGTGTATCATCATATGCATCAGATTCATCAAATGAAATTGAAGAAGAAGATGGTGGAGCAAGTATTGATTCTAATGATGAAAATCATAAATTATCTAATGTAAATAATCAAAAACGAAATCGAACAACAATATTACCTGAACAACAAGATTATTTAATGTCAAAATATTCAATTGAATCAAATCCTTCGAGGAAAATGTTAGAAGATATTTCATCTGAAGTGAAATTAAAAAAACGTGTTGTTCAAGTATGGTTTCAAAATACACGTGCACGAGAAAGAAAAGGAAATATTAAAATCGAATCAAATTCAAATTCAACAATATTAAATAATAATAATTTAAATTTTAATAAAAAATGTCTTCATTGTTCATTAACATTTAAATTAAAATCAACACTTGAAAATCATTTATTAACAAAACATTCAGATTTTTATAAAACAAAAGATGATTTAAATTTAATTGATTATGATTTATTTCCATGTGGAATATCATTAAATGATGATTTACCACTTGATTTATCTTCTAAAACATCAATTAAATTAGAAAAAAAATGTGAGAATGAAGATTTTATTAATGAATGGAATGATTCAAGTGATCAATCTAATGATTCAAATGAAAATTTTAAATTTAATTTAAATAATAAAATATCACAAAAAATTCTTTCCAATGGACATTTATCACCAACTGGATCAATTCAATCATCATCCAATGGAATTAATGGACAAAGAAGATTTCGAACACAAATGACACCATTACAAATTAAATTAATGAAAGCTATCTTTCTTGAATATAGAACACCAACAATGTATTCCCTTCATCTTCTCTTCTTATCTTTATATTTATATCTCTATTTCTCTATTTTCTAGGCCTGAATGTGAATTATTAGGAAAAGAAATTGAATTACAAAAACGTGTTGTACAAGTTTGGTTTCAAAATGCTCGTGCTAAAGAAAAGAAAAATCCGAATTTTTTTAAATCAGATCTTCCAGAAGAATTTCAACCAACGAATGATCAATGTAAATTATGTCAATGCAAATATACTTTACAAAATCCTCAAAGAGTAATTGATTTTAATTCTATTTAAAAGATTTATTTTGTATCATTTCTTATTTCTTAAATAGGATCATTTATTTACAACAAAACATATTGAAAATATTCGTTTAATTTTAACAAAACAAATGGGAAATGTTTCAACAATAAAAGATGATAATCAAATAAAAAAGAACAGTATAAATATGAAATTAGATTTAGAAAATTGTCCAACATCAGTATTAGATAAATCATCGAAAGATGAACAAAATCAAATTATGTCTTATTTAAATTTAATGCATCTTATGCCACTTGGTTTGTTTCATCTTCCTATTTTCTTATTTATTTCTCATTTATTTATTTAAAAAGGAATGGATCCATATAACTATGGTTTAATGGATCCAAATATTCATGGTACACCTATGTTTATGTTACAATTACCATCTGAAGCTTTAAATAAAATTGTTTCATTAAGTAAATCTGATACTCATTTAACACGTGCTCAGTATACTCAAGATGGAAAAACTCTTCAAAATTTAATTGATAATGGACATACATCTGTTGATTATCAAACTGTTGATGTTGGTTATGCCTGTAAACGGTGTAATCTTGTTTGTAAGTTAACATTTCCTTAGTAGATATTTTTGTTCTTTGTAATTAGAAATAATTTCATTTAAAAATGATGATAAATCTAATTTGTTTAGGGCCATTATATGAATCATGTCGATGTCATGCATTACTTTGTTGGCAAATCTCTCCATCAACATTACCTATTTGTATAAATTCACGTGAAGATTTAAATAATTTATCAGGATATATATTTAAAATCGAACAATTAACATATCGATGTTTATTATGTAAAACATCATGTTCAACAATATGTGAATATGAAAAACATATAAAAGATGATATTCATTTGAAAAAAAAACGTTCAAATTCAACAATTGAAGAGAATGATTGATATTAAACGAAAACAAAAAATATAGAAACTTATTCGGCATCGTGCTTTTAGCATTCCTCCATTTATCGTCTTTTTTCTTTTTTTTTTCTTCTTTTTTTTTGTTTTTGTATTTGTTTTTGTGTCTGTGCGTAGCGTTCTCGCTCGCTTCCATTATCAACTAATTGAGTAGAAACCACTCGAAACTTTTTTTTTCTTTTAATATTATTCAACAAAAGAAGACAATATCAACAATTATTTCTTTTTAAAATCATCGATTCTATTTCATAAAACAAAATCCAGGAACCTATTTTAGTTACATTCATCTTTCTAAAACAATAACAAATTTCGATCATAAAATAATCTTGATTATTCTTATCAACAAGAATTTATTGTTCTTACTTTTCAAATTTCTAGAACAATTCATTTTTACAAGAAAAACAAACGATTAATTTCACATAGAAAATATCTTTAGATTTAGAAATAACGAAATTTTATCAAACAATTTCTTGTTTTTTTTCTGTTAACATTCGATAATGAAATTTTCTATTAGTTAGTTGTTCATAAAAGCAATTCCAATAAATTCTTCTTTCATAACTATTTTCAATCGTCTATCTTCAATATAGAAATGGAGAAGAAAAGAGAAATTTCATCGAATGTTTAACGATTTAAGAAAACAATAAAATTCTATTTAATAATATAATAATCATAGTGTTTTCGTCATTCTTTTTTCTAGTTAATACTTTAGAATTAACTTTCATTGAGAAATGTAGATATTCAATTATTTTAAATACTCAAAAACATGATTATATTAAAATCATGTTCTTTTATCTTAGATTTATTGAATTCTCATAGAAATAAATAAATTATTTTTATTCAATAACAATATATCGGGAAAATAGGACATTTACCGCTTGCATTTCACTTGAATTCTTTACAAGGATTTTCTTCTACCATAGATATATATACAAATATTGCTGCTTTCATCTATCACTTAGTTATAATTAGTTAATTAATTAATTAACTAATATGTAATTAGTGAATTTGTATCGAGCTAAGTGAGGAGGGTCTGTGATTGAAGCTACATCTATAATAAAACTTTCCTCATAAAAACGAGATCTGATCAAGTCACAAAATAAAAATGTCTACCTTATCATTATTTGAAGTTGGTGAGAAAGGATTTGTACCTTTTCAATTTCTTCACATTCAATATATTCGTACTCTGTCACTTTGTTAATGAAAAGTAAATAGAATTTTTTTTAAACTAAATAAAAAAAAATGAAAATTGATGTTATTTTTTCTAAGTAATGTTAATTTTGCTAATGATAACTTTTCTCGATAAATATCTTGAAAAGTGATTCTGTTAGAGTATCTCGATTAAATTGATATAGGTCTAAGATATTAAAATAAACTATGAAAAGATTGTTCATTGATCAGATATGCATCTTTCAATTATTTAAAGTGACGTTGATAACAAAATAATTTTATCAATAGATTTTTCTGATAGAAATCAATGTTCTTATCTTTATTTTGTTTACTAATATATAATAAAAAATCGTTCGAAATTACTAATGATATTTTTCTCTAATATATATTCTTAATTAAATTCTTTTTTATATAATAACAATAAAGTTAACAAAATAAAAGAAAAAACAAGGTCTTATTGAGATATTGTCAAAATATTTGTTTCATCGCTTTTAGTATCAGTTTACTAAGATATTATATTAAATAATTCATCATTTATATTGATTTTATACTTGTTTTATAACTTTGACAAGTACAGAGACATTATTTATTAAAGAATAAAAGTATCAATATTGTCACAAGATTTTTCAAATATTTCTCAAAACAATAACAAATTTTTATATTTTATAAGATAAAATAATTAACGCAGATAAATAATCAACTTAATTGAACAATTTTGTTTAAAAATATGAGATAAATTATGAACACGTTATCGAAAGTTCACAAAACTCCTATAGATAAAAAAATTACTAACTGTCTATATAGTTTGTTTTTTATGTCAATATTGAGAAGAATATTTGAAAAAACATTTATATTTATTGTAAAAGAAAAAATTGTTTTTGTTTCGGTTAACAATTTATTCTTCACTGTTATTACGTATTCTAATAATAATAATAATAATAATAATAGACTGATGTAGTTATTTAAATTGAATAAAACTTTGTTTATCTCATACGAATTTTATCGATTTCTAAAAACAATAATAAAGAAAAATATATTTTATATGAATATCTAACCACATCAACTATCTTCTATTTATCGATCATAATTCGATGAGTTAATTTAAGATTATTTTTCTAGATTCTCTAAATATTTTTTATGATAAAGAAATAAATATGTTTTTTCAATTTTCAATACGTATTTATTATTTTTACAGTGGCTTATCTCGGAAATTGTGTCATTCAACATTTTCTATAATAATCCCGTACAAAGAAATTGTATTTTTTATTAGTTACATACATTTGTATCGATTGAATTGAACATATCTAAATAGTATTTGATGCATATGATATTAAATACTACATACGGTATAAGACGACAATTATGAAAGATAGTCAAATATTCGTATATGATATTAATTGATCTTGTCACTTATTTTGACTTTCGTCTATCAATTAAAGATCAATTAATATATATATGATATGATATGATGACGTAGTTTTACATTAGTAAAATATTTTTTCAATTACTTTTAATAATGATGAATTGAATTGTATTAAACAATATTTTATCTTTAAATCAATATTCATTTTATATTATCTATTAGCAATCATAAAAGAGATATTTAATTGTTAAATTTCATTTCATATCTTAGTCTTTCTTATCTACGAAAAGTAATAGATGAGGAAATTTAATATGAAATTAAAATTAAAAATTGTTTTCATTTTGATTATTTTCGTGTTGTTTATAGAAATTTGACTGAATATTTATGATAATATTAATAGAACTATTCGTGTACCAATTCTAGTTGATCATATTATTGTTATGATGAATTGTTTGAGTATTAAAATTCTTATGAATGATTATGTACAATTTTTGAACTGTAGTTGAAGACGAGGATTATGAAATAATTATAGAGAGAATAGGAATGTTGATCGATTTTGATTTTTTGATTTGAATAATATTCATTTATTTCACATTGATTACAAATCGATTTTAAATTTCTCTGATCACTCGAATAAGATTATGATCGAAGTGGATAAATGTGAATATGATTTTGATTTCATTAGTTGACTTTCGTTTTATGATTAGTGATCTCTAGACGCTTTTTATATCATTGACTGAATTATATGAATCTAGTTACTTTTTCTCTTATGGTATCAATTTTAAGATGATGGTTATTGTTACTTCAACGTTTTGATTTTCTCTAGTTTACAAATGTTGTGTTTTTTTACACGTCACAAATCTGAGAAAAACAAAAATAAAAACAAAAGAAAACTTAAAAATGTCTGATGACGAAGAAATCGGTCAAGAAGAATAAATAAATTGAAAGGAATTTTCGAAAAACAAAAATTATTAAAACATAGAAATCTTTAACAAACATCCATAGTGATCACCATCGATACTTTACAATTATATTATTTAACAAATATTCTACAATCAACGACATATAAACAAGGAATATTCGAAGTATTTACTTGTAATTAGTTATTTCGATTAGATTTGAAAGATAAATCTGAATAGATAAAATTTTGAAATATGTCTGATGAATGTTTTCTTTGAATGAAAATAAAATAAATGTTAAAAAATAAAAATAAAAAATAAAATAAAAAAAAACAAGATTTTCCTTTTTATCTACAAATTGAATTTAATAAAAAAAGAAAAAGAAAAAGAAAGAAAATAGTTTGATTAAAAAGAAAAGAAAAGAAAAGAAAAGAAATCGTTCATTTTCATGACGAATGAAAATTTTACGGACAATTGCATCATGTAGTCGTAGATTCGGATACCTTCTTCTTATTATTCGCTTGATCTTTACTCATTGTTATTGATTTAGCTAAATTGGCTTCAAGTCTTGAACGCATTAGACGATAAATAAGTGCTGATTTATTCGTAATCCCAGTTAAATCTTGTAAATTATACCAATCATCATATTCCCATGCTTGTTTTGTGTTATTAAGTTTTTCTTTTAATTTTAATGGTTTATCTGCTGGTGAAAGAGAATGTGTACGTAATTTCGCAGATGTTGGACGAATTTTATTTATTTTTGTTTGATTATTAACAAGATTTAATGATGATCGAATATCAATTTGATTTGTTGGTGTTTGAGATGATGATGATGAAACATCCAATGATATTCCTAATGATGTTTGACAAGATTTTTCAATATGATTATTTGTTTCTTTTATTGATTGAAATTGTTCTTGTTGTTGTTGTTGTTCTTCAAGTTCTTTATGTTCATGTTGTTTTAATTTAAGCCATGTACCTAAAAGAATTATTTTAGAAATAAAAAAAAAGTTAAAATAATTTTTACCAAGTGTTTTTGTATCAACAATTGTAAGTTGTCTTCCACTAACAAGCCAATTATCTTGTTGTCTAGAAATAATAGGAGATGAAGGTGAAGGCGAAGGTGAAGAAGAAGTTGATGCAACTGTCCCGTGTCCCTATGTTTGAATTGCTTGAATATGTTTCGTTGGTGTTGTAGATTTAGAAACAAGTACAAGAGTTTTTGCACCTCCAACACCTAAACGATCTTTTTGTGTTTTATCTAAATTTTTCCAATCTTCAGCAATAACAGTTGCTGGTTTTAACATTTCAAAATTAGTTCGATATCTTTGAATTGTTTGATATCTCATAACCATTGGATCATGTGTTATTGTTGTTATTGTTGTTGTTGTTGGAGGTGTTGATGTTGATGTTGATGAAATAAATGAATCAGATGAACGAGTTAATTTAGCACGTTCTTGATTTGGACGAATTACATTTGTTGTTGTTGTTGGAGATTTTTGTGTAACAGATGTTTGTTGTTGTTGTTGTTGTTGTTCAGTTATTTTTGGTAAAATTTTTGGTGAAGTTGGAGAATTAGTTAATGAATTATTTAAATTTGGTTTATTAGATGGTGAAGAATTTTGTGGAGGATTTTTTTGTATATTTGTTGATGATGATGATGTTGTTCGTTTTTGTTCAAGATATGGTAATGAACCTTTTCTTTCTAATTCATTATAAATACAACGAAAACCTTTAATTGATCTTAATGGAAATATTCTTTGATTATGACGAATCTTTTCAAAACATTCAATTGATAATACTTTAAATAGAAGAGATGAAATAAAAACAAGAAGAAGAAGAAAAAGAACAAGAGTCTTACAAATAGATTCTTGAACAACAGGTGGAATAGCTTGAAGAAGTGTATTTGTATTTGTTGCTAATGCTGGATTAACATTAACTTCAATTAACCAAACTTTCATCTCTTCATCAATCATAAAATCATAACCATATAAACCAAAACAACCAACACGTCTTTTTAATCTCATTCTAATACTATCAATTATATTTAACATAATACGTTGAATTATTTTCTAAATTAATATTTTCAATTAAATTTTATTTTAAAAATAGAAAATAGATATTTACAGGTAAGACATTGAGTACCCAATCTTTTTCAATATTTTTATTTGGTAAAATATGTTCATTGATATAATCACTAAAAAATAAAAAAAAAACGAAATTTTTATTAAAATAAAAAAAATGTAAAATACTTGAATTGTTCCATAGTCCATGATGTATCTTCTTTAAGATCATAATATTTTGGATCTTTTTTTTGCATATACTAATTAAATAAATAAATAAATAAATAAGAAAATAAATGTTAATTTTTTGTAAAACCTGATTAGTAAGATGTGTAAGAAGATTTCCATCATTAGCATCAAAATCAAACATTGAAAGTCTGAGATAACCTTTATGATAAAGAGCAATAAGTGGTTTAACACTTGATACAAGCATAAAACATCGAATATCAAATTTTTTTCCATGAACTAATAATGGATTCATTATATAACTAATTAAATCAAAACAAATTTTTAATTCAAAAATTAAATTAAAAGAAGAAACGAACCGTTGAATAACTCTTTTCATTGGTTTAAGTGCAACTTGTTTTTTCTTATCCATAGCATCGATTTCCGCAAATTTCGATTTTAAATTGTCAATATCTCGAACAAGATAAATTCCTTTACCCTGATTAAGTCCACTTGGTTTACAAATCCATACATCACCAGCTAAACAAAAAAATTATTAAAAAAGAAGGAGAGATAAATAAATAAAACAAACGTTTATGAATATTAAAAAAAGCATCTCGATCATTTTTTTCATCTAATTTATATGTTTCAGGAACAAATTCATTTAAAGGTAAAAAATAATTGGGACGTCTATTTGCTGCTAATGTTATTTTTTCATATGATTGTAATGATTGCCATAATTGAATTTTTGTTGTAAAATAATCTTCACCTTGAATATGATTAACCAATTGTTCACCATCTTTAAATACATTCCAATTAATACTTGAATTACATTGAACCCATTTTAATTTAAAATCATCTGTTCTTTCGGTTTGACGTTCATATCCAGCTGATGTTAAAATACTTTCAATTCTATTTCAAATATATATATAACAATTATTATTTTATTATTGAGAATAAACTTACAATTCCGGATTATTTCCAACACCGATATAACATTTTGGTATAGGTTCAGTATAAAGTGTATTTTCTCTATGAGGTTCACTTTTTTTAATTGAATTTGATGTTTTATTATCAGTAGTTGTTGTTAAGACATTTGGATGATCAGATGCTGATGTTGATTGATGTTCGTCAGCCATCAATCTAATAGAAAATCCATTAAAATAAAAATGCCTCGAATAATTTCATTTTTTTGCTTGATTTTATTTTATTTAAGTTAAGTAAAAAAGAAATCGGATTTTTCTTGTTGTTGACAACGGACTATCGAATGCCCCTTAAACCGGTAAAATTAATTTTTCTTTCTTCTCTTCTCTTTTCTCTTCTCTTCTCTTTTTTAAACAAATATTTCTTATTGAGAAAGAAACAATAATCAAAATCTTCACTATATCTTTTCTTCTTTTTTTTTTTCTTCAAATAAAATAAAGAAAGAGAAACAGAAAACGAGGGGTTTCAGGTTAAAAATCATTCCTAGATAAAACTCACAATGATTATCGGATAGATATTAATATTTTCATATAGAAATATTTAAGAGAAAAATCAAATATTATTGTGTAAAACTCATTAATTGTTGTTATTTGATAAAGAATAAGAATAAGAATAAATGAACGAATGTGACTTTATGATATATAAAAAAAAAAGAAAGAAAAAGTCGAAGAAAAAAAAAAGCGGAGAAAGAAAAAAGAAGAAGAAGAAGAAGAAGAAGACGCGTTTGTTCTTTTTCTTTTTCGGTTGATTCTTTAGCATCCGTTTTAAAGAACGAACACAATAACATGCTCACCATCATCAACACATTCAACAACAAAAACATCGCTGTCAATAACAACCTAACACTTTTTACCTTTTCTTCTTCGTCTTTTTACAAAATATAACACTCCTTCTTCTTCTTCTTTTTTTTTATATTAATTTCAATGTATCATCTAGAAGAAGGGATACACTTATTTTATTTTTCTATCAAAAAAAGATTTCAAGTAGAATTTATTAACGAAATTCTTTTTATTGATATTTATTTAATAAAAAAAGAAAAAGAAAATTCGTATATATATATGTTACATCTAGAAAATGAAATTTAAGAGTTTTTTTTTTCTTTTTACAAAAAACTTTCAATTGTTGAGTTGTTTAAATCATTGATTAGATAAGATATATTTAATTGGAATCGATTTCTTTAACAATTTTTAAATATAGAAAAACTAGTCATGTTTTACTCCCTCATTTACAAATTATTGTTAAAGACATTTCAATGAGTTTTAATTAAAAGATTTCTTTTTTCCTAAAATGTCACAAATGTTTTTAAATGCGTAAAGAAAATGACTAGAGATATAGAAATAAAAAATTCTTTCTTTTCCTTCCGGTATGATGACTTTCAATGGTCTGTCAAATGTCTTACTTATTCAATAGATGAAATCACCTTCAACCAACACTTACCTTAAATCTATGAAATTTCTTTTTTAAATATTCAATAATTATCAAACATTGTCTTTCATTAAAGATAAGAAATAGAATAAAAAAATCATTAATTTTTTTGACAATAATATAAATTAACACATTTAGATGAGATTTTTCTAAAAGATAAAATGTGAAAATATTTTTTATAGAAAATATTTGAAAGAATAATGTAGATATAAAGAATTATTTATGCATTATTCTTCTGTTGATTTAAATTTGTTATAGGTAAATAATTATTCCGATAGAATAGATTGCATTTTTATTTTGGTGAATATTTTTTAATTAATGTGCACGAGTTTTGTTTAAAAATCAAGGTTATTTTTCGGGAATAATTTCATTATTTTCTCCATATTATTCTTTCATTCTATATCAACTATTCATCTTTAAGAATATTTTTTTATCAAAATAATTAAATACTTCTAATAATAACATTCATGTCTGACACATCTCTTTCAATTGTTCATATATTCATTATATTTTATTTTATAGAAATTTGTCTTTTCACTAAAATTTTTCATTTGTAAATGAACTCTAAAATGAATTTAATGGATTTAAATTATTTTGTTATTAAAGACAAATATAGAATAACTGACAATTATTAATCTAACAATTAGATTTTACAAGCTTTTATCAATTTAGTATAGAATTTCTTTACTGAACATATATTTATTTATAACAATAGTTTGGTTTTAAACAATTTTGATCACTATAGAACATATTTAGATATAGAATATTGAATATATATAATCTTCATATGAGTTCTAGTAAAGAAATCATGATAAAATATTCGTCTCATACAGTAGTGTCCTCTATTATTAATTGTATAAATATAAAATCCATTTAATTGGATGAGAATAAAAGTCTTTGATTTGAAAATTGTGAAAATTCTTATATATTTAAATCTAATATAGAAGAAAAATGTCTGGAAAAATGCATCGAGAAAATGTTGATAAAGATAGTGAAGTTGGCGATCGTGATCGTCATCGTCGAACAGCTCAATCTGATCGTGGTCGTTCTTCATCTCCACCAACATCAAAACGTGTTCGAAAAACCGAAGAACATGTTGAAAAAGAATTAATAAATGAATTATCATCACATAATGATAATGAATTTAATCGAAAAGAAAAACATCAACAAGGTTCAACACAATTAGATAATTTATATGCATCATTTTTACCATCAAGTAATTATTATGAACGATCATATATGCATCGTGATGTTGTGACACATTTAATTGTTACTCAAACTGATTTTTTAATAACTGGTTCACAAGATGGTCATATTAAATTTTGGAAAATAATTACACCGGATTATATTAAACAACAACAAACAGCAGCAACATATCAAGCTAAATCAAATGATGAAAAAGATCCTAATTCAAATAATATTCCTGGACCCATTGAATTTGTTAAACATTTTCGAGCTCATTTAGGTATTTTCATCTTTTTATTTAATAATTATCAATATTTTAATTAACTAAAATTTCTAAGACAAAAATATCTTATGAGAATTATCAGAGTGAGAAAGGGGATGATTTATCTAAGTAAAACCTATTGATAGTAGATAAATATATTCTAATGTAGAAATTGTATATTATTTTAGGTCCAATCTTAACATTATGTACAAATTCATCTGGAACATTATTATGTTCATCATGTAGTGATCGTACAGTAAAAATGTTTGATGTATTAGCATTTGATATGATAACAATGGTAAAATTAGAATTTATTCCATTAGTTTGTTCATTTGTTCATTCACCACGTCAAGCATTATCAACATTAGCGATATCAGATAGTCAATCATCATTTATTTATTTATATGATGGACGTACATTAAATATAAAAGAACCAATATCAATAATATCCAAAATAGGTCATGCATCACCAGTAACAATAATATCATATTGTCCAAAATATGATTTAGCAATATCATGTGATCAATCATCAATTATTAATTATTGGTCACCAAATCATTTACAAAATTTACCACAAGAAATTTTATTTGAATCCAAATTAGATACAGATTTATTTGAATTAGTTAAAAGAAAATTAATTCCATTAACATTAGAATTTAATTCAACCGGTGATCAATTTGCATTACTTGGAAAATCATCAACACAACGAAAATTATTTTTATTTGATACATTAAAAGGAAAAATTTTAAAAATCTTTGATGAACATTTAGAAGTTTATAAACAATTACATGAACGTTTACAAACTAAACAACAACAACAACAACAACAACAAAATGAAGATAATAATAATAAAAAATTAAATTTAAATATGTTAAATAATGTTGAATATTCTCGACATTTAACTATTGAAAAAGATTTAGAAAAAAATGATTTAGTTTATTCATCAATTAATCTTCAATTTGATTCATCTGGTACTTATCTTTTTTATACAACGCTATATGGAATTAAAATGTTAAATTTAAGAACAAATTCTATTAGACATTTTTTTGGTACAACAGAAAATGCAAGATTTATTCGTTTAGCACTTTATCAAACACAAAAATCAGCTAATAATGATTTTAATTCAACGATTCTTTTTACAAATGCTTATAAAAAAAATAGATTTTATTTATTTACAAGAAATGATCCACAAGGTAACACATTTTATTTTTCATCATTATTTCTTATTTCTCTCTCTCTCTCTCTCTCGTTCTTTTTTTTTAGATAGTCGAAGTGAACATGATAATGATCGAGATGTTTATAATGAAAAACCAAGTCGTGAAGATATTTTAACAGCAACAGAAGAACAAGCTTTATCATCATTATCTCAATCAGCAATAATTCATACAACATATGGTGATATTCATCTTCGTTTATTTCCTGAATATGTTCCAAAAACATGTGAAAATTTTATTCAACATTCAAAACAATCTTATTATAATAATTGTATTTTTCATCGTGTTATTAAACAATTTATGATTCAAACAGGTGATCCATTAGGAAATGGAACTGGGGGACAATCAATATGGGGAAAAGATTTTGAAGATGAATTTCATCCACAATTAAAACATGATAGACCATATACACTTTCAATGGCAAATGCTGGACCAAATACAAATGGATCACAATTTTTTATAACTGTTGTTCCATCTCCATGGCTTGATAATAAACATACCATTTTTGGTAGAGTTTCAAAAGGAATGGATGTTGTTGAAAAAATTTCTCAAGCGAAAACAGATCGTCTTGATAAACCATTAGATGAAATTAAAATTATTTCAATATCTATTAAATAAATATCTCCATCCTTTTCTGTTCTGTTCTGTTCTTTTTTGTTTGTTTGTTCAATAAACATAATTAATAAACTTTTCTCTTGAAAATTATCAGAGAAACTTATTCTCTTCTATTAACTATGAAATCTCTTTGAAATAATATTAAATTTCCTATGTAATCGTCCTTTTATAGTGGACGATTTTTATCGTATTAACATTAGAGATGATAGGAGAGTAACGCCATCTTTTTCTTTTCTATATTTTATTAAGATAAAGATGATTGAAGGAAATCTTAAATCTATATTGACCAATTAATTCTAGTTGAAATAACCAAAAACCAGACGAGATATTATTAAATGAAATAAATCTTATCGATTTTTATTAATGAACTGTTGAATACAGTCATTATTTATGATAAACACTAACAACAAATCTTTTGAAATAAATACAAAAATAACTAGGACAATAATTTGTCTATGAATTCTCATTTTCTTAACTAAAATAAATTTATTTGAAAAGAATAAAATTTTATTTTAATTCTTTATATATATGTGTCTTGATTCTTAATTTTAGATGTCTCTTCAAGTGAGATTTATCACAAGATTACAGAAGTATATATTTTATTCTCTTTCTTAAAAAATATTTCTTTTTCTTTGAAATAAAGATATTCTGTACCTGATACAACATTAGTTATTCCATCTTCATCAACAAATTCTCAATTAGAAGCTATTCTAAAAGGATTATTACAACAAACAACAGGTTCATTTTCATATTAAAACAAAATTATTTAATAGAAAAAAAACTACTGATATTTTAGGATCTTCAAATGATTTCTCCCGTTTATCATTTGATTTTTTATGTTTAAATCAATTAATTCGTTCATCATTAGAAGAACATATCCGAGAAAAAGATGAATCATTACTTGAATCAATAATTGATATTGAATATATTGAAAAATTTCAAGCACCTGAACCAGAAGATGCATTAATGCATGATGATTGGGTATCAACATGTAAATCATTGGGTGATACAATTTTAGTTGGTTCTTATGATACAAAAATACATTTATGGAATAATCAAGGAGAACATATAACTAGTCTTCCAGGACATACTGCTCCTATAAGATCTCTTATTTTTATTCATTCAGGTTTTGATTTTCTTTCTTTTAATGATACAAAAAAACAAAGAATTTTTCTTTAATTTCTTAAGATGAAGGTGAACATGAATTTATAAGTGGATCACATGATCAAACAATCTTAATATGGAAATATGATCAAAATAAAAATAGTGTTAAATCATTAATCACTTGTAAAGGACATCAAGGAACTATTGAAACATTAGCTTTACAAAAATCTATTTTTGCTTCGGGTTCTTTTGATAAAACTATTAAATTATGGGGATTAGGTTTGTTTCATTTGATCTTATTTTATTCTATTTTGAAGTTTTATTTTAATAGAAGAACAACAACAAGAACAAACATCAACAAAAGTAAATTGTTTTTTCTTAATTAAATAGATAATATTAATAAAAGAAAAATAAATCGGTTTATTAGGAATGTCGAGTAACAATAAATGCTCATAATGAAAATGTTTCATCAATTGGTTGGAATTCTTCAAATGAACTTGTATCATGTTCATGGGATCAAACAATAAAATTATGGAATATGGATACAATACAATCAACACAAACATTTGTTTGTTTTTCATTTTTTAAAATAAATTTCATTTTTTAAATTTCTTTTTAGAAATGTGGAAAAGCTGTTCTATCACTTGATATATCACCTGTTAATGGTTTATTAATTTGTGGTTTTACTGATCGATTTATTCGTCTTTATGATACACGTGTTCAAGGTTTTATTCTTTTGTTTTGTTTTTGAAAGAATTCTATGAAATTTCTTTTAGAAGGATATGTTCTTCGATCAACATTTTCATCTCATAGTCAATGGGTTCCAAGTGTTATGTGGTCGCGAACATCTGAACATTTATTTGTCTCAGGTTCATATGATGGTTTAGTTAAATTATGGGATACACGATCATTAAAAGCACCACTTTATGATCTTCAAGGACATGAAGATCGTGTTTTATGTGTTGATTGGTCAGTTGATCAATTAATTCTATCTGGTGGTGCTGATAATTCATTAAAAATGTTTTCATTTAAATAACAAAAAAACATTTATTTGTTGTTGAATTTTTAATAAATAAAAAAGAAAATCTTGTTGAATCATTTCATCATTATTTCCAATAAGATATTTTTGCAAAATTCAATTCATTTCAATTATCAATATATTACAAAATTAAAAAATACAAAAAAGAAAAAAAAAGAGAAATGAAAATTAGATTTGCTTGAAGAATTTTTTCAATAGAAATAAAATGATTGATTAATAAAGAAAATTTTCTCATTCATCTCTATTAATCAATGTTGTCGTTTCACAAGATTATTTTTCTCATTTAATAATTGGTTAGATTCTTAATTCTATACATTAATCATATAAGATTAACTGACTTTTATCAAAAAAACTAATGAAGAAAATATTCTAATAAAACGTGCAATAGAAATAATACCAGTTAAAACAAATCTTATTTACAAGCAAAGTAAATCTTCTCAGGTCAAATAGTGCATTAAGAAAACAATCAATTCCACGTTTTTTTCCGTAGGTTTCATGAAATGAATACTTCAGGATGAAATTTCCATCGGAAATAGATGGGAAGTTCAACGAGACGATCAAATTTGTACAAGATTTTGAACGTTAGATTTCTTTATCAGTTCCAGATCGCGTTTTCAATTTACTTGAGGACAATTTCTATGTTTAGAATCAGTCTATAGTTATACTATTACATTTTGGCACATTTTATAACTCTCATCCCAAAAAATGTATACTAACAACCGAATGAAAATCATAATTTGGTAATTTTTATGCTTTTTCAAAAGCACACATTCGACAACTGAACAAAGTCATCTGTTATTTCATATTTTCAATCATTCAATAGAAATAACTATTAAATGTCAAAAAATTGATTTCCTATAAATAATAATCATTTATGTAAAAGAAATATGATGTGTTATCAAAGAGTCAATCTAACTGTTTCATGTAGTTTTGTCTCTTGAAATCAAATATCGTGAAAACTCTAAACAGTTTGTTTTGTTTCTCAATAATGATTTCCTTCTTAATTTTTTATTCGAACTCTAAGTTCTTCCATTTTGAATTAATAATATTAAAATTTATCAGCTGAATAGATGTTTTTACTATGAAGCGATCTTTTTAAATAATATAGTATATAAAAATATACAATAAAATAAAGTTTATAACGAAAGATATAAGAGAATATAGTTAAATGAATAATTCAACATATTGTTATTAATAGATAAAAAAAAGCCTCGTTATATCATAGTTGTTAATGCTCTTTAAATTTAATAGGCTGTCCTCATATGACCTATCAACATGAAATTCTATCGGTGTGTTACATATGACTTTATAACCTAGTGAAATATACGATGAATAAATAATTGACTGACTATAAAACTAGTCATTATCATATTGTTGTTCTGTAGAGAAACAAGAAAAAAGGGTAATATAAATAATGTCAAGAATAGTTGTGAAGATATTTTTGATTTATTTTCTTCAAAGTTTATTTATTTTGTTTGAAGCGAAATATTCTATTCCTGATCAAGTTATTTTAAGTACAATTATTTATAGAGAATATAATTTAACTATTTATACATCATTAAGTAATCCAAGTCGTGAACCAAAATCATGGATATTTTGGTATGATCCATTAATTATATTTGATTATACAAAAGATATTTATCAATATAATGATCAAATACGTTTTACATTTTCTATATCATCACCACAAATTGATCAAACAATTAGAGAAAATCTTATTAAAACAATGCATCCTGATGTTGAACATTATGCTATATTTTGGGTAATTGAACCATTACCAATTGATACATTAACAATCTATATTATTGATGAAACTTCTCTACCAATATCATCTGTATATCCTTGTATAAAAAATGAATTATTTGGTACACTTACCTTTGAATGTCAATTTCAATGTTCATCAATAATTATTGCTAATTCAATAAAAGATTCAATTTTATGTGGAAAATTAAAATTGGAATTAAAATCTTATATTCAATCATCAACATATCCAATAATAATTCCATCAAGAATTACAACAAGAAAAAATTGGAATTATTTAAGATTAAATTTTAATAAGAAAAAATATATTTCTCGATTTGAAAAAAGTAAATTTATTGAAAAATATTTTGTTAATATTCAAACAATTGATAATACAATAAAAGAAATTGATTTAGAAATACTTTTTCAATTAGCAATAAATCAAACAACATATTATGAAATGAATTATTTCAATGGTTTATGGATATTCGAAGATTTTGAATATATTTTAAATAATGATTTATTTTATAAAAATTATCAATTAAATAATCAAATTTTATTTTATTTAAAAACAAATTCTTCATCATCAATATTAAAATATTTTCCTAAACAAATTTATTCAATTGATGAAATAAAAGAAATATTTTTAAATAAATTTGATATTTCAATTGAATGGTTATTTAATGAACAAAAATGGATAATAAAATCATTAAAAGTTTATTTCTTATCAGATCTATATGATTATCTTCAATTAAGTTTAATAAATAAACAATATTATTTAGATATTTTAAATACAAAATTAAATCAAACAATTGATTGTTCATATTGGTCAACAATTTGTTCATGTCAATCAACAATATCATCTATTGTTTTTCTATCAACTACACAATTTATACGTATATCAAATATTGATATGGATTTGGAATTGACAGGTTTTACAATTGAATTATGGCTAAGACCTGATTTATTACCACCAAATGGAATCGAATCAATAAATATTCTTAATTTTCGTGATCAATATCAATTAACATATGAATCAAATGGGGAAATTAAATTTAGAGTTATGAATAAAATTTATTCAAATATTTATGTAAGAACATTACAATCAATAAATGTAAATCAATGGATATTTCTATCATTTGTTTATTCATCTATTGATAATCAATTAGAATTCTATTTGAATGGACAATTTATTTCAAGTATTATTTTAATAATAAAACCAGAAAAATTAACTAATGATATTCTTATTGGAAAAGAATTTATTGGTGCTATTAGAGATTTACGTTTATGGAATTGTTCAAGAAATCAATATGAAATATTTTCAACAATGAAAACAAATAGTTTAATTGGAAATGAAACATGTTTAATTGGTTTATGGTCAATGACAGATAATTACGGTCAAATAATAAAAGATTTAACAATGAATAATATACCTCATCACGGAACATTAGGTTTTGATCACAATCTTAATTTAATAACTGATCCAATATGGGCATATGTTCTACCTAAATCATTTCTTCCACCACCTCCAAAAGCTCGTACATTAACTTATTCAATATTTCGAGAAAATATAACATCACCAATGTATGTTCAATGGGGAACAATATTTGATATACCAGTATGAAACTTTGAAAATAATAATATCATATTTTGTTTTTGTTCAAGGTACCTGCTGATTATGATGGTGATGGTCTAGCAGATTTTGCTGTTTATCGTCCAACAACAATGACATGGATGATTTCATCAAGTAATAATCCAAATATTCTTCTAACAAAATCTTGGGGTTTACCTGGTGATATTCCTGTTCGATGTAATTTTGATGGAGATAGATATTTTGATTATACTATTTTTCGTCCATCAACTTCTCAATGGATATCTCATTTAAGTAGTAATCCATCTTATCAATATATTCATAAATGGTATAGAAAAATTATTTTATTCAAAGAAAATGTTTTTGTTTTGTTATTTTAAGGGGCAAATCTAATGATATACCTTGTCCAGGTGATTTTGATGGTGATGGTAAAACAGATTTTGTTGTTTATCGTCGAGGAGTTTTCTATATAAGTCCATCAAATGATCCAAGTGTACAATGGACTAAACAATGGTAAATAATAATAATTCTTTTCTTTTAAATTAATATTGAAAAAAATGTATGTAGGGGTCAACCAGGTGATATTCCTTTATCAAATTGTGATTTTGATGGTGATGGAAAATCAGATTTTGCTGTTTGGACACCTAGTAGTGCTATATGGTCATGGATTCCTAGTGGAAATTCTTCGTTAATCTATCAACGACAATGGGGTAGTATTTATGATACACCACTTTGTGAAGATTTTGATGGTGATGGAAAAGGAGATTTTATTGTTTATAGAAATTGGACTGGTGAATGGTTTATTATACCTTATAGTGTTTCATCAGTTATTATAACATATCAATGGGGTCGTTCAACTGATGTACCATTTGCTGGAGATTTTGATGGAGATGGACGAGGTAAATAGAATGAAAAGATTTTCTTTTTATCTTTTTAAATAATTTAAATAGCTGATTTTGGTTTATGGAGACCAAGAATAAATAAAAGTTATGTTTGGGAAATAATACCAAGTTCAATGCCAGTAGCATTGTTACGTAAACCATGGGGAATTGCAGGAGATGCGCCTGTTAGTAAGTTCAAATATTTTATTCGAATTATTCAGAATTTCATTGATTGACTTTTTTTTGTTTCTTATTTAGGTGGAGATTTTGATGATGATAGACGATGTAATTTATTTTTAGTTTGAATTTTTCAAAGATTTTTTTCGTTTTATTTTTGTTAAATAGCTGATATTACAATATGGAGATCATCGAATGGATTCTGGTTAAATTTTTCAAATAAAAATAAATAAATAAAAATCGTTTATTTTTTCTATTTTAGGTATACTATAATGATTGGTAAACCTGGTATACAAGAAATCAAACATTGGGGTTTTTTTACTGCTAATGATACTGCAGGTTATTTATTAATGAAAAAAGAAGAAGAAAAACACTTTGTATTTTATTTATTTATTTGAATAGTAACAGCCGATTGGAATGGAGATATTTTTAGTGATTATACAATATTTCGTCCATCAAATTGTTACTGGTATATAACACTTCAAGATAATCCTATTCTTCGAATTTTTATGCAATGGGGTGTTCCAGAATATCAAGATTTTGCTGTGTAACAAAAATTTCTTTTTATTTTAATAGATTTGTGTTTTCTTTTAATTTTGTTTAGAGCAGGTGATTATGATGGCGATGGAAAATATGATTTTGCAGTTTGGCGACCATCAACAGGTATTTGGTTTATTTTACCATCAACAAATCCATCACATATTGTTATGTCTCAATGGGGTATCCCTGGTGATGTTCCAATAACAGCAGCAGATTTTGATGGTGATGGAAAATCAGATATTGCTGTATGGCGTCCATCAACTGGATCTTGGTATATTTTACCATCATCAAATCCAATTTATCCATTTTTTGGTCCATCCGTCATTCGACAACCATTACAACCATTACCAAAACCACAATCAGTGCCACTTCCTAATACAAAGATTCCAGTATGGCCGCCTACTACTAAGAAAATGATACCAGCATGATTATTACAAATATCGAATATTGGTACAATAAATTCTCCACTATTAATATAAAATAACAGTTACAATTTCCTAACTTATACGTTGATTTGTATATAGCTATTATTTTATAGAATGAATCTCAATAATCTTAATAGATTCATATATGTTCTCAATCTCAGACAATTTATTTCATCAAAAAACTATTTTATATTCAAAAATAATTATGTGTGAAACAAATAAAGAAACAATTATTTGAAAATTTTATTATATTTTTATTCTATCATCAATATCAATTTATAAAATAATTAAAATAATTTTTTAAATAAAATATTGTGTATATTTTGGTTATCATCATATTCAACATTTTATTCTCCTTCAATTAAATTACATTTTCACAACTATCGAAGATCATTATATTTCTCTTTAACATTCTTTATAAAACAGATTTAAAAATACTATGATTATTATTATCGATATCATTAAAAAATAACTTTTATTTTATATTCTATCGATGTTATATAAACAAGGATCTGTATATAAGACCGATAAATACGCTCTAGAATTATTAAACACATATTTAAAATAAATTTTATTTTGTTTATGAATTCATATTTCATTCTTATAATAGGCTATAAGAAAAATTGATTTAACTTCAAAAAAATGCAATTTTTATTTTTATTTTTATTTAAAAAAAGTAAAATATTTCATATATATATATATTGTCTAGTTATAGTTACGAGTTCGTATCAGTTTTGGAATCTTCTTCTGAAGAATGATTTTCTTTCAAAAATTGTACAATACTTTTTGCTGTTTCTTTTGGTTTATCATTAGTAATAAGATGACCACAATCATCGAAAAGAATTACTTCTGATTTGGGTATTAAATTGGAAAAATAATAAGCACCTTCAACTGCACATAACTAAAAATAAAATTATTTATTTTATTTTATTTTATATATTATCTCAAATTGATATACTTGATCTTTTCGACCCCAAATAATCAATGATGGACATGTGAAATCTTTCAATTGTGAATAAGATTGTTCAAGATTTGGATAATCATTTTCAAAAGCTAATTGAAGAACTAACATTTAAATAGAAAAAGAAAACAACAGAATGATATGATTTAATTAGATAAAATGCTTTTTACTTTTTTTATGATGATCTAATGTTGGTAATCTTGTTTTGAAATAACCATTAGCTAATAATCGACGTAAATAAAGTTTTTTCGTTGTCATTGCATCAGCTGTAGCATAGAATTGTTCATGTGTTTCAGGTAGAAGAACATTATATGTTCCTGAACGTATTTGTTGGATCATTTCTGTTTCATATTCTTCTCCAGCTATGAAAATAAACAAAAGATTTTAATAATATTTTCTTTTTGAAATATTTACGAGGAACAGGAGCAAGTACACAAATCATTTTTACATATGAAGGATATTTTGCTGCAAACATAGCTACAACTGAACCACCCATTGAAGTACCAACAAGACAAATAGATTCATTTAAATTTAATTCGTCTAAAAACTAATAAAAATATAATATAGAAATATATTGAATAAATAGAAAGAATTTTTGTACCAATTTAAGATTATCTACAAGATTATCAGCTGTTACTTGTTCTTCAGAAAATCCTGTAGTTTCTCCATGACCAGGCATATCAACAGCAATACAATGGAAACTATGAGGAATATTCTAAATAAAAATAAAAAATGGAATTTTTTTCAAGAAAATATTCTATTGACTGACTTTAATAACAGTTAACCATGTATGTTTATCAGATGAAAAGCCATGAATAAATACAAGAGTTGGTTTATGAGAATCTTTCGAGCCTCTTTCACAATAACAAAATGTTATACGTTCATCTTCATCATCATCATTTTTATTAATCGTTAAAAAACGTTTTTTAACACCAGCTCGACGCATATTTATTCTATAAGATATATATATATATTCATTAGATTTAATATCATATCATACCATACAACTTACTTATAATATTTGTCTATAAGTTTGCTCACCCTAAATAATATCTCTTGAGTAAAACATATTTTTAATAATCAAATATATAACTTACATAATTCGATGTATTTATAACAATTACAAGAATTTACATTAATATTTAGACAACGTTTTTTTTCTTTGTAAAAAATAATAAGATTTTAAACGTAAGAGTTCAAATGCGTATATTTTCTTTTTTGTCAATAATAAAAATATGATATAGAAACATATGCTTATCTTTGTCTTATAGTATAATGAAAGAAAAAGAGAAATGTTACGCATGATTCGCTGTAGAATAAATAAAAGGTTTATGAGTAGGAAGATGACGTTCGATAAGTATGATTTATATAATAATATGACATATCTATTTTGTCAGACTAAACAAAAATGGGTGTATAATTATATTTTAGCCAACGTCATATGCACATTGTTTACCTCAATGTTAAATAAAGTATTGCAATAATCGCATATTATTACAATAAATATTTTATTAAAATATTTCGTCATTAATTTGATTTTCATTAAACGCTATTATGTGCTAAAAACAAGGGTAACCAATACCCTCACCCTCAATAATAGTACCGTTATTTATCTAATTTCATAACTAAAAAATTATTAATTTTTATCTAAGAACAATTGAATATCTATTGACGATAGTATTAAACGATATTCCTTCATATGATTAAATCATCGAATCTTCAAATATATCATAAAAACTCTTTGTTTTTCTCAATATTATTGAACATATCATAATAATTATCACTTCCTAAACATTTCCTGAACAAAGGTCATTGTTTTTTGTTAATTAAAGTAAATAAAAAGCATGTGAAGCTTATTTGAAATAGAAAAGAAAAATCTATTGTGTGTAGTTGTAGACAGAGTGAATCAAAGATTAATTCAATTAATAGACTATCTTCTCAAATTCCAATGATTAAAAGATAAATAAATCTGGTTGGAAAGAGAATTTTGAAAGAAAAACTAGAAAATAACATTTACTTTTGTATGAGTTTATTGATAAGAATGATCAGTTGAGATTTGTAATTATATATTTTAATAAAAGAAAAGAAAAGAAAAGAGAAAGTATATAATCAGATCGTGCCTCACATTAATTTTCATAGAAAAATCTTTGAAGCAACTAAATAAGAATAGAAAAATAAGATGATGTTATTATTAAATGAGAAAAAGATTGATATATGACAATGATAGATGGAAAAACAAATAAAATTCTTTTGTGGAGTTTTGTCTGTATTTTATTTTGTCCAATATCAATGATATTCTTAGGTATTCGATATCGAAATGAATGTTCAAGTGAACCACAATTATCAATTTATCTTCTTATATTTGGATCAATATGGTTAATACTTTTTCTTTTAACTTTAATTCGTTCTTATTTATCTCATCGATATATGGATATATTATTTATGATAATTTGGTTTGCACTTTTATTATTAATTATTCCTGGTTATATATTTATATTTAATTTACGTACTAAAATTCGAATATCACAGACTTATCCATATGAAATATGTGAAAAATATTTTTATGTTTATTCATCTGCATTAATTATTCTTGTTCATATTCCACTTTATATATTTTTATGGATATCATGGTCATTAATTCATTCAAATGGATATTTTCCAAATCAACAAAGATCAATTAGAATATTTACAATAACACCCACTTAATATAAACAAAACAAATATATTTTCAATCATGTAAATACTAATATGAAATATTTTTCTCACATTAACTCTTTTATTGTACATATTAAATATGATCTTATCATATTAATGCATTTAATAAAATGCTTTGGATTATATTCAGCTTTTTTTTTCATTAAATATTTATTTTTTTAAAATCTTTTTGGTAACAAACGGTTTCTATTTCAAAATATTGAGATTAAATTATATAGATAATCCTATCCATTGTATTAAATTTGATAAACAATCCTGTGAAATTTCTTTCTATTAGTATCTATTTTTTATCATAAAATATTCTCATCAATATTGATAATATAATTCAATGATTTTTTCCTATCTATTTTGTTAATTTTGGCAAATTATCAATTGAAAAATATATTTTAAATAACTTTATCAGATGTGAATGCGGATGACAAAATTTTCTTTCTTATACTTCTATAAATTATTCACGTTTGTTTATCGTTTAATTGATAGTTAACGATATGATATGACCTAACCAATTCTATGAAAATATAGATCTATTTTCAGCTGTCATAATACTAGAAGAGAATTATTATTGTAAATATTAATAGATGTATGACTGAAATAGACGATTTGAATAAGTGAATAATTATGTGTAAGTCTCTTGTAAAGGCTTGTATATATTATTGATCGAATACTTTATGAAGAAGGTGTTTGTGACTAGATACTATATGTACTTTACATATCCAAGCTATAATTGTTTATTTAATTATTGAAAACATATCTCATTATCAATGATGATAATTAATAGTTTAGAAAAAGAGATTTTATTAAAACATAAGTTTTAGATGTAATTTAATTTATTAAAACAAAACAAATAAATAAATAAAAAAGGTGAAATAAATGATATTAATCATGTTGATCGGTATAAGACGATAATTGTTGTTTAATAGCATTTGTAATAAGAATAATAGATTCATCAATTTCATCATCTGTTGTCATATAACTTGTACTTAAACGGATTGTACCACGTGCTAATTCCCATGATAAACCTTCGAAGAGAATAGAAATTTTAAATATCTGTAGATAAAAAAAGTGTTTAATTACCAATAGCTTGAAGCGTTGTTGACATAGTTTGATGTTTTGTATCTTCATGACAAGCACTGCCTGTTGAAAATGCAATAGAATCACTTAATTGATTAACTAATTGTTTAGCATTAATTTGTTGAAAAGATAAACTTAATGTATTTGGTAAACAATATTGATCAATTCCATTTCGTTTAAGAAAATCTTGATTTTGATCATTAAATTGATTTTTTAATCCAAGATAAAGTCGATCACGTGTTCTTTTCATTTGTTCAATTCTTTTATTTAAAATAGATTTATTTGATATTAATTGACAAGCTTTACCTAAACCAACAATAGCTAAAACATTTTCTGTACCAGGTCGAAGATTTTGTTCATGTTGTGCACCATATAAAATAGGTTCTAATTTTATTCCTTGACGAATATAAAGAGCACCAATACCTTTTGGACCATGAAATTTATGTGAACATATTGTTAATAAATCAATATCAAGACGTAATACATCTATTGCTACTTTTCCCATTGATTGTGATGCATCTGTATGAATTAGAATATCAGATGAACCATATTTACGACATAATTGAACGATTTCTTCAATTGGTTGGATTGATCCTATAAAAATAAATAAATTTTCAAATAGAAATAAATCAATGTGTAAACAAACCAATTTCATTATTACTATGCATTATAGTAACAAGTTTTGTTTCTGGTTTTAATAATTGACGAAAATGTTGAAGATCAATAATTCCATTTGAATCAACTTTAACAAATGATATTTGAATATTTTTATATGAATTTTGTAAATATGTAAGTAAATTAGCTACAGACGGATGTTCAAATGGACTTGTTATAATATGTTGAATATGATTATTAATATTTGTTTTAAGAATTCCATAAATAGCTAAATTATTTGATTCTGTTCCACCACTTGTAAATATAATTTCATTTGAATATGATGCATTTATTGAACTTCGAATTTGTTCTCGCGATTCATCAATTAAATAACGAGTTTCAATTCCAATTAAATGTGATGAACTTGGATTACCAAATGAATTTGAACGTTTTAAATGATTTATCATTATTTCAATAACAGATTTATCTTCTCGAGTTGTTGCATTATTATCTAAATAAATTATTTTTGATGTATGATTATATTCTTCATGTAAATCATTATTCATTGATAATAGTGCCATATGTTATTTATATATTAAAACTATCGTCGTCGTTGTCGTTGTCGTTGCTGTAATAGTAATTATTGTAGTTAAAGTTATGATAGTGATGCATTTCTGTCTTTTTTTCCTTTTCTTTTCTTTTCTTTTCTTTCATAATGACGATGACGTGGCAAAAATAGAAAACGAATAAACTGATTAACATATATTCGCTCCTTCTTTTTTTCTTCTTCTTCTTTTTATGTAATTTTCCCACGTTTTCTATTGTTTAGTTTTGTTTACTATAATCAGAAAAAAATCTTTTTTCTCAATCAAATCACAATAATATTTGTAATGATAATTTTATCAAATAAATATTTCAATAGTAAAAATAATAGGACACATTTTTTTACTTGTCTGATGATTACATGATACTTTTTACTTATAATTTATAATGTTTCATCTGTGACTCCTTTCAATTTTGTTTTAATTAAGATATTGTTACTAGCACACAACCTTCACAAAAGATAATTAGTTTTTTTTCCAAGAAATTTCTACGTTGGAAGTAAAAAATATAATTAAAGATAATTTTTATGGAGTTATTTTATTTGTGTATGTTTAAAAAGAAAATTAAAAATTCTATTTGAGACATTTCCAATGTGTTCAAATGCACAACATGTTGGTTTTTTCCCTTCAGGTTATATGACACATCTCAGTGACACGCTTCCCTTCTATGTTTTTCTACACTGTGTAATGGTTTTTCCCTTTTCTTGTTGTATTGTAATTCGTATAAATCCAGCCATTCTTCTTTTTATCTTGTTGTATTTACCTGTGATCTATCTTGTCAAATAAATCAAATTCATTTTCATTGACATAACTTATATCAAGTATGGCAGCTTCAAAAGAAACTATAGTAACCAATATACAGGCTATCGTGAGTATTTTAGCTGGAACAGCAACACTTATTCAAGAATATCAAACAACAGTCTTTACAGAATATACATGTTTTAATTGTTGGAAAACTTACTGGAAATTGGTTCGAAATAAATATGAATATTTGTCATTGTATCCATACTGTCCAAATTGTGGTTATAAAATAGAAGCATCGAATATTATAGAAGATTATGATGTTATTGGTGCAGAAGTTTTTTTCTTACACAAGAACAATAATGCTGTTGCAAGTTTCAAATTAACACATAAAGCTTTGGCAACGCCAAATATTAAACAAATGATTAAAAAATGTGATGCACAACATATTTATTAAAAACAAGACCAATTTGGAATAATCATATTAATCTTCTTCATTTATTGTCTGTAATTTTCTTTTTTCTTAAATGAATGAATAATAAAACATTGATCCATCTCTACTGTTTATTAATCTTATGATTTTAATTCGTTAAAATATGATTTTACGAACTATGTGATACAAATTCTACGTACTATGTTAAATATCATTATTGAATAAACCAAGTTCTAGAAAAAAATTCGTAGTAGAATTCATTTTACTTTTCTAATCTTGTAATCGAAACGATCAATGAAAGAATAAAGATCAAAGATGACGTCAATATATTTTTGATAATTTATACTTAACATGATTAGATAAACAATTAGATTCAATATAATAAAATAATATGTCAATAATTTTACAAGATATTAATAATAGAAAATATTTTTAATAACAAATGCATTAAATATAAAACAAAAAATAACTCCATTGCCATTTTTTATTTATTTATTTATTTATTAATTACAAATATAAATAGAATTTCAATTTTTTCAATAATATTCAGTTCCTCTAAATGTAATACAAATAAATGAGAAAACTTCGGATTTTATCCGAAAGTTATGTGTACTGCAAAAAGTGTATGAGACAGATGAGTTATTCTAGAACGTCTAAACATCAGAACTATATTAAATCTTTTCTACAAGCATGATTTCTGTTGACTGTTGCTCATCTGAAAAGATTGAGACCGACCATAGCTCATATTTCACCTCAGCTTTTGTATATCCTAGGACAATCGTTTTTCTTATAATTTGATTTTTATTAATTAACGCTCAATCAACAGAGTTTCGAGGCAAATCTTGAGAGTGTGAGGTGGGTATGAGTGGAAATAAATGAAAAATACCTACACTCACACCCACTCCACACCTTCAAGATATTAAAACATGTTGAAAAATGGTCGGTAAATCGTATGACAATAACCACATCTTTCATTACAATGAATGTAACTGATCTTTTTATCATGATCCCTCAGGAAGGAGGAGTCAGAGCCATTAAACGTCTAATAGAAAGTAGTGAGTTGAAACAAATCGACGGTATTAGAAAAGAGATAGTTCTTGCACTTACGAGATTTGTTATGACTAATAACTATTTCTACTATGATGGTACATACTATAAACTGATAAACGGTGGCGCAATGGGATCACCACTCACATTAACCATAGCTAATGCATGTATATGTATTTTGTTGACAGATTCGTAGCTAAATAGAGCAAATAGAGCAAATTGCTTATATTTTCGATATATTGATGATTTGTTTATTATGACCAATATACATGTAGACACATTACATGGTCTAGTGGATTTCTGGGATAAATTCGATAATAATATAGAATTAGCAAAGTCTATTGGTTTTACCGCAGAATATCTAGATACAAAACTTGAGAATAGAAGAGGAATATTGATATCTGATATGTTTCAAAAACCTTCACATGAACCATATTTACTCCGTTTCACAAGTATACATGCACAACATATAAAAAGAAATATTCCATTCATATCTCTTATACGTGCAGTAAGACATTGTTCAAATTATGAAGGGAGCAAAGTCTGCGATATGATTGCTGAATACTCAAGGCGCTAGAAATAACCGATCAATGTAGGTAAAACTGTTGCACAGGTCTTCTACTCCCACTTTACCCGACCCAAAGTGGGCATCTTTATGTTAGGGCAAAAAATTGCTTTAGTGGACTCGTTCAAGTATCTCGGCTTTACTTGGACGAGTAAACTATCCTTGAAACCCTCTGTCCACAGAAGCCTAAAGAATATTCACATCTTCCTTAACAAGCTAAAATGGCTGAGAAGTAATAAAACACTCTCCGAAGATGCCCTAAGAAGATGTTTCTTCGCGTATGTTTTCCCGCATTTTGTCTGGTTGTTTCCTTTTTATCCCCTTCTTCCTCAAACCTACCAACAGTTTATCAGAAGGAAATATAGGAAAGCGTTGTGTTTAGTCCACCATGCCCCTTATGTCCGTACAAAAGATTTGCTCAGTCTAACCAATGAAGAACCGCTTGAAAACTATGTAAAAAGATACATAACGAAGAGACTGAAAAAATTATATACATCTGATCTCGGCTCTTCACTTTTCCTCGAGGACGTATTCTACTGGGATAATTACCACAAGAGACCAAAAGATGGATTAAGTAACCTTTTCTTGTTGAATCATGTCAAAAAACAAAAACTTAGACATCGACCTATACTACTTGAGTGGCTAGTTTTTAATGAGGAAAATGATCGGAAGAGCTAGTAAAGAAGGTATTTTTAACATACACTATATTCATATATTGTCATCCCTTTTTTCCCCACATATTTGTATTAGTTAATATAACTAGCTAAGTTGTTCTCTTCCCTTACTTTTTGTACGCTTTAGATATATCTTCATATAGGTAGATTTTCTTTTCTCTCCCTTGTGCTTTATATTTTTAAATTTCTTTTCTATTGTAAGCACTTTCGAGTGTGACAATAAAATGAGCACAAACCAAAAAAATTGTCCAAATTATGATGCATTTAAAAATGAAGGAAGTCACATTTGTGTATCATTATTATTGAATAAATATCCTCTACAATTTATTCTAAAACATATCAATGTCTAACTCCTACATCAAAACATTTCTTAGATATAAGAAAATTTTTTCTTGATAGTGTAGGAGATGAAATAATAACAAAGAGGGCTAAAATTGATTTCGAAACCACTTTCTTATACCATTTTACATACTGTATAGATATGGAAAAATTCTCGGTTCAATTCAATCAAATCTGGAATGAATGTTTTTCAGTCATTGTTACTTGTAGAATGAAATCAGTCATCGGAGTTTTCTTGTCATTTAAATCCAGTCAAATACGTTATTATGAAATATATTTTTTCTACTCATCTTGTGGTTTTGATAAATCTAAACCCAATAATTATTTTTCTCGTCTTGTGGCTCGATAATCTAAACCCAGATAGTTGAAGAAAAGCAACAACTCAACAACGTTCTCAACAAATGAATAATTCTTGTCGTGATCATCTTTTGGGCTTTTCCTACTCAAGATATTCATCATATGTGTGTATTTCTTATTGTATCATTTTTTCAGTTTTTTTTATTTTTGTAACCTTCTGATGAAGTTAACTTTCAAGTTAATCGAAACCAGCCAATAAAAACTCTACAAAAAAAACAACATTTTCTTCTTCCTGTTAACATTAAATAGTATCTTTCGAGCGAGTATCTACTTAATTAAAATATTAATTTAATTAATTTCATAATTGAGAAATTAGTTAGCTACTCTCTTTGCCCCTTTTTTAAATAGTATTACGACGACTATGATGGACAAAAATGAAGAAATACCTGGTCTTCATAACACAAAAAAAGAACAACAACTACGATTTAACGCTAATGAAAAACAAAATGAACGATAACATTATGTCAATCAAAGAAAAATGAAGGTCACAAAGACTGATATCAAATAAAAAAACACCAATAAACATAGTTTTAATGATAAAAGAGTGTTAATCATATCCATGATATTGATGATTTTCAGGTTTCAGATAATGATTATGTTGATGATGAAATCAAAGTTGAATACACTATTTCATCTATTAATTAAAAAAATATAGATAGATATTACCTTCCGACTACAAATGACGCATACACCAATTGCTCGTACTAGAACTAACATAAGACCTAAACAAAAAGAAATACTTAAAAATTCAACTTAAAAAGAAAGAAAAAAAGAAAACTCGAGCAGGTTTACATAAATGTTCTGCTTCGTATTGCATTTATAAATACTATGATGATCAATTTCTAATTTCTAAAAATATTATGTTACAAACCAAAAGCTTTCTTGAAGAAATTGGATTGGTATTGAAGATGACTATCACGTTCTTGAAGATCATCAATAGTAGAATCTTTATTGTTCAGCACCATTAGCAAAGAACTTTGATCATTGTAGGGTTGTTGTACTATTGCTTGTAAAACTGTCATTTGCTTTTATAAATCTAACACTTGATTTTGTAAACGGCCTATTTCACTTTCTGATGGTTCGATATTCTAAAACGATATTAAAAAAAATTATCAAAATATCAGTTAAAATCATTTCATATAATCATGAACAAATAAAATATTGTTAGTTATTAATAGAAATGGGATGCAGTAATTCTTAAAGATTGATACGATAAATAGTCGTTCAATCTTTCTTACTTGATTATTTACACTTGATGTACGTAATGGATACATTAAATCTGGAAAAATCCGAATGATGATTAGTTATTAATTTATGTGTGTCAGGACTCCATTTAGAGCAGATCATAGGATATGAGGCGAAGAAATTCTTTTTAAGAATCTTATAAGCCATACCCAGGTCGAACAATCCAGCACGGAAACGACCAGTTCCGTGGTATTCCGGAGATTTCATGGTATCCTGCTTCAGAAACCCTAGTCCTGGTCAAAGGCTTTACATGTTTATTTGATAGTAATATTGGCCACGCTTTAAAGTTTTATTGAATAAACGTATATATTTTAAGTTAACAACATGGTAACATAAGAAAGCGATATTGTACAATCACTAATAATAATATTTCGATAGAAAATGACTTGTTCCATAGCAAAATACATATTATCAATAGACTCGCCATGATCAAGAACATTATTTATAATAATTCAAAAATATTTTGCGCAAAATAAAAATCGATAAAAAAAACTTAATCAATCATCACTCTTGTTTGATTCATAACTTTCAAATGGATTGAGATTATAGTTTTGGCCATTCATAGATTTATAGCTCGTCAGTCGGCAATTCTAATCGACTTCTCAAAATTAAAGACATGTCCTATTTTCGCAGTACAACAGTCAACTCTTTCAAAATGACTATGGATTACTAGTTATATTTATGTAATGAATTTCAATAATTTTATATGAATTAATGCGCTGGTGTGGATTAACGAAGCAAACAGAATCACACCCTCAAGATGATTTTGAAATTAAAACAAATGGAGTCAAAATTGAGAGAAGATGTCAGTTTACTCACAACATATATTTATTATTCTTTTGTATTTTTACATAAAAAATAAGGTACAAACAATCAAAATAGTTTTAGAACAAGCAGCAAGAAGTTTTTAAGCAAAACAAGCTGGTGAATATAGTATATAAATAAGGTTTAATATTATGAAATGATTGTTATTTTAAGCGACGAATAGAGCGCATACATCTTGGGGTGTTAATTCTCGTGAGTAGACACGCCATTCATCAATTGCTCCTACATATGTTCCACCACCTAATATCAAAGAATTCATTGTTGTTCCGCTTCCTGTAAACATGTTTGTTGTAGCATTTGCAACAAGTTGATTGTTAACATAAAGTCGTATTCCATTTGAAGATGACCATGTTTGAACGATATGAGTCCAAGTGGATCCTACTTGTAGAGGAGTATTGTATGGAATCGATATTCCACCTATTCGAACGACGAGCATCTGAGTTGCTGCGAACGATAAAAATGGATAGCCCATTGAGGTACTTACAAGAGGTCCCTGACGGGAGATTGGTTGGATCCAGAGAGCGAGTGAGAAAGGTGTATTATTGTATGAAAGAAAACGAAAACCGAACGCTTGTAAATATGACGATGATACACCTGTGAATGAAATAGCATGACCTCCTTTTACACCACTTACAATTGTATAGTTCGACGCATTCACAGAGACATCGTTCGGACCAGAATCATCGAAAATGTTTGAGATATTATCAAATGTAAAACTTGCAGCCAATGTAGCAACGTTGAGTAATTCACATTGAGGTCTAACACCAGCACTGATAGTTAATTGATCAATGTAGCCCTATAATAACATAATATAAAATGTATCGTTGAATATAATCATCTCACGATGGTACTGCTTTTACCTGAAAATTGTTTTTTCCAATTGGAGCATATGATGTAAGATTGTAGTTGTTTCCAATGTAGAAGTTACCAGAAGTTGCACTGAAATTACCCGATGGTGTACGTGAAATATCAAGAAGCCCATTAACATAGATGAGTTCTTTTGTTTTACTTTTCGAATAGACGAAAGCAATATGTGTCCATTGATTAATATAAATAGGAATTGATCCTTTAAGATCTGGATTTTCCCAAAAACTGAAGATACTTGTTGATGATGATGTATTGGTTCCATTAGAATGAAGAATAACTTGAAGACACTGTGACGATGTTTGTTGTGGACAAAGACCGACAATACTGTGACTACCTTTTACATTAGGATAACTTGTTGGATAGATCCATGCATCAATAGTAAGACTTCGTGCATTCAATGGAATAAACAAAGTTGATAAATATTGATCCAATGATGAGTCAAGAGAGAGAGCTTGACCCACATAACCATCGACGAATGTAGGTGAATTGAAAGGTGTTGCATTGTAGTTTAACATTGAATCTTCATATGTATTCTCAAAAGTCCATCGCGCAGTAAGAGGTATACTCCAAACAGTTGTGTCACTGACACAAGTTGTATTACAGCTTGGAGGTATAGTCGTTAGAGTATCATTGGCTATTAAATAAGAAAAAAAAAAGAATCATTTTAAATTAGAAGCAGTCTCTTTTCTGCTTTCATATTGTTTATGAGTGTCGATAATAAAAATAATATTTTATTAAAAATACAAACTATAACTTACTTGTGCAGTTACTGAATATTGAACAAATTAATCCAAGTGTATTATATCGACACCATTGATTATTGTTACATGAGGCACCGCTATACCTTTGATTTTCACATTCAATAGAATTCCAAAAGGTATTAGGTGGGCATTGCCAAGTATTGTTTAAACATGTTAAATAACGAGTTTGTGTGCATTCGGAACATGGTTGCCCAAAACTAGTAAAATCATTCGAAATGAGTTGAAGAGCCCCAACACGAGATGATGAATTTGAAGGAATGATATGGCCTGTATTAACAGCGCCTTCGAAGAGGCGACAAACATATGATAATGAATCATAATCAAATGTACGACATTGAATATTAAGATCACACGCTATAATAAAGAACATACATAGGATTATCTAACTCTTCGTTCGATATAATTCAATATAGATTTGTTTACCTGCAGCACATCTGATAAGAGATCTGACGTTAATTGTACTAAGCAATTCAACAAGATTAGCTGGTTGAAATTGATTACCCCAATCGCTTAGATTAAAGTTCGCGTCATCAAGGATCATTTGACTGCCAGCTGATGTAATAAAAAATAAGTGTATCAAAAATACCATCATCTTTCTTATTCTAAACATTAATTATATAAAAGATAAAATAATATGAATATTTGTTTGGCTAATTTAACGACAAAGTTAAGATTTTAACAGAAGAAAAGATATATTTAGAAGGATAACAAATATGAGAGAAGTCCTTAAAAATTGGAGAACCTAGGAAAAACAACAATATTAGCTGATAACTAATAGTATATGCTTGTAATATGCTCAATATTTAGAAAAAAATTAGAAATAAATAATGTTGTTCAGGTGATATAAATGCAATTATGAAGTAAAAAAACACATGATGAGAGAAAAAAAATAGAATATTAAAAGTATAATAAATTGAAGTATAAAAATGAGCACTACGCACATAGGTAAATATAGAAGATATCTTGATGATTACTTAAGTATAGAGATGTTTTTCAGTTATTTTCAGCTTGTATGAACTGTTTCCGAAAAAGATAAGTGTCTTCTACAGGGGAAAGCAAAGATTTTACATTTGATTCTTATCATTATCTTATTCAAAAAAGTCTCTTCCTACAGAGATCATTATTTTACATTTTACTTTTAAATGAACGTTAGTAATAGTTCTTCGTATAAACATATTCACCATAATTTATTTTTAGATTGTTTAATATAACATCGTGATATACAGTAAATAAAAATGTGCCATTATTGCATAAAGATGATAGAGTGGAATAGATGCAATTAGAATACGACTTAAACTTTGGGAGATACTTGTCTAGAGAAAATAATTGAAGCAATTCAAGATTTTTATATACTCGAAAAAATAAGAAGTAGTGCATTATTTCAACTAAAAAAAACTAAATTTATCATCCAGTTCAAACTTTTCTCGCTTCTATTCACCGTGCGACCTATATTGACTGCTATAAATATATACATTAGTTAAAACATTTCATTTACTGTATATCTATATATAAAATGTT